AAAATATAACAAATCACAAAGATACCTTAACAACGTCATGTTTTATGACACAAATGTAATTTAACACATGAATCAACATCATTATTGTTTATATTAAACAAAATCATAATTTTCATAAAATTTGAAACATTATTTTTCTAGATTGTTTTTCATAAAGTAACTTTAAATGATTCACACTGACATATTTCTTTTGTAGTATTTATCACCATATTTTTTATTGTGTTACACACGCAGTTTAAACTATTTTGCATATTTTGACACCTTTTTGTAAGCGTCCTTTGCTATTTGTTAATTAACATCCTTATTCACTTTACGTTATTTTACTAACATTGTCATGAAAATTTGCATGAATCTGGAGGCATGCTGCTTTAAAATACAATGTTAAATTATCTAGATTTTTTCAGAAACAATCTTTCTTATTTACATTGATGCCTTTTATGATAATTATCCTAATATTTTTTCTCTAATTAGCAAACAAATAGTCATAAAAACATTGTTAACTTTATGAAAAAGACTAGTCATACACTGAATTAGTAATTGTTTATTATTGTTACCAGGGGTTTCAAAATTTGTTAATCTAATGAGTAAATTTTTTACCAAAAATTGGCTAATTGTGTGACTCAAAATTTCTCTTTCACCGGTAAGAAAAATTGCTAACAAGAAAAATATGGTAGAGTAAGGAATGGGTTAGTAATTTGAATACCATAATATTCTAACCATAACCCTATATATTTCAAGAATTCTTTATCACACTATTTTATAACATGTTACTAGAACTCAAATGCGATAAATTATAATGCATCTTATCACTAAATAGAAGAAATAAAATAAAAATTGAAAAAATAACTAAAAATATGTACATTATTTACAAGTCCAGCTATATATACAAGTGTTTATAAAAAAACTAAAACAGTTTGTAAAATTCACTTGTTCATCCTTAAAAGCTGCCTTGACGAACCAGAAAAAAGTGTATCATTTAAAACACACTTTGTACAAATAAATATATCCTTAATAGACATATTGTTAAAGGCCCATTTAGCCCCTAAAAGGTCTGTGAGTTCTTTTTTATTTTTGCTTTTTATAAGTACTTAAAAAATCAGATAATTTCACATCCAATGCTACTTTCTTAATGTAAATGTATCTTTTGAATTTTATAAAAGATGTTGCCTTTTATTACTGAGGTTTAATGGGCCTTTAAAGTTATATTTCCTGTATTTTGAAATTAAAGTTATATTTCCTGTATTTGAAATTAGTTGTTACGGCAGTTTTAAGTTTACATAAAGGTAAATGTCATACATGCATATCAGTACGTCTTAATAAAGTTCGTATCAAGAGATTTGTAGATATTAAGTCTGTAGCCTCTATCTTATATAGAATTAGAATGTCAAATGTTTCACCAGACAGGCTGTGTGTTTGTTTCTTTCTTTTTACGCCTTTTCCCAACAGTATTTCAGTCATATAGGCGGGTAGTTTCCTAACCATTGTTCCTGTAAAGTAATACCAGTACTAGACCACCTTCCTCCGTGCTAAACTACCAAAGCATTTCCCGGGGATTGAACCCACGCCAGAGAGGTAACTGGATTAGAAGTCATCGACTCTAACCGCTCGACCACGGAGGCGGTACACCAGACAGGTTGACAAGGACAAAAATTAGCATGTTCTAATTTTTGAATCAATGATGGGGCATTTCAACATCATTTTCTACTAAAGATCCTTGAAAATATCAAGTTAATTCGAGATTTACAATCTGAATGAGTAGACGCTCCCTTGTTTCTGAGAGATTGCCTTTAAGGCATCAGAATTGTAGCCATCGTTTATCCCTGTATGATCGAAAAATAGCACTAAATTGGTTTGAATAACTAGAGTCTAAGCATTTCTTAGTAGAGGTGATTTTACCCCTGGTATTGCTTTAAGTTTGTAAATTTAGGAAAATCATCTTTCCTGTTTCTTGTTCAGCGCCATATGACCTAAATTGTGGGGTGCGTCGTAATACAAAAATAAAAAGAAACAATAATGAAAGATGTTCATTCCCTTAACAACATTCCAGCTTACAAATATGTATAGTGCGAGTGGGAAATAAGTATTTACACTATATGGAAGGTAACTGTTTTTAGCATGAAGTCTTTGATTTTAAAAATCTATAAATCTTTGATATTACCATTCAGCATGCATACATTATGTGTTAAAAACAAAGTTTGACAAATATGTACAAATAAAAATATTACAATGAACTGCAATAGCATTGAAAATCATGGGTTTCTGTATTTAAAATCTAACTGGTAATTGTATCTAACATTAATACAAGTAGCAGAAAAGACACCATATTTAACTACAGCCGAACCTGTCTTTAAAGTCCAATCTTGAAAATATTACAAATGCAAATTTTGTTAGATGTTTTTTTTATTATTAATATATTAAGCTCTGCCGGCTATCTTATTCACCTGACTGTTATATGGATCATCATCCCTATATTTCATCATTATCAGTCAAGAAGAATTGGGGATGTTAAAAGTAAAACGTTGGGATGATCACTATAACTCACCTATAGCACTATGTATAACTATATACTAAAAGTTTAAAAGTGTGAAAATATGAAATGTTTCAAGCATTCGTACTGATTACATATCCAACATGAGAATGTGCTATTTTCAAATAGTAATTTATTTTTCATATACCTGACAATATAAACAAAATCTCTGAAGTTAAAATGTAATAAAAACACCGTCAGAAAAAAAAATCTACGATGAAATAAAATGTCATTCACCTGATTATATCTAGAAAGCTAATTAAGCTTATTGAGGTACATGTACGATAATGAAAAATAAAATATAGACATGCATGAAATTTGAACATTGTAATTAAAGATATGAAAATAGTACTGACAGTGAAGTAACTTACAAATGTTTTCATATTTTTATCAAAATATTACTGTTATATACAAAACACAGCAATAAGCGGCTAAACACAAATCTCATACTTTTACACTGACTATATTCACAAAATGTAAGAAATAACTTTGATAGCATTGTTCGTAATGAACGTTAAAGCTATATACAACAAAAAGAAACATGGACGGCTACATTTTTCTTTTTAAACTTTTACATTGCAGCCACATTTATTGTTAAACTGTTAAAAATATTCTTAAAAATGATGATAAATAGAATTAGGAGTTTGTTATACACATATGTCTTTTTCTAAATCTGATAATGAAAAAAATATAAATAATAATGTTAAAACCTTAAGACAGCAAATATATAGCTTTATACACTCTAAAGGTCATAATGATTGAAAGTTTACCATCAAAAATTTTCCCGGGCAAACCCCAACTTGATTTTAGAAAAAAGGGGAAGCTTTTTATTCAGAAAGTATATTGGTTTTTTCCCCCAAATTTAAAACTGGAAAAAAGCTTGTAAAAAATTTTAGAAAAACAACCAAGTCTTAAGTTTTGGGTTTGATTGATGGCTGACTATATATGATACCCCGAAAACCCCTTTTAAATTTCAAAATTGAATCAAAAAAACCTGGAACATTAGGAAAAAAGGTTAAAAACTCACAATTATCTTTTTTGCCTTAAAAGCAAAAAACGGGTTAACTTTAAATGAAAAAAATTTAAAAAAGGAATTAACTAAGGAGAAATTTTTAAATTTGGTTTTAAAAAAGAAATCATAAACATAAACTTTTTTTTGAAAATAAAAAAAGTTTTAAAAATGAAAAAAAAATGATTAATTACAAGAAATATTGCGGTTTACAATGACAGTGCAACAAGGATTAAAAGAATAAAATTACTTTTACCTAACTGCAGTGCAATAAAATGTGCTTTAAATACAATGTGATTTTGCAAGTATAAAAAAATCTTAACAAAAATAACTTTTTTTACTGCATGTCTGGCCCATAAATAATAAGAAATTATATTTACCATTGACAAGGTTTCTCCCTTCATTGTCCTATAATTGTACAAATAGTTATAACATAGAGAGCCCTACAACCTATGTGTTTAGATAGCGTAATTTTTATTTTTGACCATTTTAGTTGATAATTGCTCAGTTTAAAGGTATGATTTTGCGTGGTTATATAACTAGTAAGCATGGCAAAATATATTCAAAAGACCCCTGAATGAAGTTATGTTGATGCCTTAAATATAATGACAATGGCATGCTAAAATATTTCATCTTGATATATCAAGGCATAGAAGCATCCATCTTAAATAAAATCAAATTTTATTTCAATAGGGCAGCAATTTTTTTCCATTTAAAAAAATATAGAACTGAAATTTTGTGATAAATATTTGTAATGTGTTTCTTTTAGATACCCTATAACAAAAATCATACTTATTAAGCTGGACTGACTGAAAGACATTAATAACATTTTATATAACAATTTTTAGTCACTTTTAAGTCAGCTTTCAGGACTTTATAGTGATGTGTCCTCCAGAACAAAATGGCGTGGTTGTAAACATAGTGAGGCCAATGGTCAGCCCAAACAAACCTAACCCTCTCATAAGTTATTGAGTATAAATTCTGCAGCCTTATTATAGGTTTCGAATGGAATATCAAAATAAACAATTTTTATCTAATATTATTTGGGTATTTGTGATGTTTATTGATCAAAACATGCAAATGTCAAATGAATCATGAACTTAAAATGATATATTAGGCCAAGACTATTTTGTATATTACAGAATTTCAATATTCTCTTCCCTCTATTTGTCATCTTGTTTTAACATTGAGAGCTAAAAATCTCAAAATCAAAGGCAATAATACTTCTTAGAACTCAGAACTTAACAAAAAGAATATAAAAAATACTAACAATATGTTTTACCAGATTAAATTGTTTATATAGATTAACTGATTAATGCTTGCACTAACTCATTTATCAGATCTTAATTTCAACACATGTTATTATGCAAATTTTATAAACTCAGGTATTTTTAAATTGCCTTGTCTGTACCTACAATTTACTAACTAAATTGGAGAAAAATTTATTGGCGAAAAACAAACAAACCAAAAACCAACTCAATCAGTAACAGATGATCCTTGAAATGTCATTGAGAAAACACACACCCAACGCTTTGTTCAAATATAAAATATCATGTACATTTATCAAGTAAATGTTTAAAAATACATGAAACTAGATGCTGAATGTTAATTTCTCCCAGCTGGCCATGATTTCTTCTCGCAGATGATAACTATACTGGTAACCATGGAAACTAGAGGCATGTTCAGGTCGTATCTATTCTGATCATACGTAGTTTGTAGTTATCGGCAAGTACACATGCGGCTTCGTTGCTACCCCCACAGTAATGTGACGAGGAGAATACTGTCAGTAACTTGCCCTGTTGTTGTACCTGGTCAAAAAAATTAATTAGAACATTAATATTCTAGTACAATAAGCTTAAGATTACCTTACTTTGCTAAATTTTCTCTATGGAAATACCCTGCTTTGAATTTGGAACAGTCTAATTTTATTTGTGAGGGAATTCCATAACAAAAATAAACAACAAATATTGAACAGCCAACAGGATATAGCCAGGTGCGACAACTCAGCAGTCTGCATATTGGCCGGGTTCTATAATGTTTGTATAAGCAAATCTGGCAACAGTTCCAAATGTCATCCCTGATACCGATGGACAACAGTTTACTGTTCCACAAACACCCATTAAATAACTGTTTTATTATCAAAAAAACTCTGCAACTCTGCACAGTATTTAATAAGCTCCTAAAGGCAAGAAAGGTAAACAGAATAACTAACACCCGGCACCCAGTTTGTAAGTGAGGGACATTAGATTAAAGGTAGAAGGCCATCACAATCGTATGAGCTTAGTTTATCAGAATATGTCTGCTTTATAAACAAATACAAAGAAAATTAGTTTTGTTAAATGCTAGTGAATTTAAAGTATTCACAAATTTCTTAAACATAAAAATCAACATATGAGATTTACCTGGAAGCCAGCTTCCTGCACCTCATGAGCCCTAATAACATGTGTCAGGCCATTTCTATCTAAGAAGCCAAACAAAGCATCACAGCTGAAGAAATGGGCAGTCCCTCGTCTAGTGTTTGCTATGAAGCCTTTGTTTTCTTTTAGTTCCTGAATTGTCTCTGGAGTTAATACATCCAGACTATAAAAATGAATAGAACAATATTTTTGAAATGCAGCATTTTAGAATTTTAAACATAAATTAGTCTATTCTTGTTGATATATGCATAATAATTAACTATTCTATAACCTTATTTTGCCCAAATCATTTAACTTTATTTCACTGAGTTTAATGTGAGGTCACACCAATATTTCAAGGTACAAGTGACAATTTTGAAACTAACTGGTAGAGAAACACCCAAAGTTCGCCTTCTTCTCATGCATCAAATCAGGCGTGAGCAGGCCACTGAGTAGAACAAGCTAGCTATGTGGCTTATAGAATTTAATGTCACTGTCACACTGACAAGATCTTATTTTATATGCAACATGCTCCTAAGTCAGCAACACTAATCATTTGATTGTAAGTGTCCCCATTAAAATTGCTTTGATTGTATATATACCTGACTGGATCACTCCACATTATATCCCATGCCAGAGTACTCTCATCTTCAGGGTTCTTCAATGGGTTTGGCACTTTGTTTATGGCATCTATAAATCCTCCGTCTAATTCCGGCATTGGTATACCCCCATGTACACAAAATATCTGAATTAAATTTACATATACATTGTTCTGTATCAAAACATAAAAGTTTCATTGTACTCCTTACAAAGTAAGTGTCATAATTAATGACACCTTTCAGATTTACAGAAGGAGAATAACCACAGGCTCCCAGCTTTCATCATAAAACGAGGACATCATGTGGAACCACAACCTCCTCTAAGCTGAAAGTGCTCAATTTAATATTTGATACATTTCGAAGTTCCAAAATTTGTCAATGGGCAGCCCAAAAATTCAAAGCAGAAGAAATGGGCTAGCCCTGAATATAAATTTATCCAACTGTAGTAAATTATTATGTAGAGTCTGACTATATATGTTCTTGTCTTTTGTCAATTACGTAATAAAGAAATCTGAAAAATTAACGGTTTTGTTGATTTTTAAAAAATTAATTTTAAGTGGTTAAAATATTCAAGAAATTTGGGATTTCAAATATTGACATTACTCTATTTCTTGTTCCGCCAATAATTTTCTTATGCTGCTTGTAGGAGTTCCTTAAAATTGTTTAAAAAGTTATCTTTTCATTTTAATTGGAGAGTTACCTACCTTATCATCTACTGTTGCTGCTATTGGCATTACATCAAAACAGTCATTGATTGCCTCCCATAGTTGGCTACCTATACTGTCACCAAACTTAGACAGGCACTCGCTGAATAACAATACATAATTTACATTTCAGTATTTTACCTGCAAAACACATGACACAACATTGTCACAGAATAATGGTTTTCTGTCAATGAAAACAATAACAACAACAATTAAACAACAACACGGGGCCATTGCTCCCAAAGCGCTTACCTTGAGACAGAATGATTCAACGTTCTCTATATTAATGAGATGGTTTTAGTGTGAGCTAAACCTTAAACCAACAGTTTTATTGTATACATAAAAGAGAATCAAATTTCCCCACATAAGGTTTATTTTAACCCAATAGCAATAATTTTTAAAACCCTGGTACAGGTGTACAAGATGTTTCATGTAAAAAATCTAGGCCCTTGGGCTTCCAGATACATGTTCAGCGGGCTAGTTATGATTTTTTCGGCTCCGGGCCACAAACTCATAATCGGTCACATGACACTCATAATCAGTTGAAATTGTAGGTAATTATGTTACTATACATAACAAGAGTATTGAAACATCTTACGTTTTGAACGAGAACATTTCTTGTACACTCCGTAACTCATGGTTACCCCTCAACAGGTGAAATTTGTGAGGGGCTAAAATCTTCTGTGCGAACAAATTAGAAATGACCTGTTAAATAAATATATCATATAATCATAAATGTTGATCTTTTATGTAACAATAATAATGTTTATAGTACTATAATCTTTAAAGCAATTTCTTACAATCACAGCAAATTATTAATGTTAATAGTTGAGGTTTTAAGAGTTGACTAAGTGAATTTAATGAAATATAAGTCTAGATTTTAAAATTATATTTAGTTAATTTTAATTTAAATTCTATAATCTTAATACAGTTGTACATCTTCCATAATCTTAATACAGTTGTACATCTTCCATAATCTTAATACAGTTGTACATCTTCCAACAATATTTAAGTTCAACAGCCTTGATACCTTCAACACTACCTTAACGTTTTATGTTATTTTTTATTAAAACAAATGAGATACAAGTAAATTATCCTTAGAAAAACAAAAATCAAATGACATCAAACAAAAGTCAAGTACATATGTACCTCAATTCCAAAGTCACCTCTGTCAACATAATCTCCAAGGAACAAAAAGGAAGCTGGGGTTAATAAAGGTCCTAATCTCCATAAAGCTTTCTCAAAACATATCAAATCTCTATAGTTCCCATGAATATCTCCTAAAAAAAACAAGAAAATACACATGAGAAAAAATACACATGTGAAAATACAAAAATATTATGTTTTTCTTTTGTCTCATTTATCTCGAGTTTTCTTTTGATTTCAACAATTTTTGGATTGTCTCACTAACTGGCTTTCCTGCATAATATCCACATACAAACTTCTGTGAAAGTGACCAACTACTTATCCCACATGATTATCTAATCAGTGGTTGGAGACAAATGGCCATGAAAATTGCCCATCAAAGGATCAAACCAACAACCCTCTCCATTAAAATGCTCTCCTTATTTTGCAGAAACTTCTGCATTATAAATCTAAAGCTCTTTCTATTGAGCTATAGTGTTGGCTAAAATATTTTACAATGATAAATTCAGAATGTTTACAGAAATCAATGTCAATGAGTTCAATTACAAAATACTACAAGAGGGCTATAATGACCCTGAGTCGCTCACCAGAAATAACTGCTTTTTAGTGTTAGAAATTATCCATTGTCAATATTTTTTATAAATTTGAGCATAGAATATCTTTAAACAATAATTTGAAGAAATGCCATGACCTGGGGCATTTAAGCTTTAGCTTAAACAAGACCAATCAAATTAATATGAGCAAACTTGATAAAAGACTACCTAAGATAAGTAAGAATGCTACAGACAAAGTTTGGTGATCATTTATCAATTATTGCAGTAGGACATGATGTTCAAAGGTTTTTCTATTTTTAGCTTTAGTGGCCCCTAAAAGGGGCCAATCAAATTAATATGAGTACACTTGATAAAAGACTACCTAAGAATGCTACAAACACAATTTGGTGATCATCCATCCACTAGTTCTGTAGAAGAAGTTGTCTAAAGGTTTTTCCATTTTTAGCTCTAGAAACCCCTAAAATGGGCCAATCAAATTAATATGAGTAAACTTGATTAAAGACTTCCTAAGAATGCTGCAGATAAAATTTGGTTATCATCCATCATTTAGTTCTGTAGAAATAGACGTTTAAAGGTATTTCTTTTTTTAGCTTTAGCGGCCCCTAAAAAGGGCCAATCAAATTAATATGAGCAAAGTTGATAAAAGACTACCTAAGAATGCTACAGACAAAGTTTGGTGATCATCCATCAATTAGTTCTGTAGTAGAAGATGTTTAAAGGTTTTTCTATTTTAGCTCTAGAGACCCCTAAAAGGGGCCAATCGAATTAATATGAGCACACTTGACGCAAGACTACAGACTGACGGATGATGGACGCCGGAGCATCCCCCTTTGATACTAATAGCTCACCCTGAACCTTCGGTTCTGGTGAGCTAAAAATTGAATGGTCATTGCATAGAATGCAAACTATGCCAGGTTTATCATCCTCATATCTCCTAACTCATGAAATTATATTTCCATAGTTTTAGTTTGAAACACTTGATAACTGGTGGAATATACTTTAAATGAATAAACCATTTAATAATTATATAAAATCTCAAGTTACATTTGAACAATTTTATATACATAATCACCTAAGATATACATTGGAGCTTTTAATTTGAGCAATCTTGGTTCATCTGAGAGAATGTCCTTGACCTGTCTACACAATGTTAACAAACATTTAGCAAGGGCATTCTTGTCTACCTGTCCCCAGTCAAATGCATTCTGAAAATGTATATAAACTGTATGTAACATTTATATCAAATATCAATGTTCATGCATGTATAATATTACATTACTTTAAAATTCTCAGCAAATCCCATGTAAAACAGAATCTATTTAAAATTATAAAAATTATAAAATCTAAATTACATTTTAATTGTTATTAGCCCGTAGTCTTTGAAAGTTAGTAGCTATCATATGGTGACTTTCCAGCTTTACAAAACAAATGTGCACCTATGTAGCCCAACAAATGTTTCGTTTGTTTGTTTGTTTCATTTTTCGCCTTTTTCCAACAGTATTTCAGTCATATAGGCGGGTAGTTTCCTAACCATCGTTCCTAGAGAGTTACACCAGTACTAGACTACCTTCCTCTGTGCTAAACTACCAAAGCATCTCCCGGGGATCGAACCCACGCCAGAGAGGTAACTGGATTAGAAGTCATCGACTCTAACCCCTCGACCACGGAGGCGGTCTAACAAATGTTTCAAAGCATAATATAACATGACCGGATGACAGTGATGATATGAAAAGATTCGCAGTTCTTAAAACTTTCATATATCGATTAATTAAAACATGATCATTTTAGATCAAATGTGACATGAATGCCTGAAGTTTATTTGAAAGACTTTTATAATAGCCATTATCTTCCTTTATTGACCTCTCTTTCTGGATTTAGCAGTACTTGTTATATTAATGCCCCCACCCCTTAAGTCTAAAACCCATCATTCTTTAACTTACAATAACAGGCCATCACTTTTCTTGATAATACATACGCTATAACTAGGTGTACATTAAACAAGAGGGCCATGATGGCCCTGAAGTCGCTCACCTGTATATAGGCCCCCGAGCAGGGCCAGTTTAAACCCCAGGGCTTTTATTTGAACAAACTTGGTAGACACCCATTAGAAGATGTTTCATGCTAAACATCTAAGGTCTAGCTTGATGGGTTTTTTCAAAGAAGATTTTTTCAAATTTTTCTTTACACATATAGTTAAAAACAATGACACACCTGGGGCAGGGACAGTTTTAACCCCAGGGCTTTTATTTGAACAATCTTTGTAGACACTTACTAGAAAATGTTTCATGGTTAATATCTAAACTCTAGCTATTTGGGTTTTTTCAAAGAAGATTTTAAAGTTTTTGCTACACACATATAAGGAAAATCAATGTCCCCCAGGGCGGGGCCAATTTTGACCCCCGGGCTTTTATTTGAACAAACTTTGTAGACACTCACTAGAAGATGCTTCGTGTTTAATATCTAAACTCTAGCTATTTGAGTTTTTTCAAAGAAGATTTTTTAAGTTTTTGTTATACACATATAAGGAAAATCAATGACCCCGATGGCGGGGCCAATTTTGACCCCAGGGCTTTTATTTGAACAAACTTGGTAGACACTAACTAGAAGATGTTTCATGCTTAGTATCTAAACTCTAGCTATTTGGTTTTTTTTCAAACAAGATTTTTTAAGTTTTTGCTATACACATATAAGGAAAATCAATGACCCCGGGCCGGGCTAATTTTGACCCCAGGGCTCTTATTTGAACAAACTTGGTAGACATCCATTAGAACATGTTTCATCCTAAATATCTTAGCTCTAGCTCTTTGGGTTCTTTAATAGAAGATTTTTTAAGTTTTTACTATATGCATATTGGGAAAACCAATGACCCCTTTGGGCGGGGCCAATTTTGACCCCAGGGATTTTATTTGAACAAACTTAGTAGACACTCACTAGAAGATGCTTCATGCCAAATATCTACACGGACGCCGGATGAAAAGCAATCACAAAAGCTCACCCTGTCACTTTGTGACAGGTGAGCTAACAATTAGTACCTTTGTGAAAGATCCATTATCTCCCTTTATTGACCTCTCAAAGTATTTAAGACCAGTTAACATTTCATTAGGATGAGATCGTTGATTGAAAGAATCTATAGACGACATCCGTTGAAATCTTGATATATCACCTTCTAAATGTGTAACTGACGTGTTGGTAATAGCCCCAGTGCCTATATACATGTACATGAATAAATTATCAACTTTATTTAGTCTATGTATATGTATATACAAATGTAGTAAATTTAATTATAACCTGACCTTCCATAAGATGACAGGTAGATTCCTTGCAAAAATAAATTTTAAATGTCCAAGAAATTGTGAACTTTGAATCGAGATATTGTGAGAATCAGCAAACAAGATCACTCCCTATATATTTCAATTTATCACATACCACGTGCATATATTTTGACGTGACATCATTTGCCTAATACAAACATAGTGTAAAGACGAAATAAATGTTAGCGTTATACTATAGGCGCGTCAATGAAAAATGACGCTTTTTTACAGTTAACAGTCTTTATTTTTGGTATGTGATAAATAGAATATTAAATTCGTGTAAGAGGCTCCCATAATATAATTTATTCAACTTGTTCAATAAATTCAGTATTGAACTTACACTCATTCAATATCCTCTATATCTTGCACAAGTTATAAATCATAATTAATTATATATGTACATGAGAAAACAAAATAAGAAAACATATTCACCATGTAAGTCCCATATTGCCATCACTTCCTGCAATGCTCCAGTTCTGCGTACCTTGACAGTATGTGTTGCCAACTCGTACCTGTGTTGTTTATGGGCTGCTGTAAACGGACGACCCTCCGGATGCTTAAATGCATCATTATTTGGCCCTGGACCTTTGAATGCAAAAAACTGATATCAATATTTGTTTTACATCTAGAACTGAATAAATATCAAACCCTAACTTTGCTTAGTACATGGTCTTGTTTTTGTTATTAATATGAGAATTTTAAAATGTTCATTTGAAACTAAGAAACACCTGACGTTGATACAAAATTACTAAAATTGAGCGGTCAATAGCCTAAATCTGGTCAAATGGAATGGAAAATGGCTGGCCAGGGCATATACTTGGGAAGCAAGCATTAATAGAGGAAAAAATTTCAACTAGTAATAAAATACAACTAAATGGTCATTTGAATACAAAAGGTGCTCTTTCACCAAAATCAGACTTGAATGTGTTTACATTAAAATTAAAAATTTCTTCTAATAAAAATACAATGCATGATAGGTTGAATGTTCGGTAAGTACAGACAATTGCTAAAAACTTTTAGCTGTAGTACATCTATAATTTTTTCATCAGGTTACAGAAGAAAAATTATGACGAATTATGAACAAAAATTCAAATTGAAAACTAAGTATGTCTAATTCTAACTTTCACAAGAACTTTTTTTAACTATAAATTACCTGTATTTCCAAACTTTTTGTTTGGTTTAATAGGGTCAGTTATTTTTGGACGGGATCTCTTATAAGGTGGTTCCATGTCACTGTCAGGAGCGTTGTCATCTGTTTCTAAACTGTAATTATATAAAAGACACCATACATTCAAAATTTTTATAATTCATAGACAACTTCTAGACTAAGGAAATGCTATATCACTCCACATACCCCTATGTGGTTGGTCATCAAAATAAGAATTAATTTTTCCTAAGCTGACATTTTGATTTTACCCAATATTGAGCTTTAAGAATTTCAAATCTAAATTATATATATTAAAGAATGCTTAAAAGAAAATAAAAACAAGCAAATCATCAGATGAAAAGCTACACATGCAGACCAACAAAACTGTAAAGTTTCATGACCCTAGGTCATATACTTTTTACGTATCGTATCGCAAGACACAAGTTGAAAATTGCAAATATTTACTAAGTCAAGGGCAATAACTCTACAAATACTGAAAGATCTACAAGCAAACCCATGGTGCAAACCTACAAATGCTGACCATCATTCCTGTACAGTTTCATGACTATTAAAAGACAAAGTTTTTGAGCTATGTACCGCACAAATTGTAAAATGCTTATTTTTACTGAGTCAAAAGCAATAACTCTAACAAAACTTATTTAATCCACACTCGAAACCCCTGGTGCACAACTTCACATGCTGATCAACATTCATGTAAGTGTGTTGACTCTTGGAGCTACACATGACACATCATTAAATGTACGGACAGACACACACACACACACATGGAAGGATGGACAATGTCACATCTACCTCCCTTCTCCTTGATTTTGAGCATTAAACCTATTAAATGTTTCTGGGTGAAAATGACACATGGAAGAAGTGATAACTAAAATACTAATAAATGTACCAACATGCAGGCTTATTTGAGAAAAATATAAATTTACCTTTTTAAAGAGAGTGTACAAGAATGTGGCAGCCGAAACAAAACAGACGTTCCTCGAAACTTGAGCTGACCTACGGCACTCAGGAAATCAGCCAATGGTAGCTTATCTTTGGTTTCTGTTCCAAATAATCTAACAAAAAGAAATTCAATTCAATAAAACCTCATGATTTTTACAAATACCTTTACTAAATTTACATTATATATTAAACATATAAATCTGGTATACATCATGTAACATTCTTTAAACACACATCTTTCTACACGTATATAATACTGCATCTTTGTTACGTTGATTCTTAGAAAAAATTATGTAATGAATATCATCCATGTTTATACTTAAGTATTTTTTTTTATTTTAATCAAAGAATCTATATCTATATTAATAGTGAATTACCTTACAAATGACCGTTGAAACAAAAAAGATGTGAATTAGTTGAATGCAGAGTTATCTAATTATGGTCGCTTTTTAACCTGTACATATTTCTTTTTTTTCTCTAAAGAATGGTGAATTATTTTGTCCATATTTAAAGATGGACAAGGACATTTCAGTTAATAATTTAGCGTGGGAAAGGTTAAAGCATAAGAATGGTAGAGTGTATAATCCCATCTTCTTTATAAAATATCTTTAATTTATGTGAATTTTCAGACAAACAAAACAATGAAACATTTTGAGGGTCTAGTCTAAATATTTTGTTATTTTTCCCACTCACAGGTAAAATGATGTATTAATATTATCCTAAAATGATGTTTTTTTTCTTCTTCCTTTTAAGTAACTCTGAAACTCTTAAATAAGACATTATGTGGTCCCAATACCAGCTCTAGTATTTGAGACACATGTAGTCCCAAAATGGTGAGAAAAAAACATATAGGACACTTGGATTATGGAATATACTTTAAACAAGCAAATTTAACTATATATGGTAAATATGGGATATATATAATAATTCATTCCTATAATGTATTATGTCTGTGCATAAATATTGATATTTTTTATTTCTTGAATACATGTTGTAGAATTAAAGGTGTTTATGTTCAAGTTAAGAACAGTACATTATCATCATTTGTTGCAAACACTAAACCACGAAAGCATTCAAGAACTATTAATCACATTTAACTATTATCACTATTAACTATTATCACATAGAAATGTTGTAATATGAGAAATTTATAACTTATCTTCACTAAACATCATTTTCATATCAAAATGGTTGTAATACTTTTGACTTTTAAGTTTTGTTATCATGCTTATTATTACACTTTTCTGAATCATTTAAGTTTTATTCTTATAACAAGTTTTCACCATATAGTGTATTAACTGTCTGTTTAAGCTGTCATCTTAATATTTGTTTTGCTTCCTTTCAGATTAAAGTTTTAAGGGAATTTATCTTCGAAGCTTTTGTATCATTTGGTGTGGGTTGTGACCAAAAACCTATGTTCAAAATGTCAGGTTTTTATACCAATATATTTCTATTTCAGCAGTTACCTACCAAGTTCTTCTAACCCTTAAAATTACCAATTGCCATGAAAAGCAATAAGGTTATGTGGTCTATGAACTTTAACTTCAAATCTATAGTATAAAGTGGCCATTTATTTCTATTCTAAGTATACATAAAATATGGTATATTATTATATAATCTATAAATAGCTTTGAAATGCCTTTCCCTGATTGGCTAACAAGCAACTTTTTGTAAAAAATAATAGGTCAATATCAGAGTATATTCACTGTTTTTTTCCTAAAAATAGATTTTCAGAGTATATTCACTGGTTTTTCTTCTAAAAATAGATTTTCTGGAAATCCCTAAAAGACGCGAGACTTTGACGTGACATCACGCCAAGTTTGTTGTTATTATTCTATATTTTATGCTAAAAACGTTGAGTGGGGTGTACATAAGAGTCAAATTAGTCTATTTTAGTTACCGTTTTACATTTTTATGAACAATAGGGATTAGCATGCCAATGGAAAGGGCCAAATTATGGAAACAGCAGACAAGCTGAAAAATAATAATATAAAAGCTATTTATAAATTATATAATAAAACAGATATGTACTTTTTAGCTGTTGAATATGATGTGATATGTACTGAAAAAATTAATATTTGACCGAGGCGATATAAAAAGTCCATATTTGTATAATATTATATAATAGTGATTAGTTTGAATACACAATTGATGAACTAATCAAGCATGCATGTATGTAAAATAAAAGGCATAATGCAAAAATCTAGGCTAGCAGGTAAATTTATATAATATAAGCCGAAGCAATACCAGAATTTACCTACCCAACTTGAAATTCTCTGAAAAACATATTCTTTTCTTACAATAAACTATTAGGAAAATTTGGAACATTTTAATCAAATTTAAGTTACAAAATCTGAATATAAATTACAACATGCTTGACTATAATAACCTAAGAGCTAATGATAGACAAGAGCAATGCACTAAACAAAGGGGAACTATTTAGTACATATGCCACATTAAAAGTCAGCAGTTGAAAGAAAACTGTAAAATAATTCATTCACATCTTCATACATTTACTATTATCTTTCTAAGCTGAATGAAGGAGACACCACTTAAGAATGTACAGGAATATAATACAAATATGCGTCTAACAGTGACAGTATGTAAAATTCTACAATCATAACACATGCATATGGAGACTACTTAGTATCATCTAATTGTATTAACAAACAATGAACTGAATGATTTTCTTTGTATTCTAATCGGACTTAAAAAAACATAATTGAGCCTCGCAATGACAAAACCAACATAATGGGATCAGGATCCATGCTGTTCGCTTAACAAGTAGAGAAACTGATAGCGAACATCATGGATCCTGATCAGACTGCGCAGATGCGCAGGCTGGTCTGGATCCAAGCTGGTTGCAAACCCATTATGTTGGTTTTGTCATGACGCGGCAAATATTTAGAAAAACTCATTGGGGAAGGAGATAGAGACCTAAAAGTGCTTCTCTGTACATTATTTCAGAAATAATAAGTTCTATTAATATACCATTGAGTGGGAATTAAAATTCTATTTTTACACCTATGAGGGGGAATTAAAGTTCTATTATCTTATCTGTAAGTGGAAATTAAGGATGTGATGATAGTATGCCTATGAGTGGGAATTAAGATGATATTTTTATACCGGAATTACTATATCTGTCAGTAAGTGGGAATTCAGGTTCTGATGATATTATACCTATGAGTGGGAATTAAAACACTGTTGTTTTACCTATGAATGGGAATTAAGAATCATCTATATACCATTGAGTTGGAATTAAGTTTCAGTTATTACACCTTTGAGTTGGAGTTAAGATTTGTTTTTATACCTTTGAGTGGGAATTAATGTTTCCTTATTAATACCTACAGTTACAATTAAGGTTCTGTCATTTTAGCTATGAGTATAAAAATCTTACTGCAGACAAATTTCATTATATCTTAAATTCCTGTAATGATCTTATTCACATGAAAATTGTATGCGTGCTCCATGAATAATAAAGAGTTTACAGTAACAACTATTATAAGTGAAATTATAAGGAAGAAAGCACATCAGGATAGATGATAATACATTCATGAATAAATTATACAACTGATGCTTTTGGTGAATACATAAAATATTTGTCATAGTAACACAAGAAGAAAGATGATATTATTTTGAAATGAAACAAAACATTTGACACCATGATATGCTAGAGAAGTGAAACTTGAAAGCTGAATTTTCATTCAAGACCTAGACAAAGTTGACATTTCAATCAAATACAATTTGTGTTTTAGGAATTCAATATTCTTGTTTAGTTTGTTTGTTTATAAATCACCATAAATATGTAAATGTCATACAGAAACTACTTTCCATCTTTTTACTGATGGAATAAGACCTTCTTTATCAAATATATGCATATATACATGAATATATGCATGTGTAAGTGTAATAAAGTATGTACAAAATATATACAATTATTATGTAATTTATCATGTAAATATCTATGTACTTACTTGGCACTATTTATAGCATCTTCCTCCACAGCTTCATCATCACAAGACAACCCTTTACTTTGTCGAATATCACTCACCAACCTCCTATATATATAAACATATTCATATATCATTCACCAGTCTTCTATATATACAATCATGTTATATCATCAGCCTTACTATATATAAATATTCTGATAAATTTCTCACCAGCCCCCTTTACATATAAACATGTTCATATATCACTCCTCAGCCCCTTTTACATATTAACATATTCATATATCACTCACCAGCCCCTTTTACATATAAACATATTCATATATCACTCACCAGCCCCTTTTACATATTAATATTCATATATCCCTAACCAGCCCCTTTTATATATAAACATATTCATGTATCACTCACCAGCCCCTTTTACATATTCATATATCACTTACCAGCCTCCTTTACATATAAACATATTCATATATCACTCACCAGCCCCCTTTACATATAAACATATTCATATATCACTCACCAGCCTCCTTTACATATAAACATATTCATATATCACTCACCAGCCCCCTTTACATATAAACATATTCATATATCACTCACCAGCCCCTTTTACATATAAACATATTCATATATCACTCACCAGCCTCCTTTACATATAAACATATTCATATATAACTCACCAGATGTGGCTACAGTACACAAAACAGCACTTTACTTACTTGAATTCATCGAATTGTAGATGGCCGTCCATATTTCTGTCAAAGTACCTAAATATGTATCTACATCTCATCTCGGCTGGCATACCACCATGTTGTGTTGTTGGTTCCATAGCTGCTAGACCCAATAACACATCCTTACATGATAAATACTTTCTTTTATGTACATCAAATGCCCTGTAAAAAACATGAACTTATTTAATATAGAATGTGATCCAACTTTTTTTTATGATCAAAGATAAATCATCACAAGTGTCTTGATAGCATTTTACAGGTCATGATGTTTTTGTCTTAAAATTTTAGAGGAAATAATATAAGGAAAATTATATTGTAGTAGCTTTCTTAAGTCATATATTTTTCTACTTGCAGCTTGTGAAAATCAAATCTTACTTACTAATTGGTCACACAAGACCAAATTATTTTCACACCCTGCTGGAAGTAATAATGCAAGCCAAAACAAAAGCTATGAAAGAAAAAAAATATGTCTACAAACAATATGTTTAATAGCTTTACTAATTTTGCTTTTATCTATATAGACCAAATTTTCTAGACTTCTTTATTTGCGATTGTTTAAAATGCCTCTTGCTTTTCTTTCATGTTGCAGTATATATATTTCACCAATAACAGCCACCAAAAACCCTTTGCACCACCAGAATTGTGACCAACTTCACTACCATTTACACTTGTCCTTAGCCTAAACACTTAAAAATCATTTCACATGCAAGATTTTAGGTAAATGAGAAATAATTGACTGCATTTTATGCTATTTTTTTATATCAAAAATTGTCATTTCAAAAAAAAAATCTGGTAGGTTTCCTTTTAAATCCACCCAGAATTACAGAAATTCCAATTGGATTTTTTCCCAACTTGATCATTTATTCCAACAGGAATTTCATTTTTTCAAACACATTTAAAAATCATCAATAAGTTGCCCTTTGGTGACTTTCTGTCTTATTCTAAAGAAATAATTCGGAGAATAAAAAATCAAATTTTGAAAGCTGGAAAAGAATCCTAATGGATTATTTTAATTATATCCAGTTGGGGGTTTATTCCAATTGGATTTTTTTCCAGTTTGAATAAATGGAAAATAACTCCAATGGGATTTTCAAAAAAACTGCTTAAATTGACACTATTTCAACAAGAAAATGCATATAAATTTATATTTAACATAGGCTTATGTATTTACTCAATTGCAGAAAATAAGAAATCGGAAAAATATATAATGCTGGAAAATAATCTGATTGGAATTTGAATTTTTCTATCCAGGTAGACAGCATTTATCCAGGTGGAATTCCCTAAAATCCCCCGTACAATTTGTTTGTTTCTAAAAAAAATCTATGATGAGAAAGCAAATAATTTATCGGTAATATTAAGTCAATTTTTGCTAATTAACCCCAAGTCTATCATGAGAAATGTTTAAAACTTTTAAAGTTTGCCACAATCCTAGTGGGGCAGAGATTTTCCGGTATCTGTTTAATATAATTTTTTATCACACACCCGTGCCGATTTTGCGACTCCGTAAATATGGTATTGCACGGCCGTGCATATATTTTGACGTGACGTCATTAGCGTTATACAGACATAGTGTAAAGACGCGCTAAATGTTAGCGTTATACTATAGGCGCGTCAATGAAAAATGACTCTTATTTCACTTTAAACGGTCTATATATTTGGTATGTGATAAATAGAATATTAAATTCGTGTAAATTCATTACTGAATTTATTGCACTCGTTGAATAAAATAATATCATGCTCGCCAGAGGCTCGCATAATATAATTTTATTCAACTCGTGCAATAAATTCAGTATTGAACTTACACTCATTCAATATCCTCTATATAATAGCACATTTATTGTCATACCTAAAGAGATGATCTATATTGTCCACCTTCCCTCCTTTAAGATCCATGTATTTTGTGAAGACAGTTTTGTTCATAAAATGACTGGGATGTACATGCTCCATAAACTCTTGAAACAGCAACTCTTGCTCTAATTCAGAGAAACAAAAAATAAATATTTATCATTTTTATCATAATCCTGAGCTGCTTTTACAACTCAGTCTCCATAAAAGTATTGCATGAGCCACTACCGGTCAAAGGCAACGCTCAACTGTTTTTACTTTTTCTATTAGCAAACAAATAAACAGTTTAAACAAATCTTTAAAAAGAAATTAAAGAGAAATTTAGCATATCTTTTATATAATTTTAAAAGGTCTGTCTAGTCACACATGTTGTTTTGTTCAAGCATAAATCATTTCCATCAATTAACAACAAAGTAAGAAAACATAAACAAATTAAATAATCTGACCTTGATGGTCAAGGCCATTTAAAGCTCAAGGTCATATTTAAATTATTCAACATGTTTGGTCACAAGTGTTTTGAAGGAAGACATCACATAAACTTTTGTGTATTATTTCAAGCATGTGTGGGCCTTCAAAATTAAATAAGCTAGCTAGGTAGCTTTCTTACTTGAATGAATCCAAAATAGGACCTACAGCAGTGAAGGACAAGTGGTTTTTTTTTCACTTGGGGACCATATAATGTTTCCCATTGAATGGCACTAATGTGTCACATTGAAGGTAACCACCATATTACCAGTTAATGTTAAGTGTTGAATTCTGCTTAAGTCGGTGCTGGAGCGGTAGCTTGCAATTACTATTACCATCTATGAACAGGCTCCATCAAACCCAGCCTGCAACATTTTCAACTTTGCTGTGTTAGGCTTTCTTTAGGAATTCTGTTTTTCTCTTTTTAGAAGTCAGCAGCCATTACTGCTAGACCAAGCAGGCCACCTGTCCTCTAGCAGACGGTCAGATAAGTAAACAGGACAACCAAAATGTGAAACCACATACAAGCAATGGATACAGGGAGGCATAAATAAGAAAGCTAATTTACAATCTTTTCATACTGAGACAAAAAACTGCCTAGTACAAACCTTTTTTGCCTAGTTTTGATGACTTCAGTAGTGATTCTTGTGGTGTTATCTGGGAAGAATCTGATTCAATATCTACATACTCTAGACTTGTCTCACTTAATGTTGACTGTGGTACAGGACCTAAAATAGTGATACAACATTTAAGTGTTACACCTTATCAGATTGCATCTAAATGGACTAGTTGTTTGAAATATTCAGACTCATAGCATATAGACTTTATTCCTTAGTCACTGGCATACAATGAATAATATGCATTTAGAAATATTAAAATTGACAAAAAAAATTGTTTATGATTCATTTTGTTGGGTTTGGTGATACCAGGGCTTTTTTTCTTTTATAGCAGGGGCCATTATAAGGCTGCTTCCCAAATGAGAAATTCTTCAAAATTATGCAGTTTTCCCCATAAATTGAATTTACATCAAGTTTTTTCTTCCCCTTTGCAAATATACCATGTCATTTTTCCCCAAAATTAAGGTCAGGGCTGCTTCCCCAATGACAACCTGTAAAATAAAGTCCTGGATACAAACACTATCATGATCATATGGCACCTTTCCTGCATTACTGGTCAAAGAAGCAACCTCAGATGCTCATTCCTTTTGGTTGATTTTACAGCACACCAACACAATTCAGTTGATATGGCATTGAAACAGGATAGATGATTTTTGCTAACCTGAGATGTTACAAACTATAAGCAATACTGAAGGGGGGGGGGAGAGTTAAAACCACCACACCTGCTGGAGCTAAAAGAGGCCTAGACTCCAGTAATTTGAAAAACCCATTTTTTTGTCTTTTGCAATCATTTAGGGTTTTACAGTTGCTCAATTCTGATGCCTCAACCTATAAACAGAATCCCTCAGCCACAAGTCATAACTGAAGTTATGTACGATAAACAACAGCTTAATAAGAAGCTTACAAGGTCTCTATGACCTTGGTCTTTCAGTCAAAAAAGAATATGATGGGTAGTTCAGATCAAGCTGCATTTAAAGTTCATACTTCAATTAACTTTGATTTCATATTTTGTTACTACAGGTCCCACTGATCATGACCTTTGACCTAAGAATGTGAGGCTCATCTACATACAAGTTTAAAGGTTCAAAGTCAATGCACTTTGCTTTAATGACAAGTTTTATGTTTTGCCTTTACAGGTTTCAGTGACCTTGACCTTTGACCTGAAAACAAATGTGGCAGGTACAATTAGGTAGACGACCTACATATAATATCATATACCAAATATCAAAGCTCTGGGCCTTGTACTTTCAGAAAAGAAGATTTTAAAATTTACATTTTCAAAACTCCTTTTCTGGCCAAATAACCTACTTATGCAACAGACTGGAACAATTTGAACAACTTTGAAACTTTGATGATGTATAAAGATTGAAGGTGGAGGTCAAAATAGCTCACCAAGAGCAAATTGTGCTCAGGTGAGCTAAGAAAGGAGCTAATTATTTTTATAATGTTTGACTTAAATGTCATTTTTTCCATTGAATTCATACAGCATAAAATGTAAGTTTATAACACACAAGACTAGGTTAATATGTTTATCAACTTTTTTTCTTTCTCAAAAGTTTATTCCGATTGTAATCCCGACAGAAAACAACATGTTTACTAGTGGCAATAAAGATTTGAAAATAAAATCTGACCTGAACCCTCCTTAATCTGGTTAATAAACTTGATGGGTTCTGGACCAAGCATGTACGGTGTTATGCTGCCATCCATATGTTGCTCCATCTCTGTATCTGACAACCACACAGCATCTATACTACACTGTGAAAACATTATGCATGATCAATACATGCTTTTAAAGTCACAATATCCATGCTAACTTAATAACATGAATTTTTAGCTCACTAGACTGATGGAGACAAAATTTTATTATTATCCTTTTCTAGACTGTTCTGTATAGTTTTAATAATCATTTTTTTTTAAAGTTACATTGATTTTTTTGTAATCATATTTTGTTTGTTTCGGGTTTTACGTCACATCGACACAGTATAGGTTGTAATCATATGGCAACTTTGCAACTGTCAAGCTTATTAAACAAGAGGATTCCCCTTGTTTCTCATTTGTGCATTGTTTCTGAATGCACACATACAGCCATTTTGTTAGGTTGTGTACTTGAAAATGTCCTAAATATAAATAAGTATTCATGAGCAAAAATAACAGACATCTTTTTTGTAGAAATAACAATGTATAGAAATAATGTAATTGGTAAGATTTTAAAAAATATGTTTATTTGCAAAGTTAATGCTTTACTCAGTGTCTATTCAGTGATGGGGGGGATTCACCCATACTTTTGAGAATTCACCCCTATTTTTTTTAGAGGAAGGGGGGAAATTTTACATAGAGACAAGGATAAAGATCAACAAATGTAATAAATTCTCACTTTTTGATAAAAATCCCCCCTGTTTTTCGAATCCTAGAATAGACACCAAGTACAGTTTACCTCTGTTTTTAATGTGAACATAACTCATGTATATCTACCTTTTCTATAGATGCAATAGGCACTGCCAGAAATATAACATGAATCTTGGTGGGAAGATGTAGATATCTTGTAAACTGTGTACGTATTACTCCCTTCAGTACAATTTTCTGACCTGTTGCCTGAAAATTTAATATACCGGTATACAGTACACTCCGCTTATAACGAACTCAAAGGGACATTCAAAACCTGTTCCTTATATCCGGAGTTCCTTGTAAGCATATAGCGAATTAGTTCCTTGTATCAGGAGTTTTTTTATAGCGAACAGATTTACATATAACGAACTGATTGTTTACCATTGTCCGACATTTTTGAAGAGCATTTGATTAAGAAATATAAATATTAGTCATTTATTTATATTTTAGACACAATACCCGAGAGCGTACTTTTTGGAATTTGAAAATCATTGCTATTTCAGTTTTAGTTTTACTCCCTATCTCAATTTCACATAAAATATAATATTTTGTTTCTAAACTCTTTTCGTTTTCTTTCCATGATTTAGAATAAACAAGATTTTCGATTTTTCCTTCCTTTTATATTGAATACAGTATCCTCTTTTATAATTTAAGGGTGACTTTTACTAATGTAAGATATAGATTTCTTTTCATTTAAATCAAGCGTACTTTGCAGTTTGCAATGGATCATGCTTGCAAGCATGCATGATTATGTTGAAAACCGATTATAAATTATTATAATTATTTTACTCGAGCAAAACTATTGAAGAAAATAAATAAATAACCGTTTTATCTTGGTGAAAAGAGCTCATGCTAAAAATATCCTAAATAGAAAACTATACAAATTCATTTGAATAGATGTATTGAAGTACATACAACGATAAACGGTACATTCGCCCGAGTTTTAATCCGTGCGAATGAAAACGAAAGTTGAAAATGCGGGATCTATTTACGAATAGCCAATATTTTGGAGTTCGTTATAAAAGTGTAATTTTCTGTACCATTAACTAAATTGGGACTAAGAAATGAGTTCCTTATAAGCTATAATTCCTTATAACCGTGTTGGCTATAACCATATATTTTTATATTAAATAAAGAAGGGCAAAATTTGGGCCAAAATAAATTGTTCCCTATAACCGGAGGTTCGCTATAACCGTGTTCGCTATATGTGAAGTTTACTGTATTAAGTGTATATATATATAATATACCCTTAAATTGTCTTAAAATGTATCAAATGAGATTTTTTATTTCAAGTTATCAACCATTCTTTAGCGTAGAACTTGTATTCTGTAAACAGTCAAACTATGTAATCCCTATCATTTCTCTAGCAATTAACCCTTATTTATCTTCTAGTGTAGTACCCTCAGCGGGTAATGCATCCTGCCTATGGTAATTTGAACATGTGCTAGATATGGGAAACGGACAAAATCCCTCCCGGACAAAAGCCCTCCCGTCAAAAAATGACAAGATGGACAAAAGCCCTCCCGTGAAAATGACAGGGCGGACAAAAGCCCTCTCATGAAAATAACTGGGCGACAAAAGCACTTCTGTGAAATTAACAAGACGGACAAAAGCCATATGTTGAATACCTGTGTTTTTTTTCAATGCACTCAACATATTAAAATTGTTGCATATATTTCTTGTTGTTTTGAAACGAGGTAACTTTTTACATGAATGTTGTTAAAAACAAAGTCACTTTTAAAATTAATTGACTCATTACATGACAAATTATAGATGTCTTTGACTTGTAAGTTAAATAATTTTTATTTTAACTTCTTTTCATCATTTATTACTCTATTAATCTTAATATCAAATAGGAGTAATCCTTCATATCTACGTGAATGAATATGCACTTACAGATTTTAGCACTAATTATTCAGATGCCTCTCAGGAATGTGCTCAAGCTCATACAAACACGCTTATGCCATTGAAAAAAAAAATATGATTACAATTTTAATATGTTGAGTGCATTGAAAAGAAAATATAAACTATTCATTGTACAAATATGTATTTCCTGGGGGAGGGCTTTTGTCCGCCTTATTATTTATACGGGAGGGCTTTTGTCCGCTAGGTCATTTTTAAGGGAGGGCTTTTGTCCGCCCTGTCTGATTTTCACGGGAGGGCTTTTGTCCGCCTTGTCATTTTCACGGGAGGGCTTTTGTCCGCCTTGTCACTTTTTGACGGGAGGGCTTTTGTCCAGGATGGCTTTTGTCCTACACTCGCTAAAATAATTAGCCTACTTTATAGGATTTTTCATTTAAGGGAAAAATACAATTTGTTGTATTATAAACAAAAATTTGAAAGAAAAACTACTGACTAGATAAAGGGTCTTATGTTGGTGTCTACTTGACTGTCAATCTATTGATAAGTGTACATAGCATTTGAATTTAATCATACAAGTATATTTATGCCATATAGAAAATTCTAACAGAATCCATTGATATTAAATGATAACTTTTCAGATATACCCTGTCACAACAATCGACAGGACAAAATAATTGTATGATAAGATAATGTGGCACTACTCTGAAGTTGCTTGTTAAATTATATTATGTCACAGATCAGATCTTTGTGAAAATAATAAAAAATATTAAATAAAAGCATTAGGGTAAAGTGATCGTAAGTCGGACACAATCGAAAGTCGGACATTTTTAGCTGTTCATTAAATGTTGTTAAAACATTTCTTACATGCCAAAAAGTGCTGTCAAACCAACCTTAACATTTAAACCGTGCATAGTTGTCTTTCTTGTCAGCGTGGCTTACTTCGTGTCTTTCTGAATATTGTTACTATAAATAGCTCTATCGGCGCGAAATTTGAAAATCTGGATTCCAGAAAAGTAAGACTGGTCTTCCTATTTCAGTGGTTTAAAGTATTAAAAATTAAAGAATGCATATGTAAATATATATCAACTATACAAGTATACATGTTTACTTTGTGTTCTAAACTTGTTTAATTATTTTGCCTCGTATTTCTTTTACCTTTCCCCACCCGGCGTAGGAACCAAATTAGATGTTAAGTCGGACAGTCAAAAATGAAAATTCGATGTTAAGTCGGACACTGTTCAAAGTAGGTTCTATTGACATAATTACCCATTGTTCTATACATGACTATATCTACAAGGTCTAGTTTTATTCTTTAAAACGACAAAGAGCGTATAGGCCTATCTAGTAAAAGAAAGATATTTTTTAAGCTTCCTATATTTTTTTGCGATACAATAAATTCATCATTGTATTTATTGAAGCTTAATATCAAATGACTTTACATCTAGATCTATAGTTAGATAATTGATTGAAAAAAAATGTCTTCAGTGTTCGAGATTTTTTAATATAGAAAAGATACATGTACAATTCTGACAAGACATGTGCTCTACGAATACAGGAATAGACGAAAGGATAGGCGGATACCGCGCTACATGAAATTTAATTAGGCTCTTGTCACTGCTTTCTTCCTATCATTATTCTAGATCTAGAGTTCATATATATTCATGGTTCATTAATACTTACGCTATATTACTTCTTTCTAAAATGTGATATTTGGTATTTGTGTTTTCAAATAATGTTAGATATCTTTATGTCAAACATATGTTCAACTCATTACTTAGCTGCTTTTTTCTTTGTTTTACAATTTAAATGGTTTCTTAGTTTCAAAGTGTTACCAACTTTTACTTTGTTATTGCTTGGTTGTAACTGGTATACGTATGTATACGTAAGCAGATACGTTTTTAGCCTGCACCCTTGAGCCAAACTTGTATTAGATTAGTCTCAATATTTCGACGGCAAGACAGACCGATTTTATAATCTGATATTATATAGATGTCTGTCGCGAAGGGCGACTATCGTATATATAAAAAAGCCCTAAAGCGCACAATTTGTTTGGCTAGTATTAGATCTACCTGAAACATAAAGGTCCTAGTCGCCATGTCGGCTTGTGTTACCTGCGTCGTGAAGACGCACAGAAACTTAAAATGATACACTTATGTTCAAAGCTTCGCTCTTATAAAAAGTCCAATCTACGTTATATAAAAGCAATTAATAAAAAAAAAACATAATTACAGAATCTCAGAATCAGGGTTAACATGTGTAAGGCAGACACACTTCATTAATCTGGGAACATATATAAATGAGCCGTGTCACGACAAAACCAACATAGTGCGTTTGCGACCAGCACGAATCCAGACCAGACTACGCATTTGCTGCGCAGTCTGATCAGGATCCGCGCTGTTCTCTACTTGAAATAGGGTTGGTTAGCCAAAAGCATGGATCACATTCACATTTTGCCGTAACATATATATTATCATGATTGAACACCTTTCTCTGTTTAAATGACATGTTGCTTTTTTGCTATTTTTTGTTGTTGTTTTTTTGTTTGTTTATTTTTGCTCTGCATGAATTCGAAACTAAATCCCAAATACGTCCTAGACCTTTGTCAGTTCTAAAGTGAAAGCAGTGACAACAGCCTAATTTGATTTCAATTTAGAATATAAATCTGTTACTGTTGCGTAACAATATTCATGCTATCACAGGTATCTTTCAGAAAATATATTTTATTAGACAAACGAAAATGTTCTAGCTGAACCATCCATACACATAAAATAAAACAGCAAATTTCGACACTCTCCTCCGAATGTGATATTTTCTTTAACCAAAAAGCATATTGTTGTTTAGATGTTGTGAGAAAAACAGGAAATTGTGTACGTTTCTAGCCTTTAGGTGGGAGAGTGAGGTTTACGTACGTCTTACCAACAAAGTATTACTAAAGTCATATTGCGTCGTCCAGCTTTACCAGCTTTACTGATAGAGGAAGACGTCAGGTGCCCCTCTGTACGTTATTGCAGACACAAAAGAGCAACTAAGTAGAACAAGCGACATTCCGTAAGCAGGTTTGATAGCTTTCTTACATGTAAAAACCTACGATACTTGCGTGACTGGAACCAACAAAAATAAATACATAATTGAAATCATTTAAAATGCTTACTGTACAAAAACATTGAATGAGTACATGTATGTAACGGCGTATCCGCGTATTTTTACGTTTATGCGTCGGCTGCATGTTTTGTCTAATATTACCCTGAAGACACCTTTTTTCAAAATAAAATATCATGGTAACGTCAATATTTTAGTGTTTCATTTAATTTGCAAACTTAATGTTTTATTTACACTGTACTTACGCACTTTAATCAAACTAAAATACAAATTAGTCTGTAAGCATTAAATACGCCCCGTTTCTGATATAGTCAGTCTGATCATTGGGAGCGATGAGAAATGAACTTGCTTAGAATCATCAGTCACACAAATTATGCTATAAACTTTAGTTAAAAATATAATAATTGTATTATTTATAATGTTTATAATATTTCTGGAACAATAATACAACATCCATATATTTCATTCGATTATTTTGATGAATACCGATTAGAACGGGACCGTAATTTTTACCGCCCAAGTCAAAAAAATTGGTGTCCGACTCAACATCAAATCCGTCCGAGTCAACATCAAATGCTGGTACCTGGCTTTACGCCCGATCTTTATTCTTTTCTTACACTGGTTCCGAGTAATTATGATTGTTTTTCGCATTTTAAAGTATTCCCCCGTGTGTAAGTGCTTTGGAAATTCCGATATGTTTCTAAAAATAGATTCTACAAACGGAAGAAGCAATGATGTGTCCGACTTACGATCACTTTACCCTAAACATTTAAACAGTGTTAAAGTTTATGTCCATAATCTAGAACAAAAAAGCACATATATCAACATTAAATATATCTGTAACAAATTGGTTGGTTGTGTCAGTAAAAAAGGCAACTTTTGAAGAATGTACACAGCCTATTTTATCATAATTTACCTGTTCACCAAGTTTAGTTGCAACAACTTTGAGGGACTCATCCCCTGTTCTGTCACAACTTGGAAGCCATAGACCTTGACCCCCGAAGTTCAACAACAGATATCTGTTGTCCAACGTCCGAGGTATGAGAAGACTGACAAATTCTGATGCCATTTTATACACAATTCATAGTCTAAACTTCAAATTAATAAACAAAATTCCAAAATTTCAATCACTTCGTAATAACAAACGGTGTTCATTATATCTAGAAGTCGTATTAATCGCTCTCGCTGTCTTCATTTCTGTCTGGTTTCAATGCAAATAAAATCATTTGAAGAGGTAAACAAGTTAAAAAGGCCCAAATATTTGTGTATTATAATTGAAATATAACACTGCACACATTTTTATCAACTTTATCATTAAATTTCAGATATAAATGTTCTATAAGCTGTTTGTCATTTGTTTTCGCGTAGTTTATTTTCAATTTTGTCATTGATTTTGGGGGGTGAAGTGTCTTGAGGGGTTAAGTGTCTAGGGATGGAGTGTCTTGATCCCGTTTCTTTTTTATTTTAAAAATAAATGAACAACATTATGTTCTGTGATATAAATTCTGGTATTTTCAGTTGACGGTGTTTATAAATTGGAAAGTTCTAGCCGTACGTGAGTCACGTTTGACTAGCCAGGACTCACTGTATTGTCTAGCCATATGGCACTTTTCAAAATTATATTGAAGTCGAACATGCATATGTTATTTTGTGCCTCATGATTATGATTTGTTGTTTTATTTGTATGAAAGATGAATTGACATGGATCGAATAAATAATAATCGGAGTGGAATAAATAAAAAGATCATTGAAAAAAAAAACGATGAAAAGGAAAATAATTGTATAATTTTCAAATAGGGTCTACAGTAGATAAATATCTAACATAAAAGCACAATCAATTAATTAGCCTTACTTTAAAGCGTAACCCAGGGACTGACAATAGAATTTTAAAAGCGTTTCACGGAACATATGTAAACTTTCCTTATATTATTGATTCTATTATCAAAGCCTAATAACAACAATAATTTTCGTGTTTTTTTTTGCATTTCAAGGTGTCAAAATTAAACTTAATGAAACAAAAAAGGATACTCGTCAAAATTTTGTAAACTATTTCAATTGATGTTATTTAACTGCGACCAAACGCTATTTTTTCTCAACGTCTTGAGATGACAAAGATCGATATTCGTACTTTTTTTACTGTAGCCAACAAGGCGATTAATCTCTAAAAAGTAAACATACAAAGACAATTGCTGTTTCTTGGTTAAATCCTCGCTTAAAGTCATGAAATAACATATATATTTTCGACTTCCATATAATTTTGAAAATGCCGTATGGCTAGCTAATACAGTGTGTCCTTGCTAGTCGTACGTGACTCACATACCGTTTAATTTTTAAACTAGGTTTGTGGCAATAGCAGGCAAACACTTGAACACCCCTAAATTTTAGTGATATTAGTGCAAATTTAAAAGGCAGTGGCTGGCCGTACAGTCTGATAGCCGCAACTATACATCATTGGTGATTATCTGACAGTTAATCATTAATGTACAAAATACAAAATATGACAGCTGATTTAATCCAATGTTGCAATTTGTCCTTATGTGATGACAAAATAAACTGTTCCATGCGACATATAATGATAGGTATCTGGATGTTACACCTCATGTTTTGCTAAAAACGTTCTTTGCCAATGTCTAATGTGTATGTTGTACTTGACACCTGTCACCTTTTATTCAGTGGAAACTCTGCCAATTGGTCTTACTATATTTGACAGAAATCTAGTATAGTTCACTTTATGTCATAGCAATCATTAAATAAGGTTATGTGTCGACATCAAAAATGTATTCACAGTGCTCGCAATTGACATGGCTATCCGAGGTTTGACTCGCGAAAAATCTTGAAATGCATTGTAACATTTGACTCATCATAAAAACTGCACTGGAGTCAATTTGCCATTGTGGGAATTTTCAGCTATACATTAAATTCAATTACTTTCATTTCACTCCTAGTTACCTATCAAGTCCTACATATGTTCAAATCACACTTCAAAATAAACATGTTAAAAGGCAGTTAAACTTGTGTTTAAACTACTTTACACATTGTACCAAAGCTAGATTCTGAGATACTTTATCTGGGTCACTAAAATCTATTGCCCATACTCAAAATAGCACAATCATCATCATCATCTTGACACATAGTACAATAATAGTTGGACTTAAGTCATTTCATAGAGCTATTTTAAAACCTGCTTGAATAACAACTATTCATAATTGTTTCAGATAGTGAAATAGATGAATAAGACTAAAAATAAAATCATTTTTTAAAAACAAAAGCAAGAAATTCTCCGTTCATTAAATCCACATTTTTGACTTGTGAAATCATGACCCTATTGAGAGCCCTGATAAATTTAAACTTGTTCACTAAATAAACATCTGTCATTATCAAAAATTTATTATTTGATTGTATGAAGTAAAAGTAATTAAAATTCTATTTTGGGAGTGGTTAGATCGGATTATTTTTACTGCTGTATAATTACGCATGTTAAAATTTCAAAAATATCAGTTCCTACAAAAAAAGTGGATTTAGTCAAAAGAAAAGTATCTGGCACTTTTTATAAACATGAAAATTATTTTGACATATCCACTAAACTCAAAGTCTTCAACATTTCTTAAATTCTTAATGTGAGCATGGAGCAGCTTCTTCCACAAATTTCGGGTTATTGATTGTCTATAATGATTAATCTATTGGGGGTTAATGTGTCAGACTGATTATCTGATTATTGCTCAGGTCGCCTTCAGGTTCAAACCCAGTCAAGGTTAAGCAGTTGTTTCCTTGAGCAAAGTATTTTACACTCATTGCTTAGTACTGGTTGGTTCCAGGAGCAAATTCGAGAGTGTTTCAATAAGCTTACAGCTGCCAACACTATCAAACTAAAATGAATTTGTATAAACCAGTTAAGAACTATTTTGATTATCACATGTAAATCTATGTCTTCTTAAAATTGTATAGTTATATAATTGTTTTAACAGATTTCACAATAGAAGAGATGGATGTTCTGGAGGAGTCGGAGCCATGTTGTTTTTATTGCACATCATTGTTAATGGAGCCATATATACAGTGTGCATCATGTGAAAAGTCAGAGAGTAAGGGGGCAGTGACACTCTGTTTACATTGTTTTGCTAAAGGCGTGGAGTTTGGGGATCATCAGAGTGATCATCCTTATACTATAGTGGTAAAATCTTCTAAATACATTCATGCTCATCATAAATTCTTGCTTAATATATATAATATTCAAATTACAATGAATTATTTATATCTTTAAATGATTAAATAGGTTCAGTTAGTCTCAAGGTGAACTTTGTCAGTTGATGAAGAATAAGTTACTTAGAAGTTCAAAGTCTGAAAACATTGATGACAAAATGGGAGTTTTCAAGAAAAAATGGGAGTTTGTAAAAAAAAAAAATGGGAGTTTTCAAGAAAAAATGGGAGTTTTCAAGGGAATTGAGGCTTTAATTAATCCTTCTGCCAGGTAATTTCTATTTTTGAACATATCTATGTGTACCATAATGGTCCTTTAGTTCTTACAACAGCTTCTTAATAATGTTGTTTTGGTGGTGTTTTTTTTTCTTCAGAAAAACAATTTTCCTGTTTTTGAGAGGAATTGGACAGCTTTAGAAGAAATGCAGTTATTGAAAGCTGTTTGTGATTGTGGATACGGCAACTGGTAAACATAATTTATCTTCATATGCCTGAAAAACTGTTAAATAATATTAATTTCTTTTTTTTAGTGAATTATAGTAACCAAAACAAGTTATCAGGTACAAAAATTATCATTTTTAGCTTTTCATGTATATTATTCATTATATTATATGATATAACTAATATCTGCACTACAGTTAACGCATTGTGCATGTAGTGGTATACGATTTAACTCTGATGTCTTCAATAGTAAAGTTTCTAAACTGTGATACAAATATTTATAATATATCCTGTAAAATTATGTGTTGATGTTGCTATAATATACAGGCTAGATATTGCCCATAAAGTGAGGACAAAGACCTACCTAGAATGCGAAAGACATTATAACCAATGTTACATAGAAAAAGTGCAAGATGGACTCCCAGGTACGACTTTCAAATAAAAGAAATAAAAAAATTCAAAACTTTTCTTCCTCATTCTGTCTCATTAGTAAAAAGGTCTATGGGTAATATTTGTATCAGATTTTGATTTTACTCTTAACCTTCAGGGGAGTATTTTATCAATGGTGGCAAGGCTTAATCTTTGAGACAAGCATATGACTGCTGGCAGGATCAACCAGAAGTGGTGGCCTAATTGTTAAGGTGTCTGCCTCTCAACCCAGGGATCATGGGTTTGAGTCATGACTATTATTCTTCATATGACACCAGCTCTCATTGGTTCCAGGAAGCAGACATGAAAGTGATTTATATAAGTTGGAAGAACTTGTTTGGCAATGGAGCTTCAATTAATAAAATTAATAAGTTTAAACCACTGAATGCAAAAAATAAGAATTATTTGTTTTAAGTTTTACAAAATACATGTATGTAATAGTCCTCATAGCGTTATTGTAGGTAAGATATAATATACTAAATATATAATATATTATATGTTATACATCTGCTTGTTTTGATTTATCCTAAAGTCAAGGTAACTATAGTTTAACATAATTGTTATTCTTATGTGCTTTTATGGTGTATTTTTTGCAAACTTTTCTTATCAGTATTTTTCCTTTCTTATATTAATAGTTATTGCTCAATTTTGTTTCTCAATTACAGAATTCCCAGAAAGTAATTTATCATTTTTCCCCAGGCCAGTAGTGTTTAAATGTAAGTATATTCAATATAAGTTTTCTTAATTAATGCTATAGGATATTATTTGTGTGAAGCACTTTTTTCACACAAAAAATAGCGGTTCTGCTAATATTACATAAATTGTACTTGTATTTGAAAAAAGAAAAGTGCCATAATTCTAACAGATATAATGAAATCCCAAAATCCCAACAATATGATGGTGCCAGGGTACTTGATAATGATGATGACGATCATTGTGTGAAAGGTTGTTGAAATAATTTGAGAAATGAAATAAAAAAGGCAAATCAAAGATATTTTTTATGTTTTAGCAGGAGTATTGTGTATTAGGGTAGTCTTACTGCTATGCTTTACACCATTAAAATTCTAACATTGGCCAATATCGTAATAAATAAGTCTTTTCCAGAACGTTATTTTTCACAATCTTCGGTACTCAATAATTTTCAACCGTAAAATACTCGGATTTAGTACATAGCGATAAAGGATGAGTGATTGTAAATAATTTAATGCCCAAAATTTAAAAAAACTAACATTCATGAAATAATCGATTTGCTACAATATTGGCCCATGTAAGAATCTTTTGGTGGGAAAGCATTACAATAAGACTACCGTAAGTACAGGTAGCATTAGTGCACAAGAGTAAGCGAACAATGTGAATTATTTCATTAATATTTCAGTGTCAGAGGACCCGCCTCGTCCAGCTGAGGGTTCACATGTTACCACGGAAATGGCCGGATATATGGCGGGTAGAGGAGATTTTATGGTGGAACATGAAAACTACTTTGAACATGATCTCCGTAATCTACACTTTGATTTTCATGAAGATGATCAAGTAGAAACTGGTAATTTTAAACAATGTTGTCACAATTGTTGTTTCAAAAACTTAAGTTAAACCTTTAGCTAACTATATTTGCCTTTACCTCATTGAGTTTGCCTTTACTTCAATAAATTGCCTAAATCTCACTAAATTTGGATAATAGACTTGTGAGAACGCAAAAAATAACAACTTGCTTAAACCATCAGTTTTGAGCTAAATTAGCCTGTATATCAGATAAAATGACTGGCTACACAATTTTAGTTTTATAGTTTTAACTTTAATTTATTTTATATGTGTACATGTGCATGTATACAAGTAAGTATTTACATTTTACAACTAAATAAGTCTTTATTGATCCCTTAAATTGATTATGAATTATAAACAGTTGAGATCAAGTTCTTTGCTTGTCCACCAGTGTAAAGATAAAATGGCATACATATATTTTAGAAACTTTTTGTATCTAAATCACACAAACCTTGCTTTGAAGTATTGTCATTATTTGTGTTTTTCAGATCTAAAATTTGCTGTTGTTGATGTTTACATGAGATGTTTAAAAGAAAGAAGAAGGAGAAAAAGGTACATGTATATAAAAGTTTCCATGGAAACAAGTCATGCATGGAAACCACATTTATAAAAGCCACTTCTACATGGTAACCAACCAGAGATATTAAATTCATACAAAATAAAAACGTACCTGTTAGATTTATTAGAAGGTGAACAAAAACTGAAACTTTTGACTAATGTGTGCTAGTGGTTTTGATTAATTAGGAAGACAATCTTCCCAGGTATTAATTACCCAATTAAATTTTTAAACATCGGGTAAAAATTGCAATTATACTCAACTGAAAATCTTTAATACCCAATTAATTTTGATCGGGGTGGGTATACCTATTTACCACTGAGAGCTTATCTGGAGCTCTTATAAGCTTACTGAATTTAAAGCCTGAAGTTTTGTAATGGGCTTGGCTAAATTGGGCTTTCTTTGAAACAGTTCATAAGAAGTTAAGAATTACATTACGGAAATAAAACAGTATAGAATATTTTTGTCAGACTACTCAGTTACACAGGCTAGCCTGGATCTTAACTTATAGATCAGATCTTATAATATTCTTAGTAGCTTATGAATAGTAAAGCTTTAAGTTGCTGATTGTTGGTTATTATAATGTTAGTTGGAGAAAACTTGGAATATCAACAAATCTGCTCACCTAGCTCAAAAGAGAGAACAATGGGTTTGCTATCTAGGGGTTGCTTTGTGTAATCTTCATGTGTGCGGAAACTTTCTTCAATTTGATCCCGGACATTGTGTACACAACGGTTATTTGTCACTCACCCTTGATTCAGAAATCATGTGATAACTTGTCTGTCACTTGCAGAGAATTTGTGTAAGCTCTTATCTACTTTCATTTCATTTGTGAGGCGGAATTTCTCCATGACGGTTGATCTCTAACATTGGGTCTAATGATCATTTGTCTCTGAGAGCTGATTAGAAAAAAAATATGTGTGATTAGTAGCCGCTCACTTTCCATGAAATTAGTAATTACTGGTTAGTTATCCAAGAAAGAAGGATAGGTGGGACAGCTGCCGAGATATGACCAAAAATGTGTTGAAATTGGCATTCAAATCAGATAAAACAAAATAAAAAATATAAACAAAAAATTAAATTTTGTTTTCAGAATTATTAGGAAATATGGGTTGATAAATCTCAGGAAAAATATGAGTAAGTATAAATATAGTAGTTATGTGTGAAAATAAGGAATAATGGTGATTATTTCATTATATTTGTACCTGTGTTCTATACACATCCCTTTAAAAGTCTGGGTATCGGCCATGGGCGGCAACTCAGAATGCCTTGTTATTGCTCATTAGGCCGGTACCCTAAAGTGAGATTTGCGGATCCTAACACAACATGTTAACAGATAGTATTATTCTAACAAAACAGTTACATTCTTATTTTTTTTTTTTTAACTATTGGTGAGATTTTCAAATAATATTATGGCAATAGTGATGAATTTTATCAGATACAGGATCATATTTAAAAATTACTCTTATTCTGTTAAGCAATTTAGAACCCTTGTAGTTTTATTTAAAAAATGTGTACACTATATTTATATGCATTTTTTTTTCCTCCAAGGATCCATGTATCGACATGATGTAATATGGAGCCAATACGTTGAAGGTTTTAGGGTGTTTGCACGCCTCTTGTCACCAGACAGTTATGAAATGTTCCAGGAAGCGCTATATTGTAAGTGTTTAACTGTGTTTTTAAGATACCAGCAGAATTGTATTAAGTTAAAAAATAGTCAGTGTTGAGTTTGGAACGAACTATTTGTTGAATACCTTTCTACATACAATACAAAACAATGCAATACAATACATTACAATGCATAACTTTACAATCAATACATTACAATACATAACTTTACAATACAATACATAACTTTACAATACAATACAATACTTTACAATACATTACTAAACAATACATATCTTTACAATACAATACAATACATTACAATACATAATTTTACAATACAATACAATACATTACTATACAATACAATACATTACAATACATAACTTTACAATACAATACAATACAACACATTACCATACCATACCATACCATACATACACAAAGGCTGAAGTTACTGTATATTTGTCAGGTTAACATCATTGGGTACATTGTACTTGTCCCGCTAGATTTATTAAATGGGCAGCACTTGACTGTTTTAATTTGGAACTCTAGAACTCTCATTTGCTGATTTAAGGGGATTTCATTATAAAAACTGGCGATGGTTTTCGTTTATGGAAGGGACAGTCTGCTGGTCAGTCTGTCTGGAGCTGTGGAGCTGTGACTCAAAAACATCTTGAATTTTGCAATTTAAGCACTTAAATTAGGGTTTAATTTGTGCAATTTGTTTGATTCGCCAGGTGTTTAATAGAGTTATTGCCTCTGAGCCCTCAAAATAATACCCTCACTACATGGTGGGGCAATTTCAAGTCATTGAAATTTGTTGTTTCTTTTTTAGATGAGCAGGAATTGAAGAATGAGATAAGACATTTGAAAGAGTACAGAAGTAATGGTCTCACTAAACTACAGCATATAAAAATGTTCAGATTATTAAAAAAGAACCGAGAAAAGGAACGGGGTGATCGCCATTTGCTTCAAGACGTTATTTCTCATATAAGGGTTTGTTTTCACTATTTTATTTTTCCTGCAGGCGAACAAGTACCCAGTTTTCAGCATTTAATCATGTCCTTATACTACAAGTGCAAGATCTTTTATTTGTAGCATCGTTTTGGGACCTGGTCATTGAAAATGTGTTCCAGATAAATCATATACCAATAAATACACAATATGTTAACTGGAATGCAGATATGAGTTACCTGCACTCCAGTTACAGCAATGTCAGGGTTAGTGCAGATATTAGATACTTGCTGTAATAAAAATAGAGCATGCTTATAGATTGGCAACATTTTTTTCTGGGGGGTTTACATATTGTGAGGACAGGGAAAGGGATAATGATAGAGACATATTCATATATCAGTAGATTTGTTAGTTTTTTTTCTGAGATTTTACATAATGTGATGACAGAAAGTGTTATGTTTTTACGGCTATGATAAAAAGGAAGGAACAAACAGAAAATTTAATACACCAGTTTGTTAAGTGTTTGAAATTCAAATTTAGTATAACAATTCTTTATTTTACCAACAACAACAACAACTTTTATTAGCAAATATCGACAAAAACTTGCCTTTGGCTAATGAACAGAAAAAATACTTCAAATATTGATCATATATACAAACATATAAAGCAATTTTATATGAAACAATATTTATCAACACATATACGTATATATTCATTACCAATGTGTCCACATATGTGTATGCTGGAGGGCAATCTTACTCTACCAGTTAAATTAAAAAGTTGTTATAGTGCTATTGCCACTCTATTCTTTCCTTCTTGAAGTGTTGTAATGAACTGAGCATGTTTTGAATTCGAAATGAGCTGGCTGTACATGGTGAGTTTGAGAGATTCCAATATAAAAAAAAAATAAAAAAGAGCATTTTACATTATAGTGTCCAATATCAAACTAATAAAATAGAGCCTTTAACATTATAGAGTCCAATATCAAAATAAGAAAATAGAGCATTTACCATTATAGAGTCCAATATTAAAATAATAAAATAGAGCATTTAACATTATAGAGTCCAATATCAAAATAATGAAATAGAGCATTTAACATTATAGAGTCCAATATCAAAATAATAAAATAGAGTATTTAACATTATTGAGTACAATATCAAAGTAATAAAATAGAGCATTAAACATTATTTTTTCCCAATATAAAATAAAAAATAGAGAAATTTAACATTTTTGGCCCAAAATACCAAAATAAGAAAATAGACTTTTTTACCATTATTGGCCCCAATACCAAAATAAGAAAATAGCTTTAAAACCATTAGTTTTCCAATACCCAAAATTTAAGAAAATAAAGCTTTTAATTTTTATAGGTGCCCCAATTTATAAAAATAAGAAAAAAAGCTTTTAAACCCTTTATAGACCAATTTTAAAATAAAAAAAACTTTTAAAAATTATAGAGTCTTGGGGTTTATGCCCCGCAAAGGCCGGGCCCCTTTATGTACATATAATATCCCATGGACAGTCATTCCCTTTGGATATATTCAAAGGGTTTTAAAACCCTTCCCTTCACAAACCCAAAATTTCCTGTTTTGTTGGGAAAGTGTTTCCCTTCCATATGACTATATGGTGGCATTTGCATACCATTATCTTTGCAAGTATTTATAGCTTTTGCAGTCTTGTTTGTAGACAGTAACAATATCACCATTATATGTCCAGAAAGTGTTTTCTTTCTATTCTATATTACAATTTACTTTTGAGATATTTGTAATTTATTTAATATTTATTATATACATGTATATATATAGGATGAGTCTGCCTGCCAGACATGGTTACAGAGACAAGCCGCCCTGGAGAGTCTGGGGAAACCGTCACATCTTCCTAGTGCACGTAAGCATTTACTTTCTGTAGTTTAAATGGTTTATTTATAGAGAATGTGCTTTACCTACCAAACAAACATTTTGCCTATGTTTTGTTATATTAAATTGTAAATAATATTGTAAATTCTTTCCATGCTTATGAGTTAAGTTATTGTTAAATGCTTTTATAAGAAACAGTCCTTAAATTCTATATTTAATGGTCAGGTGCTTTGCAATTTCTAATATTTATTGTTAATTTCTAATAATGAAAATAGCTATTCTTGATTTATTTCACTGATGATTTTATTGATGAATACTTGAATAGCACAATGTAAATACCTGATATGTAAAAATGTGCCATATCTGCTTCAGAAATAGAAAGAAAGGTTTCATAAAACTTTGAATCTGCAAACATCCCTATTCATACTGTGTTATTATTCTGTTTTAGCAAGAAGAGTGGCGCCCCCATTAGATGTTACAGGACTCCCAAGTTATGATAGATTGAATGTTAGGGAAAGGGAAGTAAGTAATTTATGGATTAATGTTTGAGAAGATCAAATTTTAGAGAAAGGGAGGTAATTTAGGTAATATATAAAATGTTAGATAAAGGGAGGTAATTTAGGTAATATATAAAAAGTTAGATAAAGGGGGTAATTTAGGTATATATAAATGTTAGATAAAGGGAGGTAATTTAGGTAATATATAAAAAGTTAGATAAAGGGGGTAATTTAGGTATATATAAATGTTAGATAAAGGGAGGTAATTTAGGTAATATATAAAAAGTTAGATAAAGGGGGTAATTTAGGTATATATAAATGTTAGATAAAGGGAGGTAATTTAGGTATATGTACAGGGAGGTAAGTAAGGTAGAGATTAAATGGTAGATAAAGGGAGGTAATTTAGATATATATAAAATGTTAGATAAAGGGAGGTAATTTAGGTATATATTAAATGGTAGATTATGGGAGGTAAGTAAGGTAGAGATTAAATGGTAGATAAAGGGAGGTAATGCTCATAAACTGAAGGTTTTTTTGAGAATTGATAGATCTCTTCTCTGACCTTTTAATTGAATAACAATAGATTAAACAACAAACATTGACATGTGCTCTATTGTTATGAATTAGGTATATGGCAAATGGTAGAAAAACGGAAGGTATGCCTGGTTTAGGTTAAATATCATAATTAAATTAATTATAAAAAACACGGGTTTTTAACACTAAAAACTACTTGCAATGAGAAAGACAAGTATATTGATGTAGCTCATGTTTAAATCTACATTGTATTATATTAACCAAATGGATGTGGTTTCTTGCTCAAAATTACTGACGATGCTCCCATGTAGAACATTAAATTCTTTGATTTGATGAAGATGAGATTTGCTGAAGTCATCTTCCAAGGAAAGTTGAGGTTCTACAGGGTCATGCAATTAGTAAATGTACTGAATAGCACATTGGGAATCCCTCTCCTATTAAAGGTTAACAATAGCTGTTTAAGATGTACTTTATAAGAATAAAAATTATTTAAATTTCAAAAACAGAATGTCATTATCTTTTGATTGAAATCAAGTTTGTATTATATTTTTTATTATATATTATATTAGTTCAGCTGAAACATTGGTATATTGTAGGAAATTTTAAGAATTTGCAGTGGACTACTTATTTTTTACTATTTATTATATGTAAGAACATTGATATGCAGTTGGAGTAAAAATAATCTATAAAACAATTATTATATCAGTTGGAGTAAAAATAATCTATAAAACAATTTATTATACTTAAAGATGAAATATTGAGAAATATTGATAAAATAAAATGCGTATTTTCATTTTCCGTATTTTCACTGTAAAAATTTATTTTTCACTGTGGTGAAACATATTTTCCGTATTTTCACTGGTGTCTAGACGGACTACTTTCTTTTAAATTCTGCAGTACACAACATTTAAGGGAAAGTCTTTCAAATTGTAATGTCAAAAAAGAGGAAAATGTATTATAATAAACAGAAAATTCAAGTTTTTTCTGTAACCACATGATTTATTTTCATTTTGTGGCATGAAAATTAACATATTTCACTTGTGGCTACCGCCACTCATGAAATATTTATTTTCACACCACTCGATGAAAATAAATCATGTATTTACAGAATAATCTTGAATATCCTCTATAGATTCTTCTTCCTCATTACATATATGTCTGTCCACTTAGCTCAACAGTGAGAGCATCATATTAGTGATACAGGAGTCATTGTTTTGATCCTTTAGCAAGGCGAGGCATAATACCACCATGAAAATTGAATTTCAGACATTGAATTTAATTGGTTTTTTGTCTATCATTGCTGATTCAGAAATTATGTGAGACAAGTGGTTGTAGACTTGCCGCAAATTTACGCGTTTGCTCTCCAGGAAAACCTGTAAAGTGGATAGGCACCTGAGATATGACCAAAAATATATTAAAATCTGTGTAAAAAACAGAATAATAAACAGTGCATACATTAAGTATAGTTATATATATTTCAGCTCTGTTCTCAGCTACGTCTCATGCCAAGTGCCTATCTTGAATTTAAAGTGGCGCTGATAAACGAGAGTGACAAACACGGAGGACTGCGGCTGGCTCAAGCTCGACAACTTATAAAGATTGATGTGAATAAGACGAGGAAAATATATGACTTACTTGTAAACGAGGGATCTATTAAAAAAGATAGCTCATAGGATTTCTAAGTGTATTTGAAGAAAAGTTTTATGATTTTGTATTGGATATTGAATAGCAAAAATGTTTTTCTCCTGAATTTCTTTTTTAACCTTTGCAATCTTGACTTTGCATTATGGACTAGTCAGGGTTAGAATTTAATGCTGTCCAATACAAAAATGTAGTATGGTAATGAATAACAGTGTATAAAAACTGAAATAAAGCAACCAAGAACCTGAACTGTAGGCAAATTCCTGAAAACTCAGTACCCATACAGTATAAAGCCTGGTCAGACAGTACAAATATGTAGACAACAATTATGTAGGTTGACATGGCTTCAAACTGGTAATATACACTAGACATCATCAGGCAAATCTGTAATTACACTGAAAGCGTGAAAGGCCCATTAAGCCTAAAAAATGCTATAATTTTAGTTTTGAAAAGCTTCTCATTTTTGGATATGTTTCAGGGAGATATGGGTATATGGTTATAATTTGTTTTAAAGAATTTTTCATATTGCAATGTTTTTGTTATATCAATAAATCAGCTTTTCAGCTTTTGTTAATTTATTTAACCTTTCGTGCCACAATTTTTGATAGTTCAACCAAATTTAAAACAAACTTGTTTATGAATGATTGGTTTGTTTTTTGAGCCACATCAACTCTATAAAGGTCATATGACGCCTTAATTTCCAGCTTTACCAGTGGAGGAAGACCTGGCAGGTGCCCATCTGTGCACAAGTAGGCACTTAAGTACAAACATTGTTCTGCAAGCTAGCTGGATAACTTCCTCACATGTAATAACTTATAGTCTCACTAACAGTGGCAAGGGGCAAGTGGTTTTCAGTCAAAATTCTGATTAAATGTCTTCATTAGTGCTAGTAGTAAAATAATTCGTAAAATATTTTCTTAATTCTTTTATGAACATTTTATAAAAAATAAAACGTGCAAAGTAATTCTTCATTTCTAACTTCAAAATGCTAAGATTTAGTGATAACCAGCCAGTACAGCCAAGTCAGGCTTGCCTTAATGGCCAATAACGGTCTTTTAATTTCATTTCTTAAGCATTGTGACATACGGAAACAGATTTAGTATAGTAGTGGTCAACATGCTAATATTCCTTATTTCTGCGTAGAACTTTAAATGGGGGGGGGGGGGGTCCTCTGTGGCTAAGTTGTTACGGTCAGGACATCTTTTTCTAGCATTAAAGGTTGGTAGTTCTACTTAGGTGCCCCTCTGTGCATTATTTCCAGGCACAACCCTGCGCTCCCTTTGCAGCTCAGTGAATACAGTCTGGTTACTTCACAAGAAAGTGAGCGATAGTGAAACATTCAACGGACGCACAGGAGAGTAACACAACCCCTACTTTCTAAAAACTATTCAAAAATTTTATCACTTAATGTGAAACTAACCAATATTTCAGTCACGCTTTATGTCAGAGCCAGTATCAACCTATCAATTATAAACATTTTACTGACATTATAAAGGTTACAAAAGGCCCGCAGATATCATGCTAGAAAACAATCCAGATCATAAAAACAACAACTTCAACAAGGGTTTTATATTATTTTATTATTTTGATTAACAACTGTAACAAGGGGAATTTTCACAGTATTCATATAATGAACAAATAATAGAAAACATTAACTATTTACAATGATTTTCATGAACATTATTATGAAACCATCATATATAGTCTGTTACATGATTAAAACTTGGTAAACAGAAAATCTCTACATTTAAGATATACAAATATAACAATTTCATTAAAATCAGCATTTTCGTTCCGTTACTCTTCGCTACCTAACAAAGGGTAGTGGAGCTACAGTTAGGATATGATTTTAATGAGAATGACAAATATAACCGTAGATTATAACATATACATGCTTTTATAGACTGAACATTAAAACTTTCATATAAATTTTGTGAAAAAATTAAACATATAATTAAATCATCAACATCATTTAGTTGACTATTCTTATGAAACACTTTAAGGTATAAAAACATAATCCTTCAGTCATTATAAAAATTAATTTATCATGAAACCTTATATAACATACAGTTAACAAAACAATAATTCTGTAACACTTTTAGATATAATAATAACATAGCTATTTGGTTCATTTTTTTTTTTCATGAAACACACTATGGTATGACAACATACCCTTCAGTGAACAAGCATTTATTATGAAATACTTGGAAGTTATAATTACATAACCTACACCATTAAGTGGTACACAGGAGGTATGAATCGTAGCCATTCACTCGGACTAAATTTACATCGAGCCACAAAAGTTATATTATATAATATTATTACATTAGTCTGCCAAATGAGAAGGCCTACATTAAATTTTTTTTGACAATCTCACAAAAACTGTCCTCTTAAACGCTGTGTTTTCAGTTGGGTTTAACATTGCACCAACATAGTATTATAAGACTTTCCAGCTTTACTGGTGGAGGAAGACCTCGGGTTGCCCTTCCACGCATTATTTCTGGCATGAACAGGCACCTGAGTTAACATCACGTCTATCTTGATAAACATAATGTATGCCAACAACAACAAAGAAGGTTAGATGCTAATAAGAAAAAAAAAAAGCTACAGTTTCTCCTATGTTGCTCTTTTTTCAGCTCCTTAAATTGTTTAATTTTTTCTTATTAGCATCTACTACATATGTCTTATAAAACTGAAAAAAATAGCACATAATTGCTATAAGCATGATAGGAGTTACGCAGAGAAAAATAAGGAAATCTAGGTTATAGTAAGTAGGAGTAAAATATAACAGCCAATTGTTAACAAAAGTATAAATGGAGGAGTAAAATATGCCAGCTAATTATCTACCAGCAGGATATTACGTCACACACTCTGTTCCCAGTACAGTTATATACCGCATTGGGTTAAATTATGCAACATACAAAACACTTTCCAATGACAAAATGAACACAAATAATTTATATTGCAACAATGAAAGAAAGCACTATCAACTAAATATATGAAATAAAAGCTTGATAAAAATTAAACATTGATGGAAACATCAGTTTCCCATATTTCAATATCAGTATAGTAATTAATCACACACTTTTAGTGGATCTTTCATCAATAAACCACCTCATGCCATCATGAATTAAATGCAGTAATTGGTTTTTATCAATACCCTTACAAAACAAAAATTGTAAAACAGAAAATGCCCTGCTTTAAATTTCAGTTAGTTGAGACTATTCAAGGTTTGTTTATGCAAGACTTTTATTTTACATTGAAATGATAAATTATTGGAATAATAAAACAAGAGCACCGAATGCAGTGTTAACGCTTGTCTGTTAAATGGGGTATAACTCCAAAAAATATACCTTTTAGAATTATCACCCTTGTCTTACAATGGCACCTTGTCATGTCAAGGAAGTTTTCGAAGTTTCATGTTGATAGCTTCAAAAATGTTTGAAAAAAATGGGCTATATTAAATTTTTTGCATGACAACAATAACACAGCGATCATAACAGCTTGACTTTTTCTTTGAAACAGACAAGCTAAAAATCACATCAAACTAGAATTGAGAGGCAACAACAAAAGAAGCTACATTCAGCTACAAAACAGCACTATAAATGGAATAATAATGACTTGGTCCACACTTTAATATTTTAATGAGCATTTTTATGAAGTAACTTATAAGCTTTTGTATCAAAATGGGAGGGGGGGGGTGGCTCTACGATTGTGACCCAGTTGTTATGGTTATGTTAATCCACTATCAATGATGATGGTTTGACTTGAATATGGAATAAATTTTTTACAACATCTGTTTCTTTTGATCATCATCATCACTTTTTTTTAAAAGGAATGTTTGATTTGATTTACAAGTTATACCTAGATAAAGAAAATGCCATGTCAAATCACAATTACAGAAACAAGTTGGTCATCACATAAATTTGAGTATGTTTGATTTGGTTGATTGGTTTTACCGGCACCCCAATTTTATCATATATTATTTTGGTCATATCTCAGGGTCACTCTGCCTAGCCAGCTTTCCTGGGCAGGGTTTTTTTCCCAACATTTTGGGAACATGACCCATACCCATGGAATTGGGAATTTAATTTCAGCGATGTTTTATTAAAAATTGAAAGAAAAATGCATGACTTAAATTTTGCAGAGATTAAATAAATGCAAAGAATCAATGTCTAGGATGGCATCTTTAAACATTTAAGCACCATAACAGTGAAGAAGCCCTTCTTTTCAATGAGTTTAGAATGTGTTATTCAATTTTTTAATTTTATAATTTTCAATTGGGAATATTTTTCCGTTGATTGGGAAAATAATATGCTATTTTCAATTGGGAATATGACCAAATATCGGCTATAGAATAAGCCCCAATAAAATCCAGTAATTACCAATTAACCGCAAGTGTTTAAATTACTAATCCCATATGATTTCTTAATTAGGGATAATTGACCATCGGACTCAATGCCGGAGATTTACTGCCATAGAAGAATCCAACTAGCAACCCCGGGATAAGGATCCAACTAGCAACCCTGGGATTCCAAATCTGATGCTTAATCCCCATTCAGCTAACCTGGCCACGGAGTTTTACAACTGTTTGTCTGAGTTCTGTCTCAAATCTCAGGATTTTCATTGGTCAGAGAATATTTTGTAGCAGTTTTCGACCAATCAAATCTTGAGATCTGAGTTAGAGTCTTGAGAAATTCTTCATAACCTCGGACCCTGCTGGAGGACTTATTTGAGTATATAATGTGAAAACATTGCATGTTGTCCACACAATTGTGCTAAAAATAAGTGTAAATTTAACAATAACAAAAACTGTTTACATATATCTATCAACAAAAACTACTGAATTAAATAACACAAAATTCCAATAATACAAAAAAAAAAACCAATTTACTTAAAAATTTGTGTAATAGACTTCAATTAATATAGGATAATAGAATTGAATTAAAGAACTTAAGCAAATAGAGCTATTTATGTTTAAAAAAATACTGTAATGAACATGGACAGAGAAAATATATCTATAAAATCATGAAAAAATTAAGAACGCATGTTATATTTGTATTCAATTTAAATCTTTGATTTTTAAGACACTAATTTCAAATTTTATCAAACAAACAAGTGACGGGTAACTGTCAAAAACTAATTTTTTCCGCTAAAATTTATATAAGTGGAAATATCAACAAAGGGCCATTAGTTTGCAAAAACAATTAAATCACAAAGTCTTGAAGGTTTACATTGAGGCACTTTAAGAAAATTATTCTGCAAAAGTTTGGATAAACATTTTTAAAAGTTAAAATTCAGCACAGAAGAGTTTGCTTACAAAATTTATATCGCCAGTTTTGCATAGTAAAACCGGATAAAATTGCTACAAATAACTCCCATATTTCTCAATTTCTTCTACAAGAATTACGAGGCAAACACATAGTCGGATGACAAAGACAAATAATTTAGGCATAACAATTATTTTTCCCTAATTGATTACTAATAAGTTCTACAAAAATAAGGCATAATTAATAACAAGCAATTCTTTTTTGTTTGTAACAAAATTCTACAAATCTGTCTAATATTTACCACACTTAATCTTTTAAATGGAAATGTATCTCTCAATCTTGACATTATCATTTATCATTTTCTGGGGGAAATTTAAAGTATGCAATTAACTAAAATATGGAACAGTGCAGACCATGATCAAACAGCACATATTTGCCAGCTAATCTTGGTCTGCACTGGTTGCATGGGGTTAATTTAGCTGCCACTAGCAGGCTAACGTCTAAACAGAGTAACTTTGGCACCATGATGAAGCTCTTAAAAAAAATATGCAAAAAAAGTTTAAAATATATATTTTATAATACAGTAAATGTATAAACATATAGAAAAATATTTCTTTTTTAACTACTTGACTACTGTAATCTCTTCTCTCCACCACTGTACCACTTCTGAAATATAAAATTAATTTGTTTTGTACAAATGGAGATAAGTAATAGAGAGAGCATCGAAACATGAGGCTATCTGATTTGAAGGAGGGGCTTAGCCCCCGCCCCCCACCCAGTATTAATCAGATTGCCAAGTGTTTTGATGTTCTTTATCATAGCCAAACATAAAAACACATTCCCTGTTGTCACAATATGAAACCCTGGAGAAAAGTAACCAATGAACAAGCATCTAAATATGATATTTCTGTCGCTTTTCCTTTCTCTGCCATCACAATTTAAATTAGTAAACACCATCAAAATTGAGCCAATCAATGGGCATGCTCTGGAGTGCGGGTAACTAATACCTGCACTCCAGTTAACACACGGTGCATGTATATGTATACGATTTAACTCGGACACATTTTTAACAGAAAGGTCCCGAAACTATGATACAATTATTGATAAATTCATGTATTTATTTATACATGTTTATTAAAACAACATGCCTCCAGATCCATGCTAGTGTTCATGAATTAACAAAAAGAGTAATTTACATATTGCAAACAGCACTGTCAATCCACGTAAATAAACAAATATATGTCGGAATATGCAAAAAAAATGCATCATTGCCTTAGTAACGCAGTAGAAATATGGTGATAAGAATGCAAAATCAGTTATTCATTGCATGTATCATGTAAATTATTACTTGAATTGTATACATAATATTAAAATTTATTTTTCTTAAGGTTGATTTTCTTTAATATTTTTGCTTGGCTGGAAGCATGTAGCTTTAAAGCTTGATTATTTAACAAGTTTTTGCAACTTTTACAAGTTTAAATCACTTTCAAGTCTGCTTCCTGCAACTTGTTTGTTTTATTGGGTCTTACGTCACACCTACACAGTATAGGTCATATGGCGACGTTCCAGTTTTACTGGTGGAGGAAGGCCTCAAGTGCCCTTCCATGCTTCCTGGAACTAACCATAACTGGTGAAATATGAGGAAAAGAAAGACAATCCATACTTCACATACAGAATGATCCTGTCTAATGTTACTAATGCAATGTCATTATTTCAATGTAAATTATAATGCATATTTGTTATGTCACTTTTCATTGGATAATTGGGATGTTTATACAGTTTTATATACACAGCTGCTGTCAATTTTCTCACTGAAATCTCACTTTTTTCTCAGGAAAGGAAGTTTGCAGTATTATTATAAATTTGTTATAAATATACTTGACAGGTTATATTACCATATATAAATGGTTGTTAATATAACCATCAGTTGTTTAAATAGGGCCATATAACCTGTCAAAAAAATTTATAACCAATAATATACACGTATAATAAAGTATATAATAAAAAGTCAGTGCTACAATACTTGTATATTTTATTTGGTTCTCGGTTATGATTGAATGTGTAGTTTTTTTTAGCTCTTATAAGCATGCTTTGCTAAATCCACACTTCAATTCAAGAATTATAATTACCCAATCACATTCACAATGTAACCATGGTAACACAGTATACTGACCTATCACAGACTAGAGTTGATGAACCAATGTATTATTGCTGAAATCAAGTATCATCTTTGCTTTTCTTTATTGCACCGACAGCTTGCGTTACTGATGTCACATCTTTTAAAATCATTTCTGCCACCTTCCTTGCCATCTCCTCTTGTTCCTGCAAATATACAATAAATTAGTTGAGTTTTAAAACAAACTGACCCTGTAAAGGTCATAAAGTGATTTATCCAGTTTCACAGGCTGGAATAACACCTCCGGTGCCAAGCTGTCTATTATTGCAAGAGCAGGTATACAAGTAGAACCATTAACTTTTTGTTTACTGGCTTGACCATTTCTTCACAAGAAAGAATCCAAGTCCATGGAAGAATTTGAATCCATATTGATAAATGCAAATGATTTTGAAGTAGATAACCTTATACAAACAACAAATACTGAAATAGCTGTTTGAGGCACAGCGCCTTCTACATTCTCAGTTCTGGTTAATAAACTGCTCTTTTAATGGCCAATTTGATGTTTTGCTATTTCAGTTACCAGTAACCTTGACCTTTTCACCTGGCAGGCAGACGTCATCAAGGCGCATCTACATATCAATGTAATCAATACTTCAATGTAATACCTTGGTAAATATTGAAATTACCATGAATGAAAACTTAACCAAATTGGTCAACTATATAGATTAACTGAAAAGGTTAACCGAAAAATATAACCAATGCCTACAAGTTGGTCATGACAATATTATCTGGTGAAACGAACTTGTACTTTCATTTGAATTGGATCTGCTCATTTACTTCACAGACAAAATCAACAACTTTTCCCGAAAAATAATGAATAGTTTTGTCTAGATTCATAATTGAACCCGTCTAATTAAGATATTTAGCATAGTAAGAGTAAAGTTAGATTTACCTTCTCCTTTTCTTTTTTACTTTTGAAGAATTTCGAACTGGACGAAGATTTCTTCCTATTTAATGATGTCAAATCTGGATCAGGATCGAACCTGGATACAAACTGACCAAGATCATCTATCTGACCTAAACTCATTCTTCTGTGAACAAAAGAAAAGAAAAATAAAGTAAAATTTTAGAACTATGATAAATTCAAAGGAAAATAATACAAAGTAATAGAATGAAATTTTTATTTTTGAAATATAATTAGCACAGTAATGATACAATTATTCCAAATTACATTTCTAGCCATACAGGTTCAATTTTTTTTTTAAGATATACTTTACTATTTCAAATGTCTACTCAATAAATCATATTAAGAGTAAAACAATTGATGTTAACTGGTGGTTTTTCAAATTAATAAATAGGTTAGTTCATCTGTTATCAATGCATATATTTACACAGGTCTACGAAAGGTTATAAAGGAAGCCTCTTGCTAGTTCTGGATGAATGTATGGCACAACAATAAATCTGAGGTTCTTTTAATTGCATGAAACTATCAAGCAATGATATAATTACCATTTGACAGACCAATTTTATATTTAATGCAAGTAATATAAAGAAATGTAATTGTACTATATGGTTTTATATTATATTGAAACATTGTAACATGATGTAAAGAATAGATACAATAGTTACTACAGTAATTATGGAAAACTGTAATGTCTTACAATGGTTAATGTAAAGTGTACTGAGAACAATTCTAACGGGCTTCACACAATTTGCCTACCAAACTGATAGGGCGGTCAAGTGCATTATTACACAATATATGCACAGCACAAAAATGAATGCTTAGACGCCATATGACATCAAATATGACATCAAATATGACGTCAATAAACCAAATGACATCAAGAAAATTACTTCTATGCTCAATGTAGTTCAGTATATTTTTATCAATTCTCTTTTTTATTAGCATATAAGAATGGAATAAGTCCTGTTTAATTTCATAGCAGTTAATCAGTTATTGCACTAAGGTAACATAATATATTCATATATCTGTATGTAAGATCATCAAAATATTTACCCGGCTTCAGGTCTTTCCCAGAGTTTATCAGGATTAAGAAAGCCTGGATCAAGGGTCATATTTTTCATGTTTTCATCAAGCTTGTGAAGCTGAACATTGCGGCTGTTTCCTGTGGCCAGCAGGGTGTTTCTGGACCTGACACTCTCACTACCTACACTGTGTGTCCCTACACTATGTTCTGATGAGGTTTCACTACCTAAAACAATAATGTCAACTTGTATAACCCAAACTATTTGTAATCTTTAATAACTAAAACTGTGACAAAGAGATTTTTCAATTTTGAAAATAATGATATTACAAATCAAGGTCTTAATGAAGCTTTTGTTCGGCTGAACGTTACATCCAAGAATGAAGACTCTAGCTTATATAAAATTAAGATGTTATGTCCAAGACCTGCAGACAGACAGATAAATAGACACAACAAAATCAACACCCCAACAAACTAAAGAAAAGACAGAAGCTGGTACATGTCATATAGTATTAGGACATACCTCTTCGTTTTCGTTGACCGATCGGGAAATCTTGTGCAGTTTGTACCGCTGAGACCAGCTCAGATAGGTACTTATAATACACATCACTTGTCAGGTAATGCTGTAAATGACGCTGAAATTTAACATGATAAAAAATGTATCGTTAAAGTGACATTAAGTTCATATTTTCATTAAAAAATTTCAAGTTAAGCTCGACTGACTACATATTTCAAACAATTGACTCTTAAAATGGTGATTGATCAACAGTTGATATTGAAAAATGTTTAAGATAAAATATAAATACACCTAAAAGATTAAAAGACTGCCCCACTGAAAAAGACTGTACATTGAACATTACAATTCTAATGGATATTTCTAAGAATTTCCTTAGGCTAAGAGAGTTATTTATCCTTCATGCGGGGTAAATTATCAAATTAGCAGGAGTTATGGCAAAATGATTACATATTCTGACTTTCATCTGTTTACTCACTATATACCCTTGGACGGGCATAATGTCACTTTGTTTGGTCTTTATACCATACTATGCTAGACATCTTCAATGAACTTGTCTATCTTTCATTGGTTACAAATCCATTCATTTAAAGGAAACTTTTATAATTGTACACCAACACAGTATAGTTCATATGGCAACTTTCCAGCTTTACTGGTAGAGGAAGACCTCAGGTGCCCTTACATGCATTATTTAAGGCACAAACTGGCTCCTGAGTAGAACCACCGACGGTCCTTAAATTTTTAAGACCAACAAAATAAGAAAGAGTGCAGACCATGATCATAAAGCATAGAGGTGCCCACTTGATCTTGATCTGGTCAGCACTGATTGCAAGGGTAGAATCAGCTGCTGCAAGCAGGCAAAGGAGTAAAATATTATTGCTATAATGCATCAATGTTCACATTATTTTTTCATTGATAATTCAGATATCAATATTCTACTTAAATAAAAAGTTCCTCATAACAGTCTTCCTGCCTGTCCATTTATTCTATGGCATATTATTTCATAACCTTTAATCACATGTTAATAAATGAAAAGTTCATCATGGTGAATGTCATACCATACTTAGAAAGATGCTCAACATACACTAGATAAAGTGTTTGGACAACAAGAAAATATTGAGTTTCAAGTATATCATGGCATATAATAGATGTGCTAGACCAGTAGCTCTTACCCTTTGTATAGTGTGTAGAACAATTTTTCTGGGTTTTGAGAAACAATCTGGTAACGGTCCACCTTCTCTACAAATATTACCTTCTATCTCAAACCTTATAGTATCAGGAAAACCAAGAGGTGAAGCAGCTTGTAAGGAAAAATATCTGAAAATAAAAACATTCAAGATTTACAAAGACATCTAGAGCAAAACAACAACCTATACTTAACAATTAACACTCAATCTGCTGATATATTTTTTGCATTGTTTTGAATTTAAAGGGACATCACTGAGGTTTATTGACATGACGGGACTGAAAATACTTTTCAAATATTAATGTTGCATTTGATGTAGGTCTAGACCAATAACTTGTATGCAACTTGTATGCAAAATATCTGACCATTCGCACCTTGGGTTTTTCCACAAATGATTATATTCATTGTGAAAAATGACCAAATGTTGAAAAGTGTTGCAAAGCTTTGCACTCATATTGGGCTAAAAAGAGGACAAGCATATGAATTTTCAATCTATTATTTTCAATCTATTTTTGAGTATTTTTCTGAATAACTTTTGTATATTTAGAATTTTAAGGCCAATGGACCCCATGAAAATGAAAATTTTGAAAATGTATTTAGAAGTATAATATTGTGAAATGAACAAAAGAAGTAATTTACATACTCCAAACAGCACTTGCAGTCCATGTAAATTACCAGAAAAAGGTCAAAATATGCAAAAAATAGCTCTTACTACATTGTTCATGAGGTAGAAATATGGTGATAGATATTGCAAAATCAGTTATTAATCACATATAACACGTAAGTTATTACATGAATCTTTTAACTTCTCTTAAAATCCTAGTACATTTTTTTCATGTTAGATTTTCTTGAAACATTTTGGCTCATTGGTAAGCATCTGTAGGATTTCAATATCAAAATATAAACATGCAGTGTTAATGCCCATCTGTTAATTAATTTTTACACGAAGTAAAAAGGGACATAACTATAAAAATACAGCTTACAGGATAATGCCCCTTGTCTTAAAACTTCAGCTTGTGGTAATAAGCAAGTACTCAAAAGTTTACTGTTGATACCTTTTTAAAATGTTTGAATAATGGAATACTTTAAAGTTAAAATAACAGAATGACAACATACTTATAACACAATTACAATATACTTATTATTATATAACCATTAAAATATCACCATGACACTAAAAATATCACCAAGACAACATACTTATCATAAAGCACCATGGCATCATCTTGAGCTTGCAGACCATCATAATTACTTTGGGAGATCAATAAATGTTCAAAATTATCTGCAGCTATAACAAACTGTAGTAGATGACTAAGCCCTTCCTGTTCCATGTACTGAAATGATAAATTAACAAACTGGTGTAAATGTACAAAAGAGTGGTTGGGAGATTTCATCTTTTTGAATTCCCAATTTCATATTCTCGAAATCACAATTTTAACATACAGAATTCACTATTTCAACTTTATGAATTCACAATTTCAACTTCATGAATTAAAGATTTCAACTACCCAAATTCAACTTTGCCTGATTTCAGCTTTGAAGTTGAACCTGAAATCGTGAATTCACAAAACTGTGATCATGAAGTTCAAAACGTGAATTCATTAAGTTGAATGTTGAAAACGTGAATTCTTGAAGTTGAAATAGTGAATTCATGAAGTTGAAATTGTGAATTCTGAATGTTGACATCGTGAATTCTTGAAGTTGAAATAGTGAATTCTTGAAGTTGAAATAGTAAATTCATGAAGAAGGACCAGAGAATTTACATAAGAAGTTGAAATGTTGCCACTGATAAATTAACACTCTAGTCTAGCAGATGAGCAACATATATATCTAAAATGAAATGTTTTCATTTTGAAATAACAACTAAATTACATAGGGACAGAATGCTATGTAGTGTAAATCTTGGATTAGACATCAAATAAATTTAAACTTCCGATTTTTTTTCTGTGAAAATCCTCTGTATCTACTCAAACATTCATAAAAATAACAAGAGGGCCATGATGGCCCTGAGGTCGCTCACCTGTATATACCCCCCCCCCCCCCCCCAACGTTGCAGGGCCAATTTTAGACCAAGGGCTTTTATTTGCACAAACTTGGTAGACACCCATAAGAAGATGTTTCATGCTAAACATCTAAGCTCTAGCTCATTGGGCTTTTTAAAAGAAGATTTTTTTTTAAGTTTTTACTATACACATATAGTTAAAAACAATGACACCCCTGGGGCCGGGCCAGTTTTGACCCCAGGGCTTTTATTCGAACAAACTTTGTAGACACTAACTAGAAGATGTTTCATGCTTGATATCTAAACTCTAGCTATTTGGGTTTTTTCAAAGAAGATTTCAAGTTTTTGCTATACACATATAAGGAAAAGCAATGATCCCCGGGGCGGGGCCAATTTTGACCCCAGGTTTTTTATTTGAACAAACTTTGTAGACACTCACTAAAAGATGTTTCATGCTTAATATCTTAACTCTAGCTATTTGGGTTTTTTCAAAGAAGATTTTTTAAGTTTTTGCTATACACATATAAGGAAAATCAATGACCCCCAGGGCGAGCCAATTTTGACCCTAGGGCTTTTATTTGAACAAACTTGGTAGACACCTATTAGAACATGTTTGATGCTAAATATCTTAGCCATAGCTCTTTGAGTTCTTTAAAAGAAATTTTTTTAAGTTTTTACTATATGCATATAGGGAAAATCAATGACCCCCTGGGGCAGGGCCAATTTTGACCCCAGGGCTTTTATTTGAACAAACTTGGTAGACACTTATTAGAACATGTTTCATGCTAAATATCTTAGCTCTAACTCTTTGGGTTCTTTAAAAGAAGATTTTTAAGTTTTTACTATATGCATATAGGGAAAATCAATGACCCCCTGGGGCAGGGCCAATTTTGACCCCAGGGCTTTTATTTGAACAAACTTGGTAGACACCTATTAGAACAGGTTTGATGCTCAATATCTTAGCCATAGCTCTTTGAGTTCTTTAAAAAGAAAATTTTTTAAGTTTTTACTATATGCATAATTATAGGGAAAATCAATGACCCCCCGGGGCGGGACCAATTTTGACCCCAGGGCTTTCATTTGAACAAACTTGGTAGACACCCATTAGAACATGTTTCATGCTAAATATCTTAGCTCTAGCTCTTTGGGTTCTTTAAAAGAAGATTTTTAAAGTTTTTACTATATGCATATAGGGAAAATCAATGACCCCCTGGGGCGGGGCCAATTTTGACCCCAGGGCTTTTATTTGAACAAACTTGGTAGACACTCACTAGAACATGTTTCATGCCAAATATCTAAGCTCTAGCTCTTATGGTTGTTTAAAAGAAGATATTTAAAGTTTTTTTCTTTCGGTTGCCATGGCAACCAGAGTTCTGCATGGAATTAAATTCTTTGAACAATTTTTAAAGGTGACCACCAAAGGAACATTCCTGTGAAGTTTGGATGAAATTGGCTTAGTGGTTTATGAGGAGATGTCATTTAAAGTAAAAGTTTACGGACAGACGGACGGACGACGGACGGACCACGGACGAAAAGCGATCACAAAAGCTCACCCTGTCACTTTGTGACAGGTGAGCTAAAAAGCAAAACATAGTACTGGTTCTTCAAATCTTCAAAATTCAAACTATGATTTTATAAACTACAGATTGCGAATATATATCTTTATACACTTATAATATTTAGCATAGTAAGGGTTTATATAAATGGAAAATTCTTCTTACCTCCATAAAGTAGAACAAAGCAGTATCATTGTAGAGTATATCAGTTAAATGTAGTTTACCACCAGTTAAAACTTCTACCTGATATTTACAATGGTATACACTGGCAGCAAATCCTTCAAAATATCTGCAAAAAATTACAAATTTAAAAATAGAAAGTTATAAAGATATTCTCTTATATAAAATATGGCAATGGCATCACTATGGAAGTTATAGCCTCAATATTGGCAGATATATATCACCAGTATAGAGCCAGGCCAGCCATCATATCCCTGCCATCCATGATATGCAATATATTGTCTGCAAATAAACACTTATACTGATATAACTTTAAGGTATATAACAATTAAACATCAACACACTTCTAAATATAGACATCATAGATGATGTACATATATATGATTGCCTATATCATAACCTTTTCAGTGGCGGGGTTAAACAAATCCAAACACACACAATCTGTGTTGTTTGGCCAAAACAAATGGGAGAGGTACGGTCCAGAAGGCGACTTTCAGAGTCAGCTTCCTGGAAACTAACCAGTACTGGTGTTACATGAGGAAACAAGGTTGTGACCTGAGTAGGACTTGAACCCCATGATCCCTGGATTGAATGGCAGACACCTTAACCACTAGGCCACTGCTCATCCATTTCTTACCATATTTTAACAAAATATTTTATGAAATTGACTTCCTCATTTCACTTCCATAAACTAAAGATAGAGAAATTTATTTTCAGATTTTTTAAATTGTCAGTGCTCATTAGACCTATGCACAGGGGGCCCACACAGTGTTTGGATGGTATATACTGCTTGATGGTGACCTTAAAATGAGATTTTAGTCATAACCTTATAATATGTATATAAGTCTATATTTATATACATATTATAAGGTTATGACTAAAATCTCATTTTAAGGTCACTATCAAGCAGTATATACCATCCAAACACTATGTGGCCCCCTGTGGATCTATGTAAACATTTCAAATTTTATATTTTCAGGCCTTTTTATCTCAATGATGTACATTTAAGGATGTTAATTATAGTTCAAACATAGCGTCCATACTAGCAAAAAGTGATGTATCATTTCTAAATATATGCCCATATGTAAAGTTTAAATACCTCTGTTCTATTTGGTTTACAGCAAAATTTTGGCAGTCAACAAAACATTCTGGATCAACCTGGCCATCTTCTCTACATATCTTTCCTGAAATCATATCACAGCAACTGTTAAACAATAAATATTCTCAAAATATATGTATAAATACAATATTATATAATATTATAATAATAATAATATATTAATAATACAATACATATTCTCAAATTATAAATTCTGATGTTAACCATAATTCTGCTTATGCCCCAGAAATGCTTTTATTTTTACTTCTAAAAAGCTTTTTATTCTTGGTGTACATTTGTAGTTTTCAAAAAGATACTTATTGGCAAATTACCTAACCTTACTTTTTGTTCTTTTGCTTTTTGGTAATTAGTCTAGTTTCATATTTTATACAGAAGTCAAAACACTACTTTGTTTACATTTCGCTACTTTTATGACAAATAATTTCACATTTAATGCTACTTTCATCAGGTAGCAAGCATCTTTCATGCTCTAAAACCATTATTTAAATCTTGTAAAACTCAGGTTTGCCTTTACTAAAGAAGTAACAAGAGCTGTCCGTAAGACAGCGCGCTCGACTTTTTTATTGCTTGCCAATAAAAAAAGTTTTTGCAGTAAAAGGCAATACAAGAATCTCTGTATTTTTAAAGTGAACAATGGCCATGAGCATTAAGATATTTAGTGAAGAATTATTTTACTGAATTGTGTGATACCCTTGAACACTGCAGCAAAGTTTGAAATGTTTAAGTCAAAAGAGGGCTGGTTTGGGAATCATGATTGTAAACAAGTATTCCAACTTTCAAATTAATATCTCAAACAGTTCAGTCAAAAAGTGGACTGGTACTAAAAACTTAACCAAGATTGTAAGTCGATAAAAGGCCTTAATTTTTAAAACAAATCCTTGACAGAGTTACCTTCTCTTGCGTACAGATGGGGGTAATGATGTGAAATAGCATTAAAAGTTTCAAAGCAATATCTCAAAGGGTTAAGGCAATAAGTGGATTTTACCCATATTCAATGTATTTTCTAAGTCAAAAAGGGGCATAATTCTGTCAAAAACCTTGACAGAGTTATGTCCTCTTGTCTGTTGATGAAGGTCGTGATGGTAAACAAGTATGGTCAGTTTCAAAGCAATACCTCCAATGGTTTTGAAATAAAGTGAGGTGGTACAAAAAACTTAACCAAGCTCAATACACTTTCTAAGTCAAAAAAGGGCCATAATTCTGTCAAAAACCTTGACAGAGTTATGTACTCTTGTCTGTAGATGGAGGTTATGATGGTGAACAAGTATGGTAAGTTTCAAAGCCATACTTGTAATACTTCTGAAATAAAGTGGGGTGGTACGAAAAACTTAACCAAGGTGTGACGCCAACGCCGACGCCGACGCCGGGGCGAGTAGGATAGCTCCCCTTTTCATAGAAAAGTCGAGCTAAAAATTTGTTTGTTTTTGAGGCATAATATAGCCTTTAATTTTTTTTAATACCAGCAACTTCAATGAAAATACAAATACAGGTGTTACTGTTATTATAAAGAAAGAAATCTTTTGGGAATAATACCACACAATTTGTCAGTAATTGCATAAACATTTCTTGAATTGTGAATATTTTTACTTTTCTAAAAACCTTTTTTCTCAATGTTTGAAATATTTTGGCTCACCTGGAGGCATGCACTTTTAAGTTTCAAGAAAATACATACTGTACATGTACCTTCAATGGTAGATGAGATAATGTAGTTGCATGCTAAACTTACCCAAAGTGTTACTCCAGTTAAAGCATGGGTAACTAGGATTATTGATATCCTAAATATTCTTCGAATAGTAAGGCAAATTCTCAGTTTTAGCACTATTTTTGGAGGAAAAAAAATCTAGCTATTTCAGGTCTATCTACCAGTCCAATACATGTATAAAGAAAAGAAAACAAAACACGGATTAACAAAAGACAGTTCCAAATTAAAACCACAACATGTCTATAACACCAATGTAGTAAAGAAAGAGGTGGTAATTATAAATAACTTACTTATTGTATCATTCCTGAGATCATCCGTTATTCCGATAGGATGAGTTGCTTCCTGAGCGAGATATTTTGTAAATATTCGTACAGCATCCTGCTCTACACCTGGAAAAATTCATGACATACAATTCTACATATAATATCTTACTATGAAGATTTGTTTGTTGGTTTACTGCACACCAACACAGTATAGATCATATGGTGCTGAAACATGTAAGATGACTTTAGCTGAAAATCTTGTGTGTTTCCAACTTCAAAGCAACACAAAAGGGTCATGAAGCTGAGAGATGCACAGACTCCATTTGTTCAGTTCTTACGATCAAGCAGGTATAAACAGCGGCTGCAATTCTTATGCCTCAACCCCTCAGCGTCAAGGGACTTCTATGACAAGCTCTATTTACATTGTCAAGCAATACTATTTAAGTCTTGTATTTGATACATTTTTCAGGTTTTCACTGCATTGTATTTATAATAAATGAAAGTCTACACAAGCAGTCAATAAAGTCAAACATTCTACATTAAGCTTGTGGGAAGATAATACACAAGAGGGCCATGATGGCCCTTATACAACGTATTGCTCACCTGATAATGAACCCTTAATCCCATTTTAGTTGTAAAATGTAAGAATCAGTGAAATAAGCGATATTTTTCTACTTTGAGATCATGATTTCTGCAAGCATCTAGAGGTACTGCTCCAACACTGTATTGAGTTAAATTACAATTTTTTACATACACATAATCATCTACCTTGCTTAAGTTCAATTTGTACTAAAATATCATATACTCACTTTTCTTTAATTTATCTGCCAAGTTACCACTGGTAGAAATATTAGATTTTGCACTAGATTGACTATCACACGCCCCTTGGCTGGTTGGACTGGGGGAGGTTATATCTCTGTAGGATATTGCACTATCGGTGGTCTTATCAGCAGTCGAACTATCACAGGGTTCTAAAGGAAGAGTTAATTTATTCTTTTCTTCTCCGTGTTTACACTTTTCCCGTACTCGTGAATCACAATCTTTTAATTTTCCTTCTGTATCGTCACTAACATCACTTGGAATAACATTCTCTGTTAAATCACTGGTATCATCGTTAAACTGTTTTGCTTTGACTCCATCTGTATCTGTGTACTCTGTTGTTTTTGTTTGTTTTAAATTTGAATTTAATGCACTTGAAGACGGTCCTTCAGCCTCAGGGTCAATCATATCTAGACTGGCTCCTGAGACCGGACTGGTTATATCTTTATTTATAGACTGTGTCAATGATTCCGATGATAAATTTTTCTTAGCTTTAATTAACGAGCTTTTACTGACTGATTGCAAAGAATGAGTCCTGATCCGGGTCCATGTGGAAGCTTGAAAACTTTCAGCATCCAGCCAAAATCTGAGTATTGCAGATGCTTTACAGGAGTCCATGTATTGAATGAAATAGGCAATAGCTTCGTGATCCTTCAATACTTCCATCAAGCTCTTGGATAACCTAGATTTTTTAGCATATTCATCCTGTGGTTGTTGACTCACACCTAAAATAAAATAGTCTTTATAATTACATAAATTTTTGGTGAATACATAAAGGACTTTTCTGTCTGGTTTTTTATTCATTTATCTATGGGGTATTTAATATTGCAGTACAATACAAAATATTTACTGATCTTGGCTAATGAAAGTGATGATCATGCAGATCTTTTTAGGAAATTGATATCTTTCCCCTGATTTTCTTGTACTGTGTACTTGAACAGTTCAACCTTGGGCCTTTTAATGTCAGTTAAACCAAATTCATGAAAAAAAAAATTGAAAGAAGCCAAGTTTTGGTCTATCTTTTAGATATCAAATCTCCATAATTTCTGTTAGCACTTATCATCTTTATATATATCTTTATACCTTCTTTTTCTTATATTTACCAAAATGGTGTCCATAAATTTCAAAAAGCAAAAAAAAATTTATTCACAAAAACAACCAATTTGGTCAAGAGTTAAGGGGGGATATTTAAATCTACAGGCTGAAAATAAAATCAATCTTAACAGCATTTCAACTGATGATAAGGATCGACAATCTGTTAATAATGAAAACCCTGTCATCCTGTTTTGTCAAGTATCTTACCAAACAATTATTTATGATACAGGGTTTTCATTATTAACAGATATCATCGGTTGAAATGCTGTTAGAATCGGTTGTATTTTTAGCCTGAAGATTTAAACATCCCCCCTTGACCAAATTGGTTGCTTCATTGGCATATCCATTGTCTCAGATAAAAATGAAAACCCTGTGATATAACTTTGATATATAAACATACAGCATTCACTAACCTAGATCCCCTGGAAAAAACTCGTCATCTTCAAGAAGTAGTCCTGCTGGTCTTGTTGCGTTGAAAGCTATAATTTAGAAAGATTAAGTTTCAGAAAAAAGTATACAAACAAATTTTTTATTGTCAAAAAAAAATTCAACTTCTAAACATGTCTACACATAAGTTGTAAAAGTCATACATATAACAAATCCAATTAAGCAAAATAACAATAATAAATTATGCTATCTCAAGTAAATAAACAAAATAATGCCAAATAAAAAATAATGTCAAGAATTATTTCCTGACGTTATCCCAATATAAACTACTTTTATCATATGAAATTGTCTGGTACCAATGTTTTTTATCATCATTCTCAATTCCTGTAATAAGATCTTACAAGGATTTTTTTTTGGGCTCATTTTATAGCTGATAATCGGTCATATTCCCAGTTGAAAAGTATATTTTCCAAATCCAAAGGAAAAAATTCCCAACTGGAAGTTACAAAATGAAAATATTGAATAACAAATTCTAAAACCTTTGAAAATAAAGGCTTCTTCACTATTTTAGTGCTTAAAAGTTTGAAAATGCCATCCTAAACAGGCAATCATTTCATAAATCCAAAATTTCAGTCATACATTTTTTACCAATTTTTAACAAAACATCACTGAAATTCCCAACTCAATGGGTATGGGTCATGTTCCCAAAATCCTAGAAATAGATCTTAATATATCAAAGTCAATATTAACAAAGTCTGACAGAGACTGCTAATCTTGCTTTCATCTTCACATAAATATTATTGATTAGTTCCTTAAAAAGAATTTCTAATGTAGCTTTATAAAAAAATTCTCTAGTTTTTATGCAGTCTTAGTGCCTTGTTATAAACAGCAAGGATCTGTATGCTGAATATAGCCCATATCAATGGTGAGTCATCATGGCTGCTAGCATTTTAGTTATAAAGCTAGTAAAAGAATAAACAAATGAAAATATAGAGATATATATTATACCAGGTTGTCCATTTCTGTTGTCCTGTCCAATGTTACCAATGTGAGGAAGTTGTGGGACAGAGTTTTTCTTTACAGGGACTGTTTTCTCCTTTTTCTTTTTTTCTATAAAAATAAATTAAAACATGTATTACTCTTTTATCTTGAACTTACAATGGTGGATTGTAAAAATAAACAGTCAAAAGATTACGTAGAAACTGTGCTACTTTATTTATTGAAACAAACAATTTTTAATCAAACTCAAATTTTTAAATTTGTATCAGTGATATAAATGTTTCTGGCATCAAAAACACCATATACATGTACAAGACTAGCAACTGCAGATTCACTAAAATATATTGCCATTAAAACAACAAAATGTTTAAAGTAAAGAATGTAAGGAGTTTATCACTGTATATGATAAGTCTTGGAGGTGATGAAAGTAACAAAAACTGTTTATCATGCATTAACCAGCTTGAATATAACTTTTTGTGGCACTTCCAAATTTTTTGCTTTGTATCGTCATGGACAGTGAATAAAGTACAAAATGTATATGAGGAGCATTGCCTGTATAAGTTTGCCTTTCAAATAAAGTGAGAGGAAGTGTAGTAATTAGTGTAGTGATTATAGGCACTATTAAATGTCCACTGTATTTTCAAAAAACATTTACTGCTGTCTCCCTATTTAATTACAAGAACTGTTAAAGCAAGGTTGGCAAAAATGCAGGTTTTATGAGTATTGCCCAGCTCAATCTTGTCATCAGTATTACCAGGATGACTTACATATATGAGCCGCGTCATGACAAAACCAACATAATGGGTTTTCGACCAGCACAGATCCAAACCAGCTTGAGGATTCGCGCAGTCTGATCAGGATACATGCTGTCTGCTATCAGTTTCTCTACTTGCAATAGGGTTGGTAAGCGAACAGCATGGATCCTGATCAGACTGCGGGGATGCGCAGGCTGGTCGAGATCCATGCTGGTCACAAACCCATTATGTTGATTTTGTCGTGATGCGGCTCATATGTGTCATCATTTTTAAGTCCATAAAGTTTGGGTGTGGAATTTAGACATAACCACGGCACATTTTCTTTTGTTTTCAGGTTTTTAGCACCCATGGCTGTGTAGTGAAGTAAAGGCCACTTCCAACATCCTTGCTGTTGGGTTAACCCTTAACCAACATTGTTGAGTGTCCACAATATTCCAATATCCTATCAAATCAATCTTTCTATGAACTAAATAGTTCTGGCTTTCCAAATTGTATAAGCCACTTTTTAACATTATTTCTTTCATCTGATGTGGCATTAAAGTTTTGGATCAGACCCATTATGAAACCTTTCCTGAATAAGACATACGAGTTAATCATTCTGATTTATTGTACATGTATATCTTAGATATACATATTTGTACCAAAAGTTAAATTTTGGTGACATACTAAAACATATCTTTTACCACTCAACTAGCTATGGCAAATGATTGGCATTGATTAATTTATCACTAGACCTTAATTATAATTACAGTTGTTAAATCAATTAATCACTATCCCACAACCATAGTCTTTTCATAATGATTGGATTAAAATACCAGAAAAAGGCGTTAAAGAATATTTATAGATACTTTTCTTGACAGATAAACATATCAAATTAAAACAGTTTAACATAACATAAAATGAGCCGCGTCATGACAAAACCAACATAATGGTTTTGCGACCAGCATGGATCCAGACCAGCCTGAGCATCCGCACAGTCTGATCAGGATCCTTGCTGTTCGCTGTCAGTTTCTCCACTTGTAATAGTTGATAAGCGAACAGCATGGATCCTGATCAGACTGCGCGGATGCGCAGGCTGGTCTGGATCCATGCTGGTCGCAAACCCATTATGTTGGTTTTGTCATGACACGGCTCAAATATATATATATATATAACATTTTAAGCAGGATCTCCATGAATATTTTTGTTGCACATATCACCTATGACATTCATTTAAATAGTTTTCATTAAGAAATCTGTGATGTTTAGATCTTGATTTACTTTCAACAACTTGATTGCATATTATATCTTAACACAGGTTAAAACTGTTTCCTTCATCATCTGATATAATGATCATAGCCAGCTTGAGGAGCTGGCCAGATGGGCCTGCTCGCAAAGCAATCTTTACGGTAACATAGAGTACTTGCTAGAAAGTGATGGTTTTGAAAACTTTCGTCGGAAGTACTGAACTGACACATCGCAACTTTTCGAATTACAAGATAACGATAAAAGCTAAGGAATTCTGATTAAAAACAGATGCATAGACTGGTGTCCTGCACACTTTTATAGGAACCATAAAAGAAGAAAGAACCAGAATAAAGGGAAGCAGTGTATAAAATACTGAATGACAGTTTTAAAACAGAAAATGTAAAATAAAAATGAACAATTAACCAAACAAGAGCTGTCGGTAGGACAGCAACGCTCGACTATTCTTAGTGCTTGATAGTAAAAACAAAATGCTTGATGCAGTTACCTCCTCCAGTTTACAGGTTGGGGTGATGATGGTGAACAAATGTGCAAAGTTTCAAAGCCATATGTCCATGGACTTTGAAAATATTTGAGGTATTACAGAAACTTTAAGGTAAATTCTAAGTGGAAAAAGGGGCATAATTCTGTCAAAATGCTTGATAGAGTTACCTCCTCATGTCTACAGGTTGGGGTCATGATGGTGAACAAGTGTGCAAAGTTTCAAAGCCAAATATTTGTGGACTTTGAAAATATTTGAGGTATTACAAAAACTTTAACGTAAATTCTAAGTCGAAAAAGGGGCATAATTCTGTCAAAATGCTTGATACAGTTCCCTCCTCCTGTCTACAGGTTGGGGTCATGATGGTGAACAAGTGTGCAAAGTTTCAAAGCCATTAGTCAATGGACTTGGAAAATATTTGAACTATAACAAAAACTTTAACGTAAATTCTAAGTCGAAAAAGGGGCATAATTCTGTCAAAAACTTTGATAGAGTTACCTCCTCCTGTCTACAGGTTGGGGTCATGATGGTGAACAAGTGTGCAAAGTTTCAAAGCCATATGTCAATGGACTTTGAAAATATTTGAACTATTACAAAAACTTTAACATAAGTGGTTACGCCGACGCCGACGCAGATGCCGACACTGACGCTCGGGTGACTACAATAGCTCTACTTATTCTTATCGAATAGTCGAGCTAAAAAGTAGATCTAAATCAAGCTCGCTTTGAGGCTTTGCCTCTTTCATATTATTACTTCCAAAAAAATGTTGCCTGCACTATTTTCTATGCTTTTGATCATGTTATAGCGAGCTCGAAGAGCTGGCCCAAAGGGCCTGATGGCAAAGCGAGCTATACGGTAACACACAGGCCTTTCCCCAGGTGCTTTTAGCGCCGCGCTCCCGATGTGTCTTAATTTCCAAATCAATCTCACCGTTGTGCCATAAAAGTCACCATGGCGCTTGATTTTTCTGATCCCTATCTCAATAAACACAGCAGTCGTCAATCAGCACATTTGATAATGGATTAGCAGGTTGTTTAAAGGGTGCAATTAATAAATTATTAATTGCATGCATTGCACCATATAAACAACCTGTTGTATTCATGTGTGGAAGTCCGTTGGTCCTCGGTCCTGGCTGAATAAAAATTATGAAGTCCGAGATAAAATTTGTTAAGGTCAGTCCTCATGTTCGAATAAAATTTCAAGAAGCTTAAAATATCAATGATCTGTTTGATAATAAGCTCCCAGTGACAAAAAGCATTTTGTTAAAGAATCTGTCAGTTTCATGGGCGATGATCAGCAAGGTAGTCAGACTTTTCTCTCCCTTTCCAGTTCCTCCCCTGACGTTTCCTCCCTGACGGTTCTCTCCCTATTTTGGGGGAGAACCGTCTGCATATTTGCAAATAAGCAGACAGTTCCTCCCAATTTTTATTTTAAACTAATACATTATTATTGAAGCATTTAGATGTTAAATAAATGGGTAAAGTTTTTATAAATTGATAAAAAATAGATTTTTTTATTGAAGCATTTAGATGTTTAATAACTAAGTAAGTTTATTATCAATAATTAAATTGATATAAATTAGAAAAAAAATTTTTATTAGATCATAAGTACGATACATTTTAATGTGTTTAGTCATTGAAAATAATTAATGAATAATTTTCTTGATTATTAGATATTAATTATTGTTTTTTTTTGTTTTGTTTTTTGATAAATAATAAAATTTAAAAGAAAAAATGATTAATGAATTTAAATGCTAAATATCATACTTTTGTATAATGAAGAAAAAATTAGTTCAATACACACATGTGTTAAGATTGCTGACAGAGATAATTGATGTGTTTATTTAAGATAAAATGCACTAAACACATCCTTTTAATAATCTTCAATAAGAAATATTATTAGATTAAGTCAAAAACTAAAATGATATCTTATAAAAAAAATGGGGGAGAACTGTCTGCATATTTCAAATTTGGGAGAGAACTGTCAGGGGAGGAAACGGTTTGGGGGAGAACCGTCAGGGGGAGGAAGTGGTAAGGGAGAGAATAGTCTGTCATTCATCAGCAACGGTAAATTTTGCCGTAAATTACAAATTTTAAAATTTTGTTTTACGATGCCTCTTGAAATATTTGATGACTAACAATCTTGAAATAATAAAAAAATATTAAATCTAATATAATCAAAACCAACAACAACTAGAATTGTGAATGTTTTTGCAGGAAACAGACAAATTTTCATTTGTCACATATTTTCGCGATGTCGGTTTTTTATAATTTAAAAAAAGTAACCAAAATAAAGCTATGTTTTGTTAAAATGTGTGTAATAACACTTAAAATGTAGTTTATTGATTAAAATTACTTAAGGTATTGTTAACATTACTTTAGATGGAGATATTTGCCAGTATCAATACTTGTGGTTGGGGGGGGGGAGTGAATCAGGAAGAAAACAGCATAATGGTCTGATGATGTAGGGTATTAAAATGATAATTAAGATATTTTCAATCACTTCTTGCTGATACAGTGTTTCCCATTTGCTAAATATTACCATTTTCCTAAATAAGCTTTTTTATCAGTTCAAACTTGACTCCTTAAGTCTTTGCTCTGTTTATTCATCATATTTACATCAACTGCATATACAATGTATATAAATACAACAAAAATGGCATAATATATTCAACATGATTTGGGACTTTTATTTTGAAAATCCAAGTGAGGTTCCTGTTTATTTCAATGGGTCAGCATCTTGTTTTGTTTCTACATTGATGTTTACACTACTTTAAAGAGAGACAATCAGTTTTAAACAGTGAAGAGTGACTGTGAAGATAAACAGTTAATATATATATTGTTTATAAAATGATTTTTTTTCTTTGTGTTGTTTTCTTAATTTCATGATAATAATGTGATAAATTGTTAGATTTATCTGATATCTTTTTTGCTTATGAAGACTCTTAAATACAGTAGATTTTGATGTAGCAAACATAAAAACCTCGAACGTGGGACGGGGTCCTACCCCCTCCCACACCCACTTGCCCCTGTGCCTGCAAATATTCCTGGGGAAAGGCCTGACGCGAGTACCTCCTACATAGTGATGGTTTTGAAAACTTTCCTCCGAAGTACTGAATTAACACATTGCAACTTTTCGAATAACAAGATAACAATAAATGCAGGTTTTCTGATTGAAAACGGAAGCGTAGACTGGTGTCCTGCGCACTTATATTGGAACCATATAGGACTGGAACCAGAATAAACGGAAGCAGTGTATAAAATACCTAATGACAATTTTAAAACGGAAAATGTAAAATAAAAATGAACAATTATTTTAAACTTTTTCACGATAAAAGTAAATCGAGCTTGCTTTGAGGCTTTGCCTTTTACCAGGTATGTATATTACGTACCTGCTTTTTCATATTAAATTAATAACAATAAAATTTCTTTGTAAATAAAAAAAAAAGAAAATAACAATCTTTTTGGAAGAAGTCAGAACTATCAGCATATTTCGAGTTTGGGGGAGGGCTGTCAGGGAAAGAAAAGATTTGGGGGAGAACAGTCAGGGTGTTGAACTGGTAAGGGGGTGAAATTATTCAAAAGGATATGCTCTCAAATGATCTTGCATGTGCACACTTGGGGATAAATGACAGGTAAGATCTATCATTAAAAAATGACCATTTTATTCAAAATAACATTTCAAATCAGGGTTTTTCAAAAATTTGAAAGGCCCTGTTCAAAAATGCACTGCTGCAAACAGTGCAGTGCTGACTGGATACGCCTACCTCACTGACTGCAAAATATTTACTTACCAGAGTGTCTCCGAAAAAAAGACATATTTGCGGCAACAGTTTGCTTTGATTTCACTACTCAATACATTATTTTATCAAACTTTACTTTTATGTGAGTCTATTCATCAAATATTTCGTGACTTTTGAAAAGATATCAAACCGGAAGTAAAAACTTGTAATTGTGTTACCGTAAGAAACAACATGACGTGAATTTTACTTTTAGGTTTCAGGCCGATAAATTGAATGCATTGACATAGCACCGGATGACTGCTTTTAGGGTTACAGTAATCTCATTAATCTAGGAAGCCGAAGACGAATCTAACTTCTGGCGGGATTTGTACTCCGGATTATGTGTCATGCGATTAACCCTTACATACGCCGATATTAAAAAGAGTTTTCGTGAATAAAAAAGATCATTTATAAATAAATTAATATAAGTAGCAACATTTATTTAAATCAGGAACAAAATGTGTTTTGTCCCCGATTTAAACATATTTTATTGCTCTTTAAATGTAAACATGTAGAGCTATTGATTAAGTTATAAAAAAATAACTAAAAAAAAAAAAGCGTTGAGACGTTGAGATAGTTATATACTTTCAAATCTACCCAAAGACTTATTAAATATTTGTATTTCGTCAAAAATAAATAGAATTGTCCTAGAAAAAGCTATTCTTTTCCAAACAAAGGTGTTGTGTTTTTCCACCTATATAATGGATAGAAACCGAGTTTCGCGGAAAAGCTGCACTCTCTTCGTTATATATTCAGGACATTTAAAAAAAAGTGGATGTTTGAAGTTTTCAGGCATCAACATGTCACATTGAAGGTTCCATGATAATCACCGTATGAACACATATACGGATGTTTTTAAATTAAAAATTTTGCCATTATATCTTCAGCTTAGGCCGATGCAAGGGGTATGTAACTTGCACTTTCCAGCTCAACCAAATCGGGCCTGTAGCATTTTCAAATTTCAATGTTGTCGTTTTTGGGCATTCTTTACAGGGATTCCGTTTTTCTGTATTTAAGTACTTGATGTACAGTGTAATCTCGTAAATGATCTTTAAATAAAAGTCTGAAAAAGAAACTGCAAGTAGCTCAAAACAAAGTCATAAGGTTTATAAAAGATTACCACCCAAGAACTAGTTTAACTCCTTCTGATTTTACAGATGTTAACATGTTAAATATTGAAAACAGAGTTAAACAACTGAGACTTAATCATATGCATAAGATTTTTTATAATACGTGTCCAACTTATATGAAAACAAATTTTGTTCGGATGTCTGATATACACAACTACAACACTAGATCAAATAAGTTTAATTTTTCAATTCCTCTTTGTAATAAGACATGTAATAGCACCTTTTTCTATAATGGTATTAAAGATTGGAATAGTTTGCCAGATGATGTAAAATGTATATCAAATCCAACTTTATATAAAAATTCTGTTAAAAGCCATCTTGCTTCAATATGGGCTGCGCAACATCAAAGTGACTTTTTATATTACTAATTAAGTGGCGACATAGGTTCGCCAAACTTTATTGTTTTTTAGTTATCTTATTTTTTCCTGTGCCTTTCTTTCTGTGATAATGCAAAACTACTGTGATTGAATAATTTGAAGGTTATCTCATTGTCTATTTTTATTTGAGGAATGAATGTCTCTCTGGTTTTATCTTGTTTCCATCTATTTGGTTAACAGGACCCCATTGGAAATAAGCACACCAGCTTAATGGGCTATCCTTGTAACCATAGATCACTATTTAACAAAACCTTTGTATTGAAATTTTATTGAAATTCTTTTACTTCTTTTATGTCATGTTTATCAGTAACTTTAAACAATATTCTGTGATAATTATAATTCTGATTATTGTACATAGTCTTAACCTGAAATGTGATTTTATTAATTTATTCATTTGCTTCTTTTTTTAAATACATTTATCCAATGCCTCATCTGATCTCAGTCATTAACTAAGTTTGTTTTATTTATTATTAATATGAAATGATATTTTAGTCTGGATAAACTGTTATTTTATATATATTTATTTATATATATATCTTATTATGTAACTGTGATCTATGTTGTTGCTAAAATAAAATAAATAAATAAAAAAAAAAATAGAATTAAACACGTAATATATTAATATTACTACATGTGTCTACTTAATTAGAATTTTTTTAGAACAGCTTGAGGTCTAAGCATATCCTTGAGACGAGAATCAAAAATATTTAGTGAAGCCACATGCCTAATATGATGGTCCAAAGTGTTCCATAACGCAATGGATGAAGGAACGAAAGATTTTGCGAATGTTTGTGTTCACCGCGTACGTGATAGATAGTCACATACATGTAGTTGTTATCATTTCGAGGAAAATATGGCTTAGAATAAGTGACACTATTTGGCAGAAAGCTAAGCAAATATCTTGGCACGTTGTTTTAAACTATTATTAAATTTTGCATTATTTCCCTATCTGACAAAGATAACCAGCCTATTTCTCGAAGAAAAGACGTTCTAAAGATACCAACATAGTAAAACCTTTAAATAATATATACGTGCTGCTTCGCAATAGAATGTTTATCATTTTCAGTACAGCAGTACCAAACTCGAGAATTGGTTGCATATATGATAAGGAAATTTTATTAAATGTATGTCTTCTTCAAAGTTTAAATTTCAATGCTTGCACATGTCATTATTATAATTGCGTTCATGAATGCCATTTACCATCCTGGCTTAATGAAAGTTCATTTAGTCAGTTACGAGACTATTTTTGAAGAGTATGTAGTCAGAATTTTATGTTTTGTCTATAAAGTTCTTATTGCTAGAAGAAATCGACAATGAACTGTTATCTGCAAAGAGGCGGGTTATGATTTATTATTAAATTTATTTTATAAAGAAAAATAACAGAGGTCTGGTTTTGGTCCGTAACTTATACACATAATTTCATGAAATTTATACTTAAATACTTAGGTCACTCTCGTGAGAATAAACCCTGTATGTAGAAAGACAGGTTGGCCCAGCGTCAGGGTGGATGGGAGTTTTCAACCCGTTTAATATATTATGCAATCGTATTGTTATAATTCCTATTCATCGCAGGTTTTCAGTACCTAAAGACATGCACCACAAGGACGACATGCATTCTCGTGTTTAGATGTAATAACAAGAAAAAAAAATCCGCAATTAAAACATCGCCTATATTTAGACCTGCTGATATAAGCACTGATAATTTTATGATGTGATGTTGCGCAGTACTAATTACACTAGATACACTCATGGTCACAAATACAGATAATGAAAGCTTAGTTATGAAACGATTTGATAATTAGCCAAAGATGACCGAATCTTTATAAATGGTTCACAACAACGGAATGGTTCTCTATTTTCACCTTGCTAATCCTGAAAATCTCATCTTACTAAGTATTCAGACTGGTTACAAAACTATTCTACCTAAAGCATCCACTCAAATCGTTTCTGCCAACACTCCGGTCAACATGTATCTTGTATGAAGTTTTCATTTAATTTAATTAATAAATTAAATTCTAAAATAGATGATGAAAAACTATCAATATTTATTGGTTTTCTTCATCGTGACGATTTATGGTGTTGATGCAGATGATTTCTATTTTGGAACATTCCCCAGTGATTTTAATTGGGGTCTAACGACATCAGTTTATAACGCAAGCACAGATGGTAATTATACAGGTAAGTTATTTGATGGTTAATTATAAGTAACACAATTGTTACATGCATATATGTATCATTTTTGTTCTTTTATTTTTACAAACTTGTACCTGATATGTTATTGGTTGTTATCCTGTTCATCATTTTCTATGCTATTTTCTTTATGAAAATCACTTCAGCGTATGCCACAATGAAGCCAGTTGTCATTTGCTGGTTACTTATTGCCAATTGCTTATTGCCGTTGACTTAATATCAGTTGTTTAATGTCATAAACGCATATTGACAACTGGTGTTTCTTCAATGTCATTACGCTCCCTTCGCAGCTTAGTGAATACACTCCGTAAGAAAGTGAATGACAGAAAAAACATTCGACCGATGCGCAGGAGAGTACAATGTCACATGTTTATTGTTAATTTATTTCGGAAATAGCTTACATATTTATTTTATCGCCCTAGGAATATTTACATTTTATGTGTAAATTCTCATTACTATCCATATTTCTTTTATTCACGGTCTCCACTTTTACTCGGGACGCTTTTAGAATGCCAGTTTCTGGTTACTCAATGTCATTTGCTTATGTCAAAATTTTCCAACAGCTCGCAGTTGAGTTCATTTCAATTTAACCATCTGATCAAAGATTGTCAGATGCTTTAATAATTAACATATGAAATATGTATAACTTGTAAATGTATATTATTTTAGTTACTTTCATACTGGTTGATATGCAAACAGCATAAGAATCTTTTTTAAAGACATAATAGTTATTACACTTTTGATCACGTGCTGTCAAATAACGACGTAATGCCCGCATCGTGATCGCGTCGGCGTAAAAACGCAGTGGCATTGCTAGTAGATGTGAAAGAACCGCATTGAACGCCTAACAGCTATATGCACTTTGAGCATGAACATTGCTACTCGGACAATTGAATCGCTTTAATTGCCCTGTAGCAGCGTTGTAAGATTTCCTATATATAACGCCATTGCTTTGCAGTATAAAATCTCTTACAACGCGCAGTGCATTACAAACACGGAGGTTTTCGGTGGCGTTAGAACTAAGATTGTATAACTTTCTTCGAGATGCCACTCTATCTTTATCGCATTTATATGTATTGCAAGCGAACTTTTACGCCCAATTGCAAACACAGCATCCGCAGGAACGCGATAGACCGTCATTGAGCTCATAACAACGCTTGGTTGCCGTGAATGTCCGTCTTCACAAAAAATATCAGAATTTTCAAGCAATTTCATGGCGCAATAGAATATTAGATAATAACACGGGAACTTGTTGGAAACGACAGGGCTTTTACTTAATCTGCGTTCGTTTTGCTATACCTCATTACAACATTTTTCAATTTCAATACATAAAATACAACACCGAGTATTTTATCGTTAAGAACTAATTTCCTATTCAGTTCTGTAAAGAAACAAATGAAATATGATATGCATGTATATCAATATATTTAGGATTTGACATGGGTTGTCATTTGAATATGCATGAAACGAATTCGCGATAATATAAAGTGGCAGTATGCTCATTTAAGGGTATATAGTGAGTGAACAAGTGAAAGCCAAAATAAGTGTACATTTTGCCGTAATTTATTTCAATGTTATAATTTACTTCGCATCTCACGTGACCAAAGAAAGTTTCTGTAAATAACCATCGGAATTTACGTACAAGTGATGTTCAATTTACCGGTATAATAAGAGTGGGGCAGTCTTTTTATATTTTAGGCAGATTATTATTTTTATAATTTATCCTCAACATTTTCAATATCAACTGTTGCTCAATCACTATTATAACAGCCAATCTTTAGAAATAGTCAGTCAATTCAGCTGAACTTGACAATTAAAGAATGAGTATAATATCATATCGACCTCAAGTAACAAATTTGTTTGAGCCGTTAACTTGTTGAATTTGTTTCATCGAGTTTTCATGCATTGAATTTGAAATAGTCCATTTGAAATTAAAGGAGTTTCAATATCAAAACACAAAAAATGAAGCTTCCAAAAAGAACTACATCTGGACATACTGCATGAACTTGCGGGATGGCCTGGCTCTGTACTGGTGACTAACGTTAACAAATTCCGGTACCACTTCCGCTTCCAACAGGAAGTTAAAGGTTATTTACATAACTATATTTTATTCATATTTCATTGCATCAAACATATGTCAAATAATTATACAAATGAAAAGTTCACTAGTATACCAAACCCCAATATGTTGAGCAACACGCTTCTAGCAACATTAGATTAAACCTTTCCCAGCATAACTATAGTGATGACTAGATTTTGAAGAACCTTTTTGTCGCTAGCAGCAAGGCGCCAAATATTAAAAATATCACCATATAAATGTTCCAGATTATTACATCTCCATGGACATGATTTATTACCTCAAACTCTTAATTTATCAATAGCCAATATGGTGTTGCTTTTTAAAAGTTCATGTCATAATAAGCACTTGTAAGTCGATGCGGCTGTTGTGTTTCGTATTAGTTAAAAGTAATCTATTTGTGATGATACTTCGACAGCTTAAGAACTTTACCTTTTCTCAGTTATTTTCACTTTTACAAAATATTCGTATAATATGCCATTGAAACAACCCAATAAGCTTTTTAAAGGAACTCCACCGAGGTGCAATAGCCTAAAACTTCTTAAATATATCAGCTAGGGCAACGCAAGAAACAATTTAGAAATATTCTCAGAAAATTACGGAAAATCGTATTTTTGTGCTATTCTAAGCTCGACTTGAACGAAATTTTGAATCATTTTTCACAATTAGAATAATATTTCATTAAAAATCAAATGAGATAATGATTTTAAATTTTTCACACAAGTTATTTGTCTAGACCTTGATCAAATTGAACATTAAACTCGAAAAAATACTTTTAGGCCATTACTGTGAAATCCCTTTAATTAACATTCTATCATTCAATATATAGTATATGAAATGGAAATATTTGTCTGAAGCTTTTATTATATCTATCGATATTTGTAATTGTAGCGATGAAATTGCATTGCAATATTTTAAATTTAAGTTTAGGTGTTCACTATATTTAAAATGAATGTGCTATCTCAGTATTTGATTACAATCTGTGACAGGTACAGGTGTAACTCTTACCTGATAAGAGTAGCATAACACTCATGAGAACTAATTTCTATGTTTGCACGTGTAAAGCCACTGTTTATCACTTTACATTATGATAACATAGTTAAAGCGCACCGAAAGCAACGCGAATTAAAAATTTGTCTGAATGTTAAAATAAAGATAAATAAATATCAATTACATTTCGGAATACTTTTCATAAAGACATATAATTAGATTTTGGACTGGGGAGGTCCCTCGAGTGCATTTGCAGTAAAACCAGTGGAAAGCAGTGAGGGACCTGATAAATAAAACAAAATATAACAACCCTACTCCGCCAAACTATGTACATTTGTATTATCTTGCGATAGCACTTATCATTAACTCCCTTGACTATTAACACAGTTATTTTTTAAGCGTAAGTTCACTTAAAGCCAAGACGTAACGTCATTATACAATGACAATATTTTAGAACAAAAATGATTGAATTTTATTCTCTCGTTTAAACTTTAAGATATATTAAAAAAGTTTCCCCTCATCAGAGAATTTGTATAACTACCGTATTGAAATATGTGCTGTATAAGAAAAAAGTTCAACAATTTGTAAAAAAAATCGTTCCATATGTTACTTTTAAAAAACATATAGACCTATGAATCTATTTATCAAAACCAAAGAGATTGCAAGAAATGACAAATCTTGCGGAAAGAGCAGTCCCAGAAACCTGTTCATAGAAGTTAGTAGAAAGTGCAAGCTACCGTGAACTTCCCATTATAATTCGTTGTTACCTTGGGCACTGATAAAATAGAGGATATTACATTTTTATCCATTAATTGCCAGAACAGTAAACCCTTTAACAATAGAAGGTCATAGTGTAAAAGCTAGAATAGACATACTCGGGAATTAAGAAATATCTTAGGTTTTCCCAGCTAATCCGTGGGTACAAGCAAATTTTTGAAAATAACCGCTTCATGTGAACTAATCTATTGTGACACATATTTAAGTCCATCCTCTCAACATAGAAAATGATGAATATTGTATACTTAAAATATCATGTAATTGTATTAAATGTAAATGTGTTAATTTAATGTATGTGTTATTGTGATTTTATACTTATAAAATACTCGGACTGATTTATCATGTAAATGTATTATATTACATGTAAATGATGATGTACCTTTGATACAAATCTAAATAAATATATGTTCTGTTCTGTTCTATTCTATTCTGTGACCGGCAGTGCACCGTAAAGCTATAATTGTACATGTACCAGGGGATTATCTTGGAAAAAAACACATTTGCAGAGTATCGGATAAGTATCTATTGTTTTCTAATGACTGTATTGTTTTCTAATTTAAATACAGGTTTTAAGATCTTCTATTTTTTGTGTTTTTAGCAATCCAGAAACTTTACGATGATATTCAAGGACTGAAAGAGCTTGGGGTAAGTAGTTACTTAAGAAGAAAAACAAATGGATTTGATTCAAAGAATAAGTTATCAGAACATTATACAATTTGTATTGATTGTTCGTATAGCAAAAGTACGTAAATTGTATAGAATCAAGTGGTACTTGTACTTGTGTTTGACTACACTCGTTTTTTAATTTCGCGATTACTATTAAATGAAAAATAATTGCATACTTGACGAAAAAATGGTGATATAAAACATTTAGAAAGCTTAAGCACATATCTGAATCGGTATTTCATCATTCGCATAAATATAATGATGTTTAAGCAAACTTTATACACTCATACTCTTTGCGATTGTAGGTAAAAACATTAAAGTTTTCCCTGGATTGGAGTTCAAACCTTGATCCTGCCACTGAACAGTTCTATAGTCTGATGATCAAGGAGTTACAGAATAATGGCATAGAACCACATATTACATTATTTGATGATGAAATTCCACAAACAATACAGGTAAGTCATATTTGTTTTAGTAACTTTGATTGAATAGAAAGTAAAATATTTGCGGCCGGATTTTTTTTAATCTGATGTAAGGACCAAAGTGATCGTGAATATCGTGGATAGAGTTTATGTAATAAACATGATTTTTTATTATTCAATTATATTTATTTTAAAACAAAATCTTCTTTGTGTATGTGTGTGCGTGCGTGCGCGCGTAGCGCACGTGTGTGTGACACTATTTCTATTAGTGTACGAGTACTATCCATGTTTTAATATTTCACGTATTTCATGTTTTGATATTTCACGTTTTGCATGTTTTGATATTTCACGTGTTGTATGTTTTGATATTTCGCGTATTTCATGTTTTGATATTTCACGTATAGCATGTTTTAATTTTTCACGTATTTCACGTTTTGATATTTTACGTATTGCATGTTTTGATATTTCTCGTATTTCATGTTTTGATATTTCACGTATTTCACGTTTTGATATTTCACGTATTTCACAATTTGATATTTCACGTGTTGCATGTTTTGATATATCACGTATTTCATGTTTTGATATTTCACGTATTGCATGTTTTGATATGTCACGTATTTCACGTTTTGATATTTCGCGTATTTCATTTTTGGATATTTCACATATTTAATGTTATGATATTTCTTGTTTTGCATTCATTGACGTTTCGCGTATTGCATGTTTTTGATGATTCACGTATTGCATTTTTTAATTTTCACGTATCTTCATGTTTTGATATTTGTTGTATTGCATGTTTTGATAATTCACGTATAGCTTGTTTTGATATTTGATGTATTGCATGTTTTGATATTTCACGCATTGCATGTTTAGATATTTGAAGTATCTTGCATTTCTTAGTTTACCCTTTTTTGTAAATGATTGCACGTGAACTGTTTAATTCTTATATGAATATGTAAATTTCAGAATTAAAAATAAGCACAAATAGTTACGAAAGACCGGTGGGAACATTTCAATTTTATGATTTCCCGTATTAATTTAATGAATTCACAACTTTAACTTCATCATTTCAACTTCACGATTTCAACTTCATGAATTCACGATTTCAACTTCGTGAAACCACGGTTTCAACTTCGTGAACTCACGATTTCAACTTCATGAATTCACAATTTTAACTTCATGAATTCAAGATTTCAACTTCATGGATTCACGATTTCTACTTCGTGAATTCAAGATTTCAACTTCGTGAACTTCACGAATTCACAATTTCAATTGCATGAAGCTGAAAAAGTGAATTCGTGACGTTGAAAGCGATAACTCATAAAGTTGAAATCGTGAAAACTGTGAATTCGTAAAGTTGAAATCGTAAATTCACGAAGCTGAATTCGTGCTGTTTAAATCGTGAATTCATGTTGAAATCGTTAATTCATGAAGATGAAACCGTGAATTTGTGAATTCCGTATGTTGAAAACGGGAATTCACGAAGTTAATATTGTGAATTCATGAAGATGTATGCGAGAATTCATGAAGTTGAAATGATCCTTCCGGTCTTTCGTACATAGCTTATATCTGTAATTGACTTTTTAGTACAATTTTTCAAGACATTACACCATTACAATTTTTTGTGATGACTTTAGTCTTAAACGTGAAAAGAAAACATTGTATAGCTCTGAATGCACATTTCTATGTACAGTAATTATGATGTTTGGTATACAATATACCTTTTACTAATTCATTCATTGTTAGGTTATTTCAGAATCAAAAATTGTTTTATCTTACAGGCTACCGGCGGTTGGCTCCAGGATAGCAGTATCAATGCCGCATGCGACCTTGCCGAGAAAGTTTTTAATCTGTATGACAGTAAGGTAATAAAATAAACGTTATTTTAATATTCATCATGAAAAGAAATGAACACTTATTGAATTTTCCTTAAGAAAAGATAATTGTTCAAGCGACGCCAAATGGTATCTGATTTAAGTGTAGGCGTTCTTTTGTCATGGAGCTGTTTCAAAAGACACACAAAATCGTGGGAACTGGATTATTATGAAAATTGACGGTATGGTGTGTAATAAGGAGTTACTGTTATTAAGAGTAATGGTTATTGTTTTGACATGATAGCGCTGTTTCTTCTAAACTCTACTAGAATGTTCATGTTTGTGTCCATTATTTGTCGTTTTGGCATAGTGGTATGGCGACAAAACGACATGGTAGAAATTATCAAATATTCTTGTATGAAAAAGTTCTAAGTTATCCTTTTCAAGCTTCTATGTGATTTCGGTTTTCTGTTATTTGTTTAATTATTATTATCATTATTATTATTTTGCTGTTGTATTTTGTATGTGGAGACATTTGAAAACGTAAAAATGTATGTGGCAACACATGCGACAAACAAAGAAAATTATACATATGTATAAAGAATATGGTTACACTTTAATAGGTTAAACTCTGGACCACCATTGCTGACCCGGTCAAATTAGCAACTGATATGTACAGTAGTAGAAGAGACAACAGCGTGTATAAAGCTGTCCACAACATGTTGTTGGCACACAGTTGCATTTATCATCGGTATAATGATGCTAAACTTACAGGTAAATATTTTACTATGTCATTACATTTGATTTCTGTTGATGCATGCGTGATAAATTTAGCTTTACCAGTCACTATTGGCTTTATCAGACAACTCATAAATATAAAATAAGAAATAAAGAGAATGGAATAATTCACCTTTCACTAGTTTGAAAATACATTTGTATTCAATTGATAAACTTTTACACAAAAATTTTTTTTGAATATTAAAGTCTTTCTTACATTTGACAGTTTTTTGTTTCGTTTGAAATTTAAATAAAGAAACGCATACTGAAATTGAAAACATGAAGAATGGAATACCAAACAAGTGTCTTACATTATAAAATTTATCAGGCTCGGCAAGATAAAAATGAATAGCTTGGCAGAGCCTCGACCTTTCTTTTTCATTTAGCCTTGCCTGATATATGTCGTAATATTAGACACTTGCATGGTATCTATGCAATTTATGATATATGTTCCATATATTTTATTAAAATATTAACTCAAAACTTAATTTTTAGCAATCTACCAAAACCATAATTTTCGCCTGTTGCTTTCTTGCAATTAGTACAATTTCAATGATCTAGTATTTTGTATGTAAGTCAAAATACGACTCTTTTACATTTTGCTACTTTTATGACAAATTATTTCACATAAATGGGTACCTTCTCAGGTAACAACCATCTAAGATGCTCTTAAATCATTATCTAAAGTTTCAAAATATATGTGTGTCCTTTCTCAAGAAGCAAAAAAAGTAGTTTTGTTTTTGAGACATAATTAATGTGCCTTAATAACAATCGGAGAATGTTTTAAACGCATGATTAACAAATAAAATGAAACGGCAACATGTAAAGCAGGTTACTTCCAAAGACTAAAAATCGGTTGAGAGGTATACATCTAATAGTAATTATTGGTGCAGCAGTTTATTTTCATATTATGATTTATGAGAACGCTAAATGTATTTTTGAATATAAACGAAACTGTCGAATTTTTATTGTCCGAAAATGAATTAACTTATAATTTATGAAAAAAAGTTATTTGTTTAGGAGAAAAAAACAATCTTTATTTATTCAAGGATAAATTACCTGTAATTATTTTTTTGAAATGATAAATAAAATAAGCTATTATCATAACTAAAGAAACAACAATTCATATATTTACAGGACAAATTGGCATTGGCCTGCGAGGGGTTTGGTTTGAACCGGAACGAGTAACGGAACCTTTCATAAATGATACACTAGAAAAAGTGTTCCAATTTGAAATTGGATGGATGCTTGACCCTTTAATAAACACTGGTGACTATCCTAAAGTTATGAAAGATATTCTTACTGACAAACTACCAGAGTTTACGGACATCCAAAAGCGTTCAATTAATGGTAAGTGTTACATTCTTATAAATGCAATGTGAGGACAACATTCTCATCGCTTTTCATTCCTTCTTTTTAGGAATGTCATTTTTTGTCTTTATAGTATTTAATGTATTTCTCCCAGTGTAGTCAATTTCTGAATACACATCTATACACACTTCCACGGTGTTCGATTATAGAACTCGTAGATTCTACATTTCTTTTTCGATTTAAGCATTTGAATACGATAGATAGTAGCTGCAAATAAAGATTAGATTTTTCTCTTATTTAGTGTACACTTTTCGACTCAACAAAGATTTTCTACACAACTAGGCCTTAAAGCTGTTAAATGGATGAAAGTTTGTTGATAATGACAGACAATAAAAAATGGCTGCTCTGTTTATTTCATATGATAATTTAACGGCTTATTTGTTTATTCCCATAATCCGATAATATTAAACTTACATTTGACTTACAGAGATAAAAATATATATTATTTTTCTCCTAACTCTTTGAATGTTATCTGATATAATGTCACACTTGTGGCACTAGTAAAGAGTCGGCCAGCCTAAGTGCCTATCAAGTTGACTTTCGAGTGCACAATTTTAGTATTTATCTATATCTTAACTGCAGATTGTTTTTTTTTTTCTTATGCCCGTGTTTCATTTGCAATTATGGTAAGTCCAATATAAAAATGTAATAGCAAGGTTTAGGTAATTAGTCGTACAATTCATTTGGACAAATTATGAGTCTGCCCTTTTCATTACTATTAACATGCTTTAATGAAACATTGCATATGTATAGACGTTTGTTCTACAGAAAATATTACGTAGTATTTATTTTTGTCATGATGGAACAAAATTATTAAGCAAAAATAACATTATTGTTTAGGTTCTGCCGACTTTATTACTGTAAACTATTATGAAACTTGGCTTGTTACTAGAGATGACTTTGCTGATAATGGCGCGATATTGAAAAGGAACCAGATGTGGAAAAGGTAAACATATAAAACAAATTTTTGTTGATGATATAACTATTTTATATTATTTCCCTTAAAATGATAGGTCTCATAACACGTTTATTAGAAGTGAACGATACTACTTCATGATAAAACGGAAAGAAAACCCAAACAGATTTAATTGATATGTTATATATTTTTTTGTTGAAGTTGACCGATAAAAATAAATCTATACAAAGAACACCCAAGTCTGTAATATTTACTTTTAAAACTTTAATTTCCAAAACGTCTATATACCATCATGTTCGTTTTTATATAAATGTATTTCATTAGAGAAGACGATCCATTGACATATATGCATCCGGAAGGTTTAAGGAAACTTCTGAAGAGTTTAAACGAGAGGTATACTGTTGATATATATGCTGAACTTCCGGACGTCAATGAAATTGCTGCTGGTGTTAGGGATATACTGAGAGTCGAATCCATTAGGGAGCACACACACGAAGTCTTGAAGGGTATGTTGGAATCATATTTAGACAATAAAGCTGCACTCTGCTATATACTACAATGTAAAAACTTATTATTCCATGATTAATCATAATCAGATGGATATTGAGGCTGAAAATTAACAAAATAAAGGAATAAATTCAGGTTAAAATGTTTTAGATTTTTTTAAGTTTTAGAACTTTAGAAATAGTCCACTCTATCTCTTTTCAGCAATCAACGTTGATCAAGTCACCGGCTTGAAAGGTCTCTATGTACAAAATCTTGTTGACCGTGCTTCGTCAATTCTTTCCAAGCAGATTGGTGGTCTATATACTGTGAACAAAGATACAATGTCGAGGACTAAGAAACTATCCTCCGTTTTATACACTCAGGTATTCGACATCTTCTCTGTTTTTATTGTTTTCACCTAGCTCACATTGTTACTCGAGTATATTGCTGATCGTGCTACAAGATGGTCATTATTTTGTGGTAGTACATTGTGATTATCTTTATAACTTTCCTAATATTACACGAAATAAATGTCCGTTTATTGTTACATGAAGTGAAAGAAATTGTTTAACTAATAAAGAGACAGTTTGCTTCTAGAATTGAGTTAGAACTTTTTTAAAAGAAATAAATGCATGTACACTTAACGAGACTTATAAGTACTCCGATCAACTTTTTATTATATTGTGTTAGAATTACTATAACTAGTGTAAGGCGATACTGTATAAACTTTTATCATAGTATCATCATTTTATAATAGTAAACGCATTTTAAAATAACTCAAACTTAACAGAAAATCAGTAACTGAGATCACCATTGTAAAAAAAAATCAAATACATGTATTTTGAAAACCGGAGTTTTCCTGCAAGTTTGAAATCGGAGTACTTATATATAAGTTTCGTAAAGTGTATATTCATTACCAATAAACTATGGTGGTTCATAACTTCTATAAAAAATTTTCTATTCAATATTAAAGATAATTAAAGACAATGGTTTTACGCGGGGTTATAACGGTCCAGGAGCATTTGCAAGTGGTCGGATTCTGCATGAAGATGGTATCTATTACGATGATTTCCCCGAAGATTTCGCATGGAGCTCGGCAACCTCAGCCTATCAGATTGAAGGTGGCTGGAACGAAGACGGTAATTTATTTAATATCCACTATGTTACATAATAGAAATACTGCGTGATTGAATGGACTTGTCCATATCATATTTGTTTCCTGAAAATATGTAAAAGATAATTTGAAAGCTGCATTCGGAGAGGGCTTTTAAGACAACGGTATACATGTACTTTTATTTTACATTCAAAGATTATTGTTTCTAAAAAAAAAATGAAATAAATACAAACCTTTAATGCTCTGTGTCTGCAGGAAAATAAGCACACAATGCATAGATTACACGAAAATATTATTATTTTTTTTTTTGGTATTTGCTTTCGTTCTATGTTAATTGAGAAATATACTCAAAGATGTACGTATAGTGTTTTATTTTTCATAGCCATTGATATTTCAGGGAAAGGATTGAGTATATGGGATGTTCACGCAAATACACCAGGAAATGTTTTCAATAATGACAACGGAAAAATAGCATGTGACAGTTACCATAAATATATGGAAGATGTAAAAATACTAAAAGCACTAGGGGTAGGTAACATTAGAGAGTTAAAATTATCTTTAGCGAATTTGGCAAAACATGCATTTATTATGCTTGTAAAAGATGACTTTTCCTTCATATCAAATCTAGATATATTAATAAAATTAAATCTTTGTCAGTGAAATGGTGTGTTAGATTGTTTCTTAGTTTGTCTCACTTGTTTCATTGTTTTATTCATAATTGACATTCATTTATGAAAATATCACATTAGTGTATTATATTTTGTAACATAAATATCGTAGATATGTAACTTTAATATATTGACTATTTTAGACGAAATATTACCGATTTTCGATTGCTTGGACCCGACTCATGCCTGATGGCACAAAAGATAACATCAACGAAAAGGGGATACAATACTATAATAATCTGATCAACGCTCTCCAAGCAGAAGGTACAAAATTTACACAAAAGCCTATGCATATATTCCTGACCTGACTAATTTTAATTATTAGATTAGTGAATACAATAAGAAATTCACAACAACATATTTTTTAACAAAAAGGCACATGTCAATGTTTGTGGTTAATGTTATTCAAATTGAAGGTCAGAGTAGGGGTCTATCAATCAAAATGTATATTCAGTATTTCAAAAAAAAAATGAACCCATCGATGTTGGTTCTTCTGAAGATATGTTTGTGTAAGTAAAACAGAGGTTATATTTGGTTTTATATTTCATCTTATGATGTTATTCAAAGTTATGATTTCTCATAGAACTGGCATTGTCATGAACTGTAACAATATTTGTTAGACATACAACGCATACACAACATTCTTTAGAACCATATATAGCGACATTACTATTTGCATGATCTTTTATGGTAGAATGATCATTTTTCCAATGTTTGAAAAAAAGAAATCTTAACCAAATTTAATAAGAATATATACATATCATTAAAGGAATTGAACCAATGGTAACATTGTACCATTGGGACTTGCCAGTAGCTTTACAAGACCACGGAGGTTGGCTGAATGAAACAACTACGGATCACTTTAGAGATTATGCTGATTTATGCTTCGAAAGATTTGGTGACAGGGTATACATAATTCATTTCAAACTTTTATAGTGACAATGTTTTATATAAATAATTGCACTGCAAATTAAGATATGTACTGCTGTAATAATATTATAACCACATATGAAACTTGAAAATGAATTAAATAAAACTTCAATTATTTATTGTTTGATTTTATTAACCTGTCAATTCCATACTGATTATACGGTCAATGCACAGAATATATCAATATTCGATAAATGTTCGGTAAATTCCGTGAGATTTAAGCAGTACGATATGATTGAATTCATCTGGTTTCAATGCATTAGTTACACTGACCGTTATAGCGCAATAGGGTAAACTACGGGTATATAATTTCTAAATGTCCTACGTGTTGTAAGATCGAATCAGCGTATGTCCAGCCATTTTTTCTTATTCATAACTATTTTCAAAATTTTTGAAGTTAATGTTGTTCTTTCTGTTTTAATAGGTTTTTGCACTTTTTTGTTAATACAATACTTTTGTATATAACATTGTTAAAGAATTAATATTCAAGATTCATTCGGATTAAGATCAATAAATGTCATTTCAGTGCCGTAAAATACAATGCAAAACGTGACAATTCAGTGTTTCTTAGTTGTTTCATATCTGTGTAGAAAATTCTGAAAGCGCTTGACCATTTTCATTATAATATACGTAAGAATAAAGAAAAAATAAGTCTAAAAATAAGTGACGTATAAAAAAAATGTCAAAAAGAAGGGATCGAACCTCGGACCTCTCATACATTAGGTAATCACTTAACCGACGTTGCTATTGCGGATGGTACGATAACCTACATTAAGCTAGTTGGAGTTTTACAAACGTTAGCTATATACTCCATATTAATTCTCGTAAAATAAACGGACAAAACCGAAGTAGGATCGAATATTTAAATGAGTGCTATAATGTATTCATAATTGACAGGTCAATAAAATCAGACTATATCAAAGGTAAAATTATTGTTTATAATCTTCTAAGACACTTCAAAATATTTAGAATATCAAAGTATTGCAGTATCAAGCATTCAAAGTCATGAGGTCTGTAAATCGGATATTTGAGACGCTAATTTTAATTAAAGATAAAGATATTGCTTTATCTATGAAGACACTTCAAATAATTAAGAATACCAAAGTATTGCAGTACAAGGTATGCCAAGTTATGAATTATTGTTGCATCGGGTATTTCTTTGAAACTGATAAATTTGAGAATTCTTGACAACTTTTATCAAAGGTAAAGGTATTGTTTCAATCACGATAAGACACTGCAAAAATTGTGATTTTAAAGTATTAAGTAAGATTTGAGAATGTTAATTTATGAGTTTTTCTTTGATTTGTAGGTAAAGTTTTGGATAACTTTTAATGAGCCATGGATTGTTGCATATATGGGATACGGTATAGCTGTGTTTCCACCGGGACATTATTCTCCAGGAGAGGACGTGTATATAGCCACACATAATCTCATCAAAGCTCATGCTAAAGCTTATCGTGTATACGAATCTGGGCACAAGAGCAAGGGAGGTGAGAAACCTGATATATGTTAAGATAAAAATAGCAAATTGTATGCAAAATGTATGTTATCATATATTATCTAAAGTGACACTATGTCCATCCAATGGTATATTGTGATTGAACAGGTGAAGTCAAAGTTACCTCACATTTTTTTCTTAGTTACTTTCAATTCTATACTTTACTTCGCGCGAATGATAAATTGCTCTCGTGGTCATCTGAATTTACCTGTCACGTTCAATTCATATAAAGAGCATGGCAATCTTTTTTATATTTAAAGGAGATTTGTAATTTATCCTAAACATGTTTCAATATCAACTGGTGGTCAATTACCATTTTTGAAATATTAAGTCGATTATGCTCAACTTGACATCGAAAAAACAACAAGAAAAGAGCATTATGTTTACTTTAAGACAGTGCTTTTATTTATAATATGTCAGGCACAATTCATTAACACTTTTATCTTAGATAAAAATTTTTGTGAATTCTAGTTTAGTTTTTAAAGACTGTTTAAGCTACAACAAGACTCCAATTGGTCGTCAAAGATATAACAGCTATTTATTTATATAATGATTATGTGTTTTTTCCAGGTAAAATTGGTATTACACTGAATGTTGGTTGGTCAGAACCATTTGATAAATACAATCCTGATGATCTTGACACGTCTAACCGTGACATTAATTTCAACCTGGGATGGTTTGCTCACGCCATCTATGTGAATGGAGATTATCCTGAAGTTATGAAGAAAAACGTTCACGAGAAGAGTATGAAACAAGGGTTCAAAAAGTCGAGATTGCCGGAATTCACATTCCAAGAAAAAATCTTTATCAACGGTAATGTATAATCGTAGATTACGGTCGAGATATACATTTATCCCTTCAAAATATGAATTAAGGAATCAAAGGTTTACCAAATATTTGAAGATAATCAGACACCTGTATTACTATAATTGACAATATGAACTTTTTTAAAGAAAGAGGTTGATGAAATAATACTGATTTACCTGGTGTTATCTTGTATGATCATAGTATTTTTGTAATCATCTACTTGAAAAGTCACATTAAAAAGACAAAAAGTTTCTACAGTTGCTTGACTCTATTCTATTGTTCTCCAGTGAAAAAAATATGAATGATTAATATATAAATTTTATCGTTCAGTTAACTGTAAATATTATTTTTATAGAATATTAGATAGAAAAATACAACGTTATATCAAGTGCTTTTATTTAATTATTCTCAATTGCCATTGATTATTGGGAGATACTAAAAAAATGAAAAATATTTAAAAAAATACCCTGATTTTTTTCGTAAGGTAGACATTTTCCTAAATAATTCTGTTTACCATTTGAATTAAGGCACGTACGATTTTCTTGGGCTGAATTTCTACACGTCTGGTATGGTAACGGCGGACAAGAAGACGGACGAACATGGTAGCTATGACGACGATAAAGATATCAAAGGTGCCGGTAGTCCAGACTGGCTAGGGTAAGAATCTTTTATCAATTATCTTTCAAATTTCATGTTATTTATTAAATTTGTAGAAACATTTATCAGCCGTTTTTATTCCAAAAACGTAATATTATCAAAGATTTAAATTGACATTTCTGGTGTAAGAGGAAGGTTTTCATGTTCATTCTGACATTTTTAGCGAGTCTTTGCAAAATCAGTTATCAATGAACATATTATAAATTTCACTGTGAAGCGAATTTTGGCGTTCTAAAGGTATTCAGCATTATAAAAATGAACTTGAGCACACATGTTAATAATAAAAGTTACAACATACTGAGTAACAGATTTTACTAGGACTGAGGTTCTAGAGTTTTTCTCTAAATGTTACCAAAAATGTACAAGTAACGATTACAATAATAATGAATAAAGTAAATCTTAACCTTGACGCTTGTAGGTCGGGATCAGGGTGGCTGAAAGTAACACCGTTTGGAATGAGAAAAATATTGAATTGGCTGAAGAAAGAATACAATAACGTACCGGTGTATGTAACAGAGAATGGTATATCTGACAGAAATGCTACACTCCGTGACTATCACAGGATTCATTATTACAGGACATATATCAATGAAATGCTGAAAGGTGAATTGGTGAACTAGTAAGAGATAAAGATGCTCATGCGCATTATGCGACACAATATGTAATATTAAACAAAGTGAATGTCATTAAGACAAGTCACTTTAGACTGGCATGTATATTATAGTGAGGACATGCAATGTAAAAAGAACACTATGGAAGTCGTCAAATTATTATTATATTGCCAACTAAGACTTGCATGCATGTATACCAAAATAGGTACAACATTAACCGAATATTGTTCTGATCATTCTTATATTGCAAACTAAGATACCGGTATACGGTCATACATGAACATTGTATAGATGACTTATCTTCATATATGTATATTAGTTTATACAAATTTATTTAAGTTCGATTGTGTTGGAAGCTATAAGCTTATTAAAACACTTCGGAACCGTTCCTGGAACCAACCAGTACTTAGCAATGATTGTCAAGTTTCTTGCTCAAGGAAACAACAGTTTGAACTTACAGGTTTGGAAATCCTTAGATTAGTAGTCTGACGCGTCATGTCGCCACTATATGTGTATATGTATACCGTCAACCAGGACAAAAGAACAGCATGGTTATAATTTAAGGCTACTTGATGCTTCAACAGATTGTACTTATATCATGTACAAGAATTGTATTAAATTTGCAAATGACATATTTACAATTTTAATTGTCTGTTTTAAGCAATAAAACTTGACGGTTGTAACGTACAAGGATACACAGCATGGTCACTAATGGATAATTTTGAATGGGGTGTTGGTTACGCAGAGAAGTTTGGAATTCATTATGTAAATTTTAGTGACCCAGAGAGACCTAGAATACCTAAAGGATCGGCTTATTGGTATACCCAGGTATTTATTTCTTAGTCATAATCTTCAAAATGATATCGGTACACTCAGAACGGCACGTATTCACATAATGAGATAGAGGGATATGGAAATGATGTACGAAACATGAATATGAGGCTACTTGGTGCACGTTTCAAATCTGATTGATGAAAAAGAAAGATAATTTGAAAATATTTTATAAATAATTATGAAACAATTTTCAAGAAACCATTTAATAATACATGATATTGGCATCAAATCTGCAATTATTTAAATATGCTACTCACAGGTGAATCTTATTAATAGATTTAAATTTAGCTAGCTTCTATTGTCCTTAGACAGGCTCAATCAATTGGAGCTTGGAAATTTTCAATTTTACAGTTTTTGGCCTTTTAGGGAACTTGTTTTGTCTATTTTATAGACACATCGGTAATGTTTGTGATGTATGGAGGCCGTAAATAAATTTCCCGGTGCATTTAGTTATAGATGTTATATATCCGATACTTAAAGATCGTTCAACACAACATATTTGTTGTGTTGGTTGTTCTTTTAATGTCCTCTATATGTTTTCCCTTCTTTGGTTGTTACGTTGTTCCAAATTGAATAATGTATAATCAACTTTAGGACATGTTTTTCCTTTGAGAATAACTTGTTTTCTTTTCGTTTAGAGCACAATTATTTACTCATGGGATACACGCACAGCTTGGATACAGAATGGCACCAAAATTTGGGTTCATTTGAAACTTTGTCCAAAGACAGAATTGCGGCTTTGTAACACACCGGATTGTTTTTTACAATTTCAAAATAATATGGTACACCATAGCACGTTTAAAATTGATATTCTTAGTTTTTTACTATGATAGAGTTGTAAGAACAAAAACATGAATATGGGGTATCGGTGTAACCTTTAGCAAATCCACATTGAATAACATATGAAAGTTGTGAAACATTTATAAATTTACATTTCAAACATTACATATATTTCCATGCAAATCTACATTATTTAAGAACAGAATAATTATTATAATTTATTTCATTCTATTCTATAAATGGCCTAAATTTCTCCTTAGAACTTAATCATCATTTTTCATTACAATATCCAAATGATGCATGCTTTTTGACTTCATCAAGATTTGAAATACTTTTGGAAAATGTGCCCAGTGTGGACCAATCCACTTACAGCCTGTACTTACCATTACCGTCAAATAAATTGAAGAATCTCAATCAAACTGTGTCTGCAACATTTTTCTCTATTGTTACCGTTTTTAGCGTTCGTTCATCGGGGGAGTCTGTTGTTTTACTTAAATGCAATGTTTGTAGCATAATAAAAAACAATAACAATTTTTATACAGATGGTAGCGGAAAATGGGTTTAAACCTGGCTATCCAGCTATTGGAGGGCGAGGAACTGCTCCAGATTTTGTTGGAAAATTTTATTATGACACTTTTCCTGAGGATTTCCAATGGGGTATTGCAACATCAGCATATCAAGTTGAAGGTGCATGGAAAGAAGACGGTATTATTATAGCATTATTAATTTATATATTTGTTCGTTATTTAAGACACCCATAAGGTATACGAAGACAGGCACGTGCATCAAGAAATAACCTTAAACTTAATACATAAAAAAGAAAAAAATAGAAAAAAATACCCGTGTTTCAGATGAATATACAAATGTATATTAGTAGTGCGACATTGTCCTCAATATGAAAATTCACGTTTTTTCATATATCTTTGCTTATCAAATGCACAAATACTTATAATCATTTGCACAAAGTTGTTTGATAAAAGGTCGTGGTGTAAGTATTTGGGATACATTTACTCATGATGGTAAAGCCAAGAACAGAGATACCGGAGACATTGCTGCTGACAGTTATCATAAATATAAAGAGGATGTGCAGCTTCTACGTCACCTCAAGGTATATATCTTGAGATACTTACAACAAATCGTGTCAAGTAAAACAATTTTAGCATTTTTGTCCCACTGGTAAAAAGTAAATGTAAGTTGTCAAGTGAAGTGTACAACAGTATTTTACTCGTACTCGCTTCTTTGTAAACAACATCACTGTAAAACAAGAAGTTAATTAAACCTATAAACATATTTCACTGTAAAGTTTAATCGGCTTCACCAAAACAAATTAAAATACCTATTTTGATGTTTATGATTTTAAACATTTAAGACGCCAGTTGCCGCTACCTCATACATAAGGAAAGAAAATCATTTCTATTTTAAAAACTAAATGAAAAGTTATAAGTCAGTTTTACTATTTTTACCCAAAAGATCATGTCAGTTAGGCTATTCATCAAATTCGGATTTTTAACCGTGCAAACACAAATCTTGCAAAAGCGTAATACTGTAATCACGTGTTTCCTGATCAATGCTTAGTTCTATGTATCATTCTAAATAGGTAAACAACTATCGTTTCTCGATATCTTGGACTCGGATATTTCCAAACGGGACTGGCCCAGTCAATCCAAAGGGTATACAGTATTATAACAACCTTATAGATGAGCTCATCAAATGGAACATTAAACCTGTAGTCACTTTGTATTACTGGGATCTCCCACAGGCTTTAGAAGGTAGGTGTGTTAAAAAGAAACTTTAGTTAATATATGTTTTAGTGTATCTTACAGACACCAAATTATTGATTTGTGAATGATCACACTTTGAATTAAGAGTCAGTCGCAATACAACTCAAAAAGGCATGAAGACATTCTATCTCACAAAATAAATGAGAGATGTTGCAGCTTTCCTTATCTCTCGTGAGCAGTCTAAATGAAATATAAAAAACAAAGATCAAAAAGGAAGGGCAGCATTCACATCACCAAACAACCCAGCAACAAAGGACCACCTACAAGGAGCCCAGCAGGACGTAAAAATAGGATTTAATAATACTATTATATATTACAAGAAGTTAAGCATCAAAATGTATTCAAATTTTGAATATTTTATTTTCAATATTTTAACACTTACTTCAAAAAGAATACAAACCGAAAAATACAATACAAAATCCATTCATATATTGCAGACAAAGGTGGATGGCTCAACAACGAGACTGCAGATTATTTTAAAACGTTTGCTGATGCTTGCTTTGACGCTTTTGCTGACAGGGTAATTTTCAAACGTGTTTTCTGAAACCACCCTTGTTGTAACTGTTCCGTTTGACTTTCCTAAACACCGTATCAAATAATCTATTATCTCAGAATATTATCTAGCTAGAGTTAATGAACACATGGGTCAAAGGCCTGCTCATGTATATAACCACCACTACCTTTACAAGTATTATCATGTTTTATCAAAAGGCAATTTTCTAGAAGTAAAATAACATGCGCGTTTATGATTTTCATAACAATACAGGTATCGACGTGGATAACTATTAACGAACCGTACGTTGCAAGCATCGATGGTTATGGCATAGCATTTGATGCTCCTGGAAAAAGTAGACCTGGGTTAAATGAATACATAGCTGGCCATAACATGCTAAAAGCGCACCTTTACGCATATAAACTTTATCAGAAGAAATATGCAGCTTATGGAGGTATTTTCTATAACTTAATATTGCCATGTGCATGTTCATAAAATTCTTTTTATTCAAACTATACTAGTTAAAGGGATATTCAGGCAAAATAATGACAAAATATTAAAATGATCTTATGTACTCAAATCATGCTAAAATGTCTTTTCTGGAAGTTTCAGCTTGAATTTCTGTTTAAATTCTATATATTTTGGGTTTGAAGCGTAAATATATCTATATATAATAAACAAAATTTAGACGCCAATAGAATCACCAAATAGTTTTTAAACAAGTCAGTTGACTTGAACAAACCCTTGAAGTTACAATAACATATATTTTGGATATTGTATGATTGAAACAAGCCTAAGTCATTCATTTGACATGTTCTTTAACGTTTCCAGAGTTCACTTTGACAACTATTGTGAAATGCTAGCGCTCTAACCTGACCCACGCGGGTCAAGTTAGGAAACCACCATTTTATTCTTTATATGCAGAAAAGTTTTGTTCCTTTGACTGTCTAAAGTATTCATTTTGAGGGTATTTACAGAGTAATAAATGAAAAACTCAAAACTAAGAAATGAAAATTTTGCCTGTGTCTCCCTTTAAAGTTGCATATAAACATGTTTATTGTAACATTTAATCCTATAATTTATCACGCTTAAAATGTAAATCATTGTGTTTGTCTCGAAGATGAAAATACATATAAAATATATACTGTTTATTTGCACGTATTGAAGGCATTTAAAGTTTGAAAATATAACTTAATGTTAGCAACAACATTAAAATGACAACTAGAGTCTTCATATATTCTTGAAAAGATTGAAAGTAAATAGGACTTGATAGAATATTTAATAGCCTAATTAATTTAATCAGGTAAGCTTGGTCTGGCATTGAACGCTGACTGGAGGGAGCCAAAAGATGAATTTGCACCATCGGATTGGAAAGCTTCTGAAACGGTAATGCAGTTCACCCTAGGTTGGTTTGCTAACCCTATATTTGGCGACGGCGATTATCCACAGATCATGAAAGAAAAAATTTGTAACCGAAGTATTGCAAGAGGAGATAATGAATGCAGATTACCATCATTTACAGAGCAAGAAATAAATGATCTTAAAGGTAAGATTTTGTCAGTTGTCATCTAAAAATCGTAAAATTTATGGTATGCTTTTGTTAAGAAATAAAACAACCAGTTTCTATGTATGATGATAGCTAATTAAATGCAAAGGTACCATCAAACTATTAATAGTTTTACGCTGAATTTTATTAAGAACACAAAACGTATTTCGGAACAAATTTAACATAATTATGTAAATGCTATAAAATTGTTTGCTGATTATTTGATGCATATGACTGTATTTCACAAACCATAGGATCAGCTGACTTTATGGGCATAAATGTATTTACTGGGTATCTGTGTACTGAAGAGAGCTTTGCAATTGAAGAAAATGGTTTTTGGCAGGACAGTGCAACCAAGTGCATCAAAGACCCGAAATGGAAAGCGTAAGAGCTTTTATTCCCCTGAAAATTAAAATTGACGACAATATTAACTTTGTTCCAGTACATAATTATATTTTAAAGCGCTGTTGTAAAAGAAAAATGTTAATATTTTGAGACGTAAATTATTTTATGCGTATTTGTATATATGTTATTTATTTTGACTATCTTATTCTTGTGCCTGAAATAATGCACGGAAGGGCACTTGATGTCTTCCTCCAACAGTAAAGCTGGAACGTCGCGATATGACTTATACTGTGTCGATGTGACGTAAAACCCAAAAACAAGCAAACAAAATCTAATTATTCTAAGAGTTGATTTAAAGTGATACGGTATATATTTTGTCGTTTCAAAAGGTCCGGATCATTTTGGTTGAAGGTGGTACCTTGGGCAATACGGAAGTCGCTAAACTGGGTCAAGACACACTATGGTGACATTCCCATTTATATAACATCTAATGGTGTTTCAGACAACACGGGAGAGTTAAATGATACTGACAGAGTCAATTATCATAAAGAATACATCGATGAAGTTTTGAAAGGTAAATGCTCTATAACATAATAGATAATTTGTCTGTGAGATAATGTTCGTCTTGTATCTTTTGACAATTATATTTAATGAAACATAGGTTTATGCAGTTTTCAGCAATAGTTTACTTGTCATGGTTTGATAAACATTTAGTACGAAGTAAAAATTGCTTAAAGTATTTTGTGATACAATATGTATTTCACATCCTGCTTTGACCGATGTTTTTACACGATAGAACTGGTAGTGCAAATATGATATCAACCAAACTGTTTAATCTATTTCAGCGGTAAAGCTTGATAAAGTAAATGTCAAGGGTTACACGGCATGGTCCCTTCTAGACAACCTTGAGTGGAGTGCAGGTTATTCTGAGCATTTTGGAATGTATCAGGTTGATTTTAAAGATTCTAACCGAAGAAGGACCCCTAAAGCGTCATCAAGATTTTACAGGTAACTTTATTAAAAACCATAACTTGACGGAAGTGAAAATATTTTTTTCTAAATTTGTGTGCCATTTAATGGGTCTTGAAAATAACTTGTGTGCAAATTTTAAATCATTTCCTCATTCTTTTTTTCCAGAATAATCATTTTCATTGTAAAAATGACTCGCAATTGAAAAGCGTTGCAACGCTTTTCACTTGAATCCGGCAAAGAATCTCATAAAAATTACAGATTTACATTATACTTTGTGTTTAATCGTTTTTCTCATATTCTCCTGAAAAAAAGTTACAGATAGCTTTTACATATAACATAATATCATAGATAGACTCGACATTCCTGTAATACTTTTGAGATTTACGGTAGTGTCTATACATATGTGCATTTTTTCATTTGATAAACAAACCGTCTAATGCTGATACAAGGAGAAGTGGATGGAAGCTATCATTAAACATTATTACCCGTCACTGGTCTTATAATGTTAATTTCCCATAGGCCAATGGTCGTTATTCTTAAGGTCCATTCAAGTGTACCATGTGACTTAAATATTTTGTACTGTTACATAGATACCAGTATTTTTTTCACAGCGAAAATCTGAAAAATAAATAGCTATAGAAACAGTGTCCCAATGTTTGGTTTTAATAAAATCAGAATAACACAATAGTATTTCCTTTGGATGATATTTTTGCTGTTACTCACAAACTTATGCAATATTTATATAATGGCGTCTATGAATCGAAACAATTAAATCCACATATATTTGGCAATAATTTTATTTCCACCTAGTTTTAAGCAGGCTTTATTATTATGTTTTGCAATTTTGATTAACATTAACTTAGCAAAGTATTAAATACGCTTTCACCCATCTTATACAGAAATGTGATATCTAATAATGGCTTTAAAGAAAACGATACAGACTCTTTTCTTCCGCAAGAGAACGAATTTATGTATGAAAATTTTCCCGACAAATTTGCTTGGAGTGCCGCTACCGCAGCTTATCAAGTTGAAGGAGGTTGGAACGAAGGAGGTATAATACTTTTATTGGACGGTTTTGATCATGTCCGTTACAAAACAACGTTAGAACTACCGACATTAGATAAAAGTTTCTTTTGTTTGTTTTGAATCTCACTCTAATCCATATGTGATATACACTTTCCTATATAATTGTCATATTTTGTACCAATTCTATATTATATTAAACAATTTTTTGCTGAAATATATTGATTTAATTATCGTGCCTAAGATATCAAACTTAATCTAAAATCAGTAACCAAGTCAATGATTCACATTGAGTACTAACTGTTGCTTTTTAGAATGTTTCTTTTTTTATGATACATTTAAAAAATACGATACATTTAAACAATACCTTAGTAACTGACTTATGCGAACCAGTTTACCCAAAATGAATATTTTTTTCAATTCTTCAATCATAGGCCGTGGGATGAGTATCTGGGACACATTCTCTCATACACCTGGGAAGGTTGATAATAATGACACCGGTGATGTGGCATGTTACAGCTACAAATATTACGAGAAAGATGTTAAGCTACTTCAAGGACTCGGGGTGTGTATATATTATCATTGTAATTTTACAGCCAATTCATGCCGTTGATTTATAGAACTGATTACTAATTATTAACTTGTTATAAGTTCTTTATATCAAGAGTCTTACCTATCTCTCGAATAATGACAAAGGATTCACAGTTTTGTTTTCAGCACAAGAAATACTATGATATGAGTATGTTGTTTTCAAAAAGATCTTTACACAAGTTTTAGAACATCTACAAACAATTCTCAACCGGTCTTTCATGTCATACACACACATCTATTTTCTATATTTTCTCTGTGTTAAGGTCACTCATTATCGTTTCTCGGTTTCCTGGCCACGAATTTTTCCAAAAGGTTATGGTGAGATTAACCACGAAGGACTGGATTATTACAATAACCTAATTGACGCCCTGATTGATGCAGGAATTACTCCCATGATAACCCTATACCACTGGGATCTCCCACAAGCACTAGAAGACTACGGAGGCTGGAGGAACGAAACAACGGCTGATCATTTTGCAGCCTACGCTGATGTCTGTTTTGATGCATTTGGAGATAGGGTATTTCATATTATGTTTCAGATTAATCTGAATATTTGTAAGAGTATACGCTTCATTGCAAATGATTTCATCTAATGATATTAAGACCAAATAATTTCTTACACATATGGTTGTTCATTTATTAGAAAAAGGTATGTCCGCCCGCATTCTCAATGGAGAACACATTAGATGAATAATTAAGCATTTTCTGGTTTGGCCCTTGGGCAAAGCTTGATTTTTCATTAAAATTGGCCTAATTGTGATTTGTCTCTCAACACTTAAGAAATCATGTCGATAATCTGCAGAAAGAATTGGTAATAACTGATTATTTATCTAGAACGGCAGGCTACTTTGATCTGTCGCGAAGATATAACAAAAGCATGCGTACAAAAAGGCGTGAAACCAGACAAAAACAAACAAGCCATAACATTAAGTCTTTTTAAACTGCATAATCATTGCTTTCTTTATAAAGATATGTTCAATGAAATTTTGATACTATAAGACAAACTTGATACAATAAATTCTGATATTATTTGTCATATTTTATAGGTTAAGTTCTGGATTACATTAAATGAGCCATGGGTCGTGTCTTTGTTGGGACACGAGTACGGAGCAATGGCTCCTGGTATACCAATTTCACATTTAATCGTAGATTATTGATTTAACTTTGACTAAATATTAATAGTAGATGATTATAAACAATAACTCTTCAATGGTAATTTTCAGATTTAAATTTCGTTTACCATTTCAGCATTTAAGGATAGCTTTTGTTGCATAACAACTTTTATACTTATTATGAAGCTGTCAACTCGATTTGCAATAACAATTTTCTAAATAATTATATAAAAGTTTATTTTGTAATCCTTTGTTCCCTCTATTTCATTCACTTTGTGTCATAGTGGAGACAATTCCATTGAAAATGTGTCAAAATTAAAATTGTAAATCTGATTTATACTCAAGGGCTAACAATTGAGCCTATTTCATTGAATTTCTTGTTGTTGGAACAATTTGACTCGCATAACACAAAGCTAAAGCTTAACAAATTTAATCTATAATATTTCGTTATGAATGAGATTTTTAAACTTTTACAGGTTTAAGAACCAAAGGAACATTGATATATCAAGTGTCAAGAACATTGATTTTAGCACACGCTAAGGCATACAGAATTTACGATGCTAAATTCAGACCAACGCAGCATGGTCAGTTTAATTTACTTATTAGCTTTTTTTTCTTTTTCTTTTATTTTATATTAAAATTGGCACCTTTAAGGCAGAAAAATTGGAAATGATAAAAGAATTTAAGTATTTAAGTATTTGGCGAAATCGCACATTATACCGGTAGACTGTTTTGGTATTGAGAAACTACAATTCAGATTAATAGTTGTTAAAGTGAGTTATCATGTCTCATGTAAAAGATGTAAAATGACGGTGTATCAATTTTTATACCAGTTATTATATTGTTATGAAATTGCTTTAGCCATATTCCTTTAAATGCAAATGAAAGTAAATATATAATACAGGGCAAGTTGGTATAACTATGAACTGTGATTGGTGGGTACCAAAGAATCCATTTGACCCGGATGATAGAAACGCTGCTGAAAGAGGTCTTCAGTTCCATCTTGGTTGGTTTGCACATCCTATTTTTATAAATGGAGATTATCCAGATATTATGAAGGAACAGATTAACAGAAGAAGTAAAGTTCAAGGACTTAACGAATCTAGACTACCGCCGTTTTCAGAGGAAGAGAAACGTTTAGTTAAAGGTATGCTTCTCATTGCAATTATTTCTTGATATGCAGTCATTGTCTTCGAATATTAGTCTTGTACAATACAGAATTCAAAACGAATTTCTCTTATACAGTGTATATATGTGAAGTTGTAATCACAGAATCTCATCTGCTGATTCTGACAGATCAGATATACCCGTGTATACAATTCATGTACATGTGTGTCTGTATTATAACCATTTAAGTAGAACAGCAAATAGTTAATCCTATTTGACATTCAAAAAATGATCGTACATGTTTTGTATGACACGGAATAAAACACGTGATATAAAATCAGAATAAGGATTGCTTTATTAAAACTTTAGAATCAATTCTTTTGCATTTTTCAAGCGATAGGTGATACTACTTCTATCTATTTAACTGTGTTGTTTTTAATCGGATAGGTTCGTTTGACTTCTTTGGGTTAAACATGTACACATCAGTGATGGTATCTCATAAAACATGTGATGAAAATGATACTTCTTACGAATGCGACCAAGAACTTATGGAGGAGAAAGATCCTAATTGGCTCGGGTATGTTTGCAATCAAATTTGAAGACATTTCAGTTCGCTTTTTTAGTCGTCCTTTGTTGTATGTTCTTTTAAGAAACAGACCTGTAATTGTCAGTTTGTCTACATCGTTTAATTTGTTCAAATATGAGTCTGTAGCATCTACAATTATTCAACTTTCGAGTCTATTTATAAACACTTATTGGTTGTATAGTTTTTTATTCACTCTACAAAGATTGTTCTTGCAATAAACTAGTGTTGTATAACGGATTTTAAATTAATGTAAATTAAAATAATACCAAGTCAGCAATAAGTCAAATGCATGAATCGTAGTTTATGAATCTTAGTATATATCAAAATCATTTTCATTCAGAAATAACAAATTTTATATCTGAATAACTGTATCTTACACAGATCTGGCTCTGATTGGCTTAAAGTGACACCTATTGGTATAAGGAAATTGTTGAATTGGATCAAGAATGAGTACGGGAATGTGCCGCTATATATAACAGAAAACGGAATTTCTGATCGGAATGGTTCGCTTGAAGATCAGCATAGAATATTCTACTATAAGAATTACATTAACAATGTTTTAAAGGGTAATAATTTATTCCCTATTTTAGCATATTTACTTTATGCATGTCATAACAATCAGTGGTCACTTTACAAGTAAGTCTTAGCAACGACTGGGACGAGCCAATATACCTGTTGACCATTTGTGCCAGCAATATTGATCAGAAATACTCTTCTTTCAAGGAATCTGAGTTACAGACTTTTTGTCCGCTGATAGGAGAAATTGTTTGATGTTGCTACGGTTTGTTTGCATTCAATTTACTTCCTAAATAAAATGTAAATGATATTTTTAATGTTTCTATATTTTCAAAACGCTAGGGGGCGTGGACGGTAGTTTGCACTTGACAGTACCGTCCATGAACAGGCTCAATCAAACCGAGCCTGCAACATTTTCAATTTTGCCGTGTTGGGCTTTCTTTAGGGATTCTTATTTTCTCTATTTTACCAAATAGCTACTAAATGGATAAAGTTTTCCTCGATGTTAGCCATGAAATATACTTATTTTATTTGTCAGAAAAGATGTATTAAATAACGATGATGTAGATTAATTTATATTTACTTTGAAATTACAAAAGATAATAAGTTTATGCTATTTTTACAGCTATTAAGTTGGATGGGTGCAATGTAAAAGGGTATACAGCTTGGTCTTTGATGGACAACTTTGAATGGGCACGTGGTTACACAGAAAGGTTTGGGTTACATTATGTGGACTTCACAGACCCGGAGCGGACAAGAACACCAAAAGCCTCGGCAGTTTGGTATAGGTAAATAATAGAAATTTCATTTTCGTATTAGATAGTAAGTTATAAATGTACTTTTTGTCAAATAAAAAGTTATTTTATGTAGTCTACCTGGATATAAGCATGGAGGGGCACCTGTGGCCTGAACCCAACCAAAGAAACATACTGGATATAAATTCACAACTGCTGTAGATAAGAACTAAAAAATGAAAATATTCTTATACTTGTAATGAAAGTTTTTTTGTTCTTTTTTTACTTTTGCATATTACAAAAATCCTTCATTATTTCTTTTTTCGCTATTGTCATATCGGATTTAATTTTGTGTTTACTTTACAAACAGAAAACATATTATGTACTGATAAATATTTTTGAGATAACCTCATTTCTTTTTACAATCAAGGAATTTGATCAATCAAAATGGATTTGTTGAGACAGCAATACCGTATGAGAATGAAATGTTCTACGGTACATTTCCGGAAGATTTTGCCTGGTCTGTGGCAACGGCGGCATATCAAATTGAGGGCGGAGTTCATGAAGGAGGTGAATTTATTTTATGTTATTAATGTTATTAAAATATGTGACATGTTTATAAGATGTGTCAATCAATACTAAATATTTTTTCTAGAAAACCAAAGCACCAGTGAAATGTATTGAAAACATATACACATTAAAAAGATCATTAATTAGAATGTTGCTAGTATGTCGTTTGTCGGGAAAAGGAAAAAGCTACAAATTCTATTGTTAATATTTCTAGAAGCGTGGAGAACTAAAAAGTATATGTTCTATGAGATAGACATCCATTAACAAGATAGCGTCTTTTCTGTGAAAACTGATTAATACAACGTTAAATATATGCGGATAAAATATGTTTGAAGTGAAAATTGAAACATTATTATTTTTCTCTTTCTACCATATTACAGGTAGAGGCGACAGTATATGGGACGTTTTTTCAAGAATTCCCGGGAAAGTGCTTAAAGGTCACACAGGAGATATAACCGATGACAGTTATCATAAGTACCCGGAAGATGTTAACTTGCTCCGATCTTTGAAGGTGAGTAGAAAGTGATTTTATAAGTTTTCCGTGTTTCACTTCAGTGTTGTTATATTTTTATCTGGTCCTTGATTGCAGCACTCTGAAATGTTGAAAATTCTATACCGATTAATCCATTGCTAGGGGTGCGTGATGGATAATGCTCTTTTTCATTATCTCTTGTCATGCTCAATCGAACCGAGACTGCAATTTTCATGTAATGTTGTTGCAATTAATTCTTCCGAGAGATCATGCTTTCTCCAGATCTTTATAGATAAAAAAACAAACATAAAAACATATTCTTTAACTAGTTTTAGCTACTGGTTAATATCTTTTTGTAGAATGATCTGTTTGATATTGACAAATATGATATGAAAGGGGAGCGCTTAGTGGTTAAGATGTCTGCCTCTCAAGTCAGTGATCATGGGTTCTAGCCCTAATTGGGTCACGACATGTTTCTTCATATTACACCAGTGCTGATTGGCTCCAGGAAGTGGACTCAAAGGTGATTAATATAAGTTGCAAGAACTTGTTTCGCAATCGTGCTTAAATAAATATGTTTAAACCATATATGATATGAATTGACATCGTCAATATTTTTTCTTCCATTACAGGTGTCACATTATCGTTTCTCTATAGCATGGCCAAGAATATTCCCTCTAGGATCAGGTACCGTCCCAAACAAAGCTGGAATAGAATACTATAACAAAGTTATAGACATGTTGCTGTCAGCAAATATCGTTCCCATGGTAACTTTGTATCACTGGGACCTTCCACAGGAATTGCAGAAATATGGTGGTTGGACTAATAGAACAACGGCTGATTTGTTTGCAGATTACGTTGATGTCTGTTTTAAACATTTTGGTGATCGGGTAATAAATCTTTCTATGTACTAATCATATTTGATCCTTATAAATATAAACAATAAAAACTTAGTTAAAAATGAAATAAAAATAGTGACGTAAAATTTCTTTCTGAACAGCAGGTTGTTTTTAATTTTTCTCATAGAAGATACATCATTATTAAAATAATAGAACTATGAGCAGCAACCTTAGCAAATTTTTAGACACTCGTAAACTAGCTAGTTGCAACCAATTCCTTTAAAAGTGGGCACATATTTTACATTAACAGCATGTTATACATTTTCACATTTCTATATTTCTTTTCAAATTCACCAGGTAAAACTGTGGATAACGTTGAACGAACCTTGGGTTGTGTCTTACATGGGATATGGATCCGGGGAATATGCACCAGGTATAAACTTGAATAGATTATCAAATTAGCCGCGTCATGACAAAACCAACATAATGCGTTTGCGACCAGCATGGATCTAGACCAGCCTGCGCAAACCCATTATGTTGGTTTTGTCCTGACGCGGCTCAAATACAATATAATTCAAATTGATAATACTATATGTTTCATCTTAAACATTTATAAACATGTATATGTTCAAATTTGTTTGTCAAAAATATTGATATTGGCTCTATGTAATTATAAAAATAAACATTTTAAGTACACACATAGTATATAATATACATTAAATTCTCCACACTATATGTTAACAAAGTTTGAATACATAATGCATAAAAATATGCATTTTTGAAGTTTGGAAAATTTTAACTTGATATTTGAATGGGAATTCAGCTCTTAATGCTTATTTTGTTTATTCAAAAGTTCAGAAATAAAGTTATTTAACTCAAAGATGAGCAAAGTATATCTTTAACATATTTGGTATTAAGTTTTGCGCTGAATGACAGGGGGTTTTTAATCGAAATTATTCAAAATTGTTTAAAAGATTGTGAAAAACATAATCTAGCTAATGTAACACATACATTTATTTATCATAGGATGGAATAAAACAGGAACAGCAGATTACCAAGCTGGCCACACCCTTATTCTTGCCCATGCCAAGGCTTACGATGTTTATCAAAAGAAATACAAATTTAATCAAGGAGGTAAAGTTATTTTTACAAAATTATTACATACATTTTGAAACATAACATGTATTTTTGTTAATGTAAATCTTGTAACCATTAAACATTGTATACATATATCAATATGTACCTTATATGTTCCTACATACATATCTATTGCATTGTGTTTCTCATAAATTTCATTACAGTCATGCTTCATGTTTCATTTTGTAGAAGTCGATTCGTATATCATTTTTACATCTCTTTTGTCATGATTCAGGTAAAGTTGGCATCACCATGAATTGTGATTACGCTATACCAAAGAACAAGAAAATTCCCGCGGATTACACAGCAGCCGACAGACATATAGAGTTCCAGCTGGGCTGGTTCGCTCATCCAATATTCATTGACGGTGATTACCCAAGCGTTATGAGACATCAGGTTGACAAGAAAAGCAAAGATTTAAACGAATCAAGGTTACCACATTTTACAGATGAAGAGAAAAATCTTATCAAAGGTATATAAAACACTTGTTAGTTTCACGGTATCTCAAAACTTATCTACGAATATTATATCAATCAAATCATGATTATAAAAATAAATTTAAAGAATTATTCAAACATTCTTCGAATTATCAAACGTTTAAAAGCTACCGACAAAGAAAAAAACCGTCAACAAAAACTAGATAATCAAATCGTTACATATTATATGAACGCTCAAAATCATTTTGATTCGTGTAACGATGACAAACAAAAAATCTTAAACATATTATACAATCAAACGTTTGTTAACAGGATTTAATCTAGTCTTGTCTTAGGATTCTTACATAGATCAACTGAAATACTTAAAACGAAAGAAAAAACCTGCAAGGATTATAAAACAATATACACACAATTAAATAAAATATCATAGTTGTGCGGTTTTAGCCAGATATGAGTGGAAAGCGTCGTCGCAACATCGTTTGGGTCAGTTTGGACAATAAAAATGATTATTCTGAAAAACAAATTAAAAAGAGCTCGAGTCAAAGAAAGATCTAAAAATTTGCAAATACATAAAATGAGCCGTGTCACGACAAAACCAACATAACGGGTTTGCGACCAGCATGGATCCAGACCAGCCTGCGCATCCGCACAGTCTGATCGGGATCCATGGTGTTCGCTTACAAACCCTATTACAAGTAGAGAAACTGATAGGAACAGCATGGATCCTGATCAGACTGGTCTGGATCTATGCTGGTCGCAAACGCAATACGTTGGTTTTGTCGTGACGCGGCTTAAATGGTACATAAATCTTGGAATAATTTCTCAGTCCTGTGTACTGTCAAAAAAACGTGTCCAATAAACTCTTAATTATTAATGTGTCAGTTGTTCCATTATTTAATGCTGTGATAACTTGGATAAATAGTTTAAACCATTTCTTTATTGAAGGATCAGCTGATTTTCTGGGACTGAACCAGTATACAACACTCCTAGCGGAAGATTATGAATTTCCAACCGTGGATCACACTTATTATAATGACATGGATCTTAAAGAAAGTAGAGATCCAAATTGGCTTGGGTAAAATATGCATCATTCGTAATTGTTTATCTTACCTTTACTCAGTTTATTTGCGTCGAAAGAAAACTAGCATTTGTATCAGTAGCATGCAAATATACATCTTCATAATTAATCTAATTATCTAATAGGTTTTGTTAAAATGAATCATTTTACTACATGATAAATATTATACTCGATTGTGATTTATAACGTGTGAGTCAGTGATTTTCACTAAAGCTTTCCCGCCAAAAACTTCTAACATCGGCCAAATATCGTAATCAATCAGTTATTTCCGGAATGTTTTTTTTTTTTTTTGAAGATCATCGGTATTCAATAATTTATAACCGTTGTAACCGTAATTTAATACATAGCGATAAGTGATTGTAATTAATTCCATGCCCAAGATTTTGATATTGGCCGACGTTAGATTTTTTTTTGGCGGGAGGTATTACTGTACCTTAACAACAGTTTGACTTTTTTTTATTCTTTGATAAACTGGTTGCAGATCTGGCTCTGACTGGTTGAAGGTAACACCGTTTGGAATGCGAGGTATCCTGAACTGGATCAAGAAACGCTACAACAATATTCCAGTATACATCACAGAGAATGGTATAACAGATAGGAATGCTTCATTACAGGACCATCATAGAATATTCTATTATAAAGGATACATTAATGAAGTACTAAAAGGTATTGCTCCATACATTACTTTCATGTTTTTTTCTCGATAAAACAAAATAAAGTCTCCAAATTTGGATCATTACGGATAATTTGAGAATGTTGTTGGCTCTGTTTGAAGATATGCCGGTACTTTGTTCAAATTTGATATTAGAAAATATTGATAATTGCTGCCAATCTCTTTGTTAATATAAGTATTAGAATAGTATATCTTTAATTCATTGTGTTCACGGGGATGGTATTCCATCGTCACCATATTTTTAAATACAATGTTATGATACATTTATTATATTTCAAAAACACAATGTCACTTTATAAAAAGGCATCTTTTATTTTATTTTTTTGTCAATAAAACTAGATGTTATGTAATACAAAAATACATTTTTATAACTATTGGAATAAGGTTTTAGACTTCTTTATCTATCTTTTTAGCACATAAGCAATTAATGAATTTACGTATCACACAACTTAAGTATAACGACGTCTTATTTTTGTTAAATCTATATTCTTATTTTGAAAAGTATGATATTATATTTGTTATCTGAGGAGATTTACAAATCCTTTGAAAAACATTAAATATAACCATGTGCATCTTTTGAATATAATCCTTCGTTATGAAAACGAAATATATTAATAATTCTATCTTTTGCAGCTTTGCGACTTGACAATGTGAATGTCAAGGGTTACACTGCCTGGTCTCTAATTGACAATTTTGAGTGGTCGCATGGTTTTATCGAACGTTTTGGATTACATTACGTGAACTTCTCGGACCCTGAACGGCCAAGAATTCCGAAACTATCCGCAGACTGGTATCGCGAAACTGTCATGAGAAAGGGTTTTCCGGAGCATCCTGTGACCCAGACAAATTGGCGTTATCAAGACGATTTCCTCTATGGATTATTTCCAGAGGATTTTGCATGGAGCGTTGCAACAGCGTCATATCAAGTTGAAGGTGGATGGAATGAAGATGGTGAGAGTCTAGGTTATACTATATATCTATGTATCTATCTATAAATCTTTACTGCATAACTAAACTGCCCTATATTATTTTGTAAAATACAAAACATCAGTAGCAGGCTGGCATCATTTGTTTCTACAGGAGCGTCACTGTAACTCACTTAACATGTTTGTGATGACACTGCTGTGGAAAGAGTAGTCTGTGGTAACCAGTCGAGCAACTCGATATTTGATTACACATTGAGCTGCAGTACCAAAGTTATGGTACGAGAAGAGTTTTGTAGACAATGAATTTTTTGTTGCTTTGTTTAGCTGGGATGTCGCGTTTGATAAGGTTGAGACTTTTCAAAGCTGTTAAGGAATCTCTTCATTGCCAAACAAAAAGGACGTAACATTTACCTTCGAAAATTAATAGATATTATATTTCTTTTGATCTGCATCGTTGCCAGCAAATTCTCTACACATGATATCGCTTCTATTGTATTTTTTTACTTCTGATCTGTTTTAAAAGGAAAGGGGAAAAGCATTTGGGATACATTTTCACACACCAACCGGATTAAAAATGGCGACACTGGTGATGTTGCTTGTGACACATACCACAAATATATGTCAGATATAACATTGCTGAAGAATCTAAAGGTAAAGTTTCATTTATTTATGTATGTATTCTCTTTATAGTCTTATTTTTTCAAAGAGTTTACTATAAGTGAAAAAAAATGTGAAAAACATGCCCAATAAGTTTCAGTAATTTTACAGTAACAATATTAACATATCATTTGTAAACTTTTCTTGACGAACATTTCTAATGAAAGGTTCCTGTAATTATTTATTATTATTGTTGTTGTATAAATATCATAAGTAACACATATCAAAACGTTCCATGACAAAGTATGCCTATGCTATTTAAAGTTATTTATTAATATGTGATTTGAGCAAGAGCTGCTAAATTTCTGGTAAATCGACTGATATGTTTTCTTCAAATTTAGTTGTTTTTTTTAATTTGTTTTATTTATTCAAACAGATTTCGCATTACCGATTTTCAATATCGTGGACAAGAGTGCTACCTTTTGGTACCATTAAACACATAAACCCAGCTGGTATGTTGACAAACATTGAATAACTGAACTTTGCTCAAAAAAGAATAAATCAATTAAATAGCAAAAGATCGCCAGTTTTATAATTACTTTAATATAACAGAATATGTATTCTCATTCACTAAATATTCTTTTGTTTCCTTTGTAGTATTATTCTCTGAATGATCTTTTCCAATCTCCTACGCAGTGATATCCCCTGATCAGTACAGAGATCTCTGCCATATTAAACATTCTTTTATCAATATTTTGATATTTTATATTTTTTGCTTTTGAATTTATTTTTCATTATTTTATATACGAGTACTTTTAATAATTTTTTCATAAACTTTAACGAACGTAGGAAAGAAAAGTCAAAAATAAACAGAAGGAGAAAAATGACGTTAGATTTTCCATGTAACGGTCGATTTTACATTTGAATTTCGACGTAACGTCATCATAATGTGACGTCTATGAAGGCAGTGAGTACAATTCTGCTTAGGGAGGTAATCACTGTAAGGAGTTTGGATCTTTTCATGGTGCATGTGTTTTAACAACCTAACAGTGACGCTTTTAACCCAACATTTTTTCTCACTTTACTATCATTTGAGTGAAATTTACTTTTCATTTTGGCCTCTTGATCTGCAAATTTATTTCATTATCATCTTAAATTGTTTTTACGTCTTTTGCTACTGGAGGAATTTATATCTTTGGCCATTTACATTATATCGTATTTCTACATAAAGCTGGAAAAAGGAGGTCCTTCAGAATTATTGGAATAAATGTAACAAAAATATTACATAAAAATAAAAGAAAGAGTCTGTTCATGAGATATAATGTCAAAGTGCAACATCTCTCACGTACTTGCCACTTTGGCCTTTTCAGTATTCTCAAAATGTACTTGAATCAACGGTCATGAAGGACCGTAAAATATAACAACACAATATCCCTTATTTCAGGTATTGCATATTACAATGATTTAATTGATGCTCTTCTTGACGCTGGTATTGTTCCCATGGTAACCATATATCATTGGGACTTGCCTCAAGTTCTAGAAGATGTTGGTGGTTGGACGAACGACAGTATTGTTGACATATTCGTTGACTATGCTAAAGTGCTGTTTGATAACTTTGGAGATAGGGTAAATACCTAAATATTAAATAGAATATTTAGAAATGTATTAATAAACATCAGAAAATTGCAATTTATGTAATATGAAAAAATCTGAGTCAATGGTTCAGGATAATTAAAGATTACACGAAATGAAGTTTAATTTTGTTGCTTATGAAGTACATGTATTAGTTTTAAAACATTCTTCGCACTAAACATATAACACTATAAATATTTTTATAACGGTGGTCATTTTAATAACAGCATGTACATTAAAATGCTCTGTATTCTAGGTTAAGTTCTGGATTACACATAATGAACCATGGGTAGCTGCTCACCACGGGTACGAGAGCGCGGATCACGCGCCCGGTCGGGAAGGTTTAGGCTATGCAGCAGGTCATAACTTGTTGAGGTCACACGCTAAAGTATACAGGCTGTATGAAAAAGAATATAAACCATCACAGCAAGGTAAATGATCAATCTTGAAACATGAATATGGAAATTTCGTGTGAGGGCCGTCAAAGTCGCAATGTACTTTTTAAAAATTATAAACAATTTATTCATTTCCATGAGTCATTTATATCGTATTATTAAACATTAAAGTTCCTATCACACATTTTTTTATGGTTTTATATCCATATAATGTTCAAATGAAAATTTATCAATATTGTATGTTCCAAAAAGCATTATTTGTAAAAATATTACCAAATTAACATTTTCATGTTAATAAAGGTAGATAATAAGAAACTTGTTTTCCTTAAAGTGTAAGTCAAATTTTTCAATAAGAAATCAATGCATATATTTTTATGATAACATAGAATGTGGACACATTTTTGCAGTTCATATTTTACATGTATATTCTTTGATGTTTGAAAATTGATTTAGAAGCATAATTATATACATATATAAAATTGCACTTAAGTGTGGTTACAACATTAATTACAACATACAGGAGCTTAAAACTTCTTTTAAAATGAATATTATGTTAATTGTATGCTGAAATGACATTATGTAAGTATTAACATGCTTCATTATGATCATGATCAATATCGTCAAGTCTGAAAAATTTGGTCTTTATATTTTTCTCTCATCTTAAAAATTTTCGTTGTATATGACTGACAAATATTGAACAAATCCTTCTTTTCACCAGCAAGCTCAGATATAGAAGTATAAAGATGCGTGAAAACTCAGTCGTAAACGATTTGTTTATTTGGGCATATGACAAATGTTATTTGAGATGAAAATGAAAAAGTAATTCTAAGTTTTGTTTCAGGCCAGGTTGGAATCACATTAAGTCACATGTGGGGAGAACCACGTGACAACCAGAGTCTAGCTGACATCGAAGCCGCTGAGAGGTTTAACCAGTTTGGCCTCGGCTGGTTTGCTAATCCCATATATGGTAATGGTGATTACCCGGGTGTTATGAAATGGCAAATTGGTAACAAGAGTTTAGAACAAGGATTGAAGCATTCTAGATTACCCGAATTTACTGATAAGGAAAAACAAATGATAAAAGGTAATAGAAAAGCAGTTACTTTATCCTATATTGATTTGTTTGATGGTCTTGAAAATATACTCAACACGAGTGATATACATATACTGTTCTCGAATTTATAACTATAAATTTGACATTGAAAGTCGAGCACTATTTTAAATCTTACAAAGTAATTGAATAAAAAAGTGCAACCCGTCCATTCTAAATATGTCTTTTTTGCAATGAATGAGCATTGTTAAGGTGGTTTGTGCCCTCACAAGACATATTACTATTAACTTTGTTCTAGATTTATACAACTTTTCATCATCGTTTGCTTCGAATGTACCGTCATTAATTGATATTTATGTACTTTCCAGGAAGTGCCGATTTTCTAGGATATAACCTGTATACTTCTGCCTTGATAAAGGCAAGTGTAAAACCTTTGCATCCACCAAGCTATGAAGGCGATCTTGACCTTATAGAAAGCAAAGACCCATCATGGCTAAAGTATGCATAATTTTTTGTTTTTATTTCTAATATTATTAAATAAAAATAAGATAACTCGTTTTAATAGTCATCAAATTATTACGAGCACATCAGATCTAGACAATATGGCTGCCATGTATGTTCTAAATTAGTTTTTTTCATTATCAAATTGCTTCGGTGCGTACTGTACTTAGACTGCATTTGGTCGCTTGATGCTGACTGTAACGTCTGAAAAATCTATATTTTACAATTTTTGTATTTCATGAACTTCTTAAGTAATTCAACATGATTTTAAGCTTGAATTGTTTTTAAGGTCAGGTTCAGAGTGGCTTCGCGTGACACCTTGGGGATTACGTCGAGGTTTGAAATGGATCAAGTCACATTATAATAATTTCCCTGTCTACATTACTGAAAACGGTGTGTCTGACAACACTGGTACAACTTCCGACCAGCACAGGATCGATTATTATAGACAATATATCAACGAAGTTCTTAAAGGTTAAACTTTATAGTTGTTTTTGTGTAATATACATTTTTATACAATATATATCTTTTACTTTTACTTTTAAATTTCCATAGTTATAATGTATATATTTTTCAAGAATACGCAAAATGTACGTTTTCGGAAATCAAAAGCCAATTTGTTTAATTCACTATTATTCTTATTAAAATGATCAAATTCATGCAACGCAATTCGGAACTTTCCAGCTATACGACTTGACGGATGTGATGTCAGAGGTTATACAGCATGGTCATTCTTGGATAATTTTGAATGGATGGAAGGCTACTCGGAACACTTTGGTCTCCATTCTGTAAATTTCTCGGACCCAAATAGACCGAGGACACCGAAATTATCAGCTGCCTATTTCACAAGCATTATAGAAAACAATGGATTTTACCTGGGGGGAAATGAGATAAAAGAACCAACAACCCAGCCTTCTATTTCTACACAGCCACAGGTGTACCAGTACCCAACGAGAACGAATGTAATTAATAGATGTTAGATAATTCAGCGGTCATATTAGATCTATGTATCCATACCCTTTTTGTTTCACTCACTTACACTTGTGAAAATAACTAAAATACTGGTAATGTTATCCTTAGTCTTGCATGATTGTTTTTGACTCTTAGTTTGGCTTTCATCAATATTTACAAATAATATGCAATAAATTAATTATATTTTCTATATTGTCTACTTACCATAAGCAAAAATGGTTTTTATCAAACAGTTTGCTCCTCACAAAGTTAATTCTTACATAACGTACTTTTACAAAAAACATACATCATTTTATGTAGACTGATACCGAGTGGCTGTATGAAGATGAGTTTCTGTATGGAGTCTTCCCGGACAATTTTGCTTGGAGTGTTGCCACGGCAGCTTATCAAGTGGAGGGTGCATGGAATGAAGACGGTATTTTATATTTTACTATATGACAATTTAAACACTATGGGTTATGAACTTTATATAATATCCTGCATGTATCAATTGATGGTAAATACATTATTTTGAAGTAAGAGAGTGGTAAAGAAAAATGTTTTAAAAAAAACAACAACCGACTTTTGCTGTTGCTCATGTTACCCCTTCCACAATTGACTTGTGAGATGCCCTTGTACTGTCTATGTATTGTAAGTCAAAGAGATTACAACATAAGAACATCTATCAGGCAACCATAATAGGGTTTTGTTACTTAGTTTATTATTATTGTTACATTAAATTGCATATTTTACATCATATTGTAGTCATTATCAAACAGCACTCCTCATGTTTTGATGGTTGTTTTAATCGGCTTGTCGTACTCATTGTCTCTCAGCTTAAACTTAATGTAAGATGACGCATATATTGAAAATAAAAGCGATAACAAAAAAATTGTTTTGTAATTCATATTGTTTATAAGCTTTCTATTGTTTTGATAACCTTGTTCAAACTTTCGTGCACAGTGATAAGAATATCTTTTTTCTCTAATTTCATAAAGGAAAGGGACTTAGTATATGGGATACTTTTTCACGACAAGGAAAGATTGATAACAAAGATACAGGGGATATAGCATGTGACACCTACCACAAATACCAGGATGACATTGCCCTACTTAAAAACCTTAAGGTAAATTATAAAGCATTTTGAATATAAAAACAAAGATCTTAAACACCAAGAACAGTATGTGTATTTTTCTCATTGTTAAAAGTAATGATGTGTTTTTACGATGTAGAGAGACGATGTTTTAACAACCGCTAAGATTTGTCTGATGTATTCATGTGATTGTTAAGGCATGAAATTTCGTTTTGTACAAAAAAGAATAAATAGGATAAAACGTTAAGGGGATAGGTAGGGAAAAGTTTATAGTTTACTCTATAAAATATCAGGAATACTATAAAACTTAAAATAAACATGAATTATTATTTTTTTTACTGAAGTATTCTTGTGTGATATAGATGAATAGTACATTTTATAATTCTCATAACAAGTACTAGTATTTTATCCTCCTAGGTCAACCACTACCGATTTTCAATATCTTGGTCAAGGATTCTTCCGGATGGTACAAATAAATTCATAAATCCTGCAGGTATATATATGCGTATCGTATTGCTAAATAAAACTACGTACTTTAATAATACCAAGATATTTATGGCAAGTCCCTGTTTTGTTGCAGAACAGACAGACTAATAATGATTTATTTAAGTTGTAGAGGATCTTAAATAGATATGATTAAACTTAACCATAATTACGTTTATTCTGAGAAGAGAAGGTTATCATGTAGTAGTTCTAATATCTTTTTCAATTTCAGGTATTGCCTACTACAACAATCTAATAGATGCTTTGCTGGATGCTGGTATAACTCCAATGGTGTCATTATATCACTGGGATCTGCCACAAGCTCTAGAAGACGTAGGAGGCTGGACAAACCGTAGTATTGTCGAAACGTTTAAAGATTATGCAACAGTTGTGTTTGACAATTTTGGGGACAGGGTAATAACGATTTTACAAAACATTTCTCTGCACATAAATCTAGATATAGAATCAGATATGCAAATGTATAATCATACACTAATCAAGAAAGCGAGGCAGTAATAGATATATTTGTGACTTATATCTTATTTATATTGCAGGTCAAGTTTTGGATAACCTTTAATGAGCCATTTGTTATTGCTCACCACGGTTATGAGACAGGTAGTCTTGCTCCGGGCCGAAAAGGTCAAGGTTACATAGCAGGACATAACATTCTTTTATCACATGGCAGTGTTTACAATCTTTACAATAATGATTACAAAGGAGAACAAAAAGGTAGCATTGTTTTCATTCCAACATGAATGGCGTATAATAGTGATTAATTGACGAATACATCAGTCATTTATGCATTTCAAATTTGTTTTTTTTTATCTTGAAACTTTTTTGTCTTGACAAATAAAATATTAAAATGGGTAAATGATTATAAGAACATTATCTTAACTTACTACTATTTGAAAACTATTTCATTAGATATCGGTAACAATTTTAAACTATCCAGCTAGCTTACGGAACATCGGTGGTTCTACTCAGGTGCTCGTTCGTGCCTGATATTAGCACTGAAGGGCATCTGAGGTCTTCCTCCACCAATAAAGTTGGAACGTCGCGATATGATCTAAACACTGTCGATGTGACGTAAAGCCCAATCAAAACAAACAAAGAAACAAATTTAAATGTTAAAGATGTTCAACATTTTTAGAAAACAATAAGCAACTTGAATTTTACATGTATGACTAATAAAACATACATTTAAGATAATTTATTTCAACAAAACAATGAAGAACTATGTATTTTACAGGTATGCTTGGTATAACATACAGCCATAGATTAGGAGAACCATATGATAAGTCATTACAAGCTGATGTTGACGCTGCTGAAAGATTTAACCAGTTCTATCTTGGCTGGTTTGCTAATCCCGTGTTTGGAAATGGGGATTATCCAGACATCATGAAGTGGCAAGTTGGCAACAAGAGTATTTCACAAGGCTACAAGTTGTCCAGGTTGCCAACTTTTACTACTGAAGAAAAGAAGTCATTGAAAGGTTGGTTTACATATAACATAATTCGTCTTGACATTTTGCATATTGCATTTTACGAGTGCTTTAATTTGTCATCACATTTTATCTCGAGGCATTATTAAACATTGAACCTAAATTTTGAATGAAAAATAGTTATTTTTTTAGCTGAACTCAGTTCATTCATCTAGATAAACAATGTATGTAAACCAAGAGGTAAATCAACGATAAGTTAAAACTTCTTTGTTACGTTTCCAGCTAGAAAACTTGTTCTTAATATTTGCAGGGAGTGCAGATTTCATCGGTTATAATTTCTACACGGAGAATTTAATTCAAGCTAGTAAAAGTCCACTACTACCTGTTGGATATGAAACGGATTTAGACGTTAATCAGATTAAAGAACCTTGCTGGGAAAAGTACGTACTTAATAATAATGAAAGGAATTTAATAAATTACGTTTGGTTTAAATGCTACATGTATAGCAAACAAAATATTTTGATCCGAACATTCTACATTTATATCTAACCGACGTAGATTACATGAATAAAAGTAATAGTCGTATAAATGCAGAAAACAGTGTAAAAATGATGTTCAAACCATTTTATCATTGTTACAATTTAGTGCAAAATATGATAGAAAAGAGTAATTGAGTATGGAAATTTTATCTTGAGTAGATTGAAATTTGAACATTGTTCCATTTTTATAAAACACAATTCCATTTATGTAAGTTTTTCTTTGATTGTTCTTTTATCTCATAACGGAGGAAACGTTTGTAAGATCCCTTCTGAAAAGCACGGCATTGCATGCTTCCTCATTTCTCCCATCATTGAGCTAAATAACTATGTTTAAACTAAACCTTTGTTAACTTTAATGAAGATCTGGGTCGGAATGGTTACGAGTGACCCCTTGGGCATTACGGAGAGGTTTAAATTGGTTAAAATACCACTACAACAACTTCCCAGTATACATCACAGAAAATGGCGTCTCAGACAACACAGGGACAACTTCTGATCACCGTCGAGTGGCCTTTTATAAAGCATATATAAATGAAGTGCTTAAAGGTTGTTAATTTTATATTTCATATAATTACTTGTTATCAAAATGACAATATTATGTACTATGATATAGTTTGTATGTATATAATCTATATAGATTGAATGAAATGAAGGGCCAGTCTGTAAAAGAACCTTCAATGAGTTATCAGTATAATTATATTTTATTAAATAGTCATCCATTGTGTTATATAAATACTGAACAGCCAAACGTATGGGCTTTTTAACCCTGCAAGCCTGTAGAATATGCATTTAGGTTCAGTGATGTTAAGTTTTCTGAAACCACCAAAAGATATGTCTTTCTTTATATTTTTTTCCAGATATACTTACAGTCATTTAAATTTCATAATTATATAAATTTCAAATATAAAGCTGCCAGTTTGTAGAATACATGTTTAGCTTCTGTGGTGACATAAAGTGTCATTTCTTCCCTTATTTATTTCAAGCTATAATAATAGATGGATGCGATGTCCGAGGTTATACAGCATGGTCTTTCCTGGATAACTTCGAGTGGATGAAGGGATATTCGGAACGTTTTGGATTACACTATGTTAATTTCAGTGATCCGGAGAGACCAAGAACACCGAAATTATCTGCTGCATATTACAGGTCTATCATTGAAGATAATGGATTTCTGAAGAACGGAGAATCTTCTAGCCATAGAAATAATTACAATATCACTTGCCATACACAAACTACTCCTCATAGTATTACATCCACAACAAACTTGCCTAGAACCATGCAACAGTCAACAGGCAAAGCAAATACCAAAATTGGCACAACTTCAGTAAATTCTACTGTTATCACAGAGAAAAATACAGCAAATACTATTGGTACAACAAAAGCAAGTGAGACTACAGCAAAAAGTTCGCCCGTAATCCAAATGACGAAAACGAGTACCGTAAAATCGGTTGACAGTCAAAAAACTGAAATCAATCTCTTCTGTGCCTAGTAAACCACCTGTAAAAGTGACTACACCTGAAAACAATACACCAGCCACTATGTTTAGTGTTATTTGTTTGACACTCTCAGCTTTATTGATTTTCATAATTATTTGATTGTTATTCTGATAAAACTATTTGGAATATATATTGACATCAACAATGCTTTTAAAGATTTCATATTACTACCGTATAAGTACTTTTTTTCTGCGGGAACTTTATTTCTGCGGTTGGTGTCGTGTCACGACACCGCAGATTTAAAAACCGCAGAAAATTAAGCCTTTCTCGGCTTTGTTTATGTATACATGTGTCGGAATTTCAGCTACCGGTAATGTCTAACTATATTACGTAACCATTATCATGTATCGTTATCGGATTTTAAACGGTATAAGTAGATTTTTCGTTCTGTCATGAATAAAAGATTATAAAAATCGTTACTTTGCTTGTTATTTTTGTTGAAATAAATATCATGTTGGTATGATTTTCACTCACTCTCAGCTTGAATAATTTGATATAATAAAATAACTATAGTATATGAAGGTTGAAGGTGCTAAACGATTCGAAATCTCAGGCTTTGGAGAAAAGCGACAATTCACTGCCGTATTTGCTTGTACACTGCAAGGTAAATCTAAATTTTCTCTGTCGAATATTTTATATAATTAAATGCTTGATAAACTTATATTTTTTATCATTGCAATTAAATATTAAAATTGTGTTAAAAAGTTGTTCATTTGCAGTGTATATCGTTGTTAATACCGCTGTTTCAGTTTAAAATATATGTAACACAATTATCAAAAACGTGATAAAATGACCATTGTTTGAAATTATCATTAAAATCTGCAATAAACACGCTTTTATGTACCACTATGTTGCGTGCGAATTTGCGATTGTGTATTTTTCACACTTACCTGTAAATGTCCACTTAAGCGAAATGATCGAAATTCTTTTATTCAAATTGTGTTGACCTTTTTACCTACAGGCGATATTCTTCCGCCGCAAATGATCTTCACTGGTAAAACAACACGTTGTTTACCAAGCTATAAGTTCAAGTATTCATGTTGAAAGAGACGAACATTTGCAAGTTTTTCCATAGATTCTTTTGAATGTATATACATGCATAATTTATTTGTTGTGAAAGGAATATAATGAATATATATATAATGAATATAAGGACTATATTGAACCTTAAGATAGTAAAATACATGAATGCTTCAAATTTATACACATACAGTATTAAAATTGTTGTCATTGCATTTTGTTGTAAATACGTAATACCGGTATATAGTGTATATACTGATACATGGTGATTACAACGAAACACATTATCAGTCGTCTGCATTTTTACCGGAAGGAATGCCACATCAACAAATCTTGAAATGCCGTTTATTTTTATTGGTTAATTGTGTACAAATATCATAATTTAAACGCAGAAATAAAACACTTGAATGGGAGAATGATGGCACCGCAGAAATAAGAAACGCAGAAATTTAAGACCACCCTATTTTAACGAAAATCGCAGAATTTTAAGACCGCAGAAATAAGTACTTATACGGTACTTTGCAGACATGCATAAAGATATTCAAGTTATAAGTACAAAATACTTAATAATTGTAGAAATGTACTTTTATCACTTTATTATATTTCATGATATATTTTACACTTAGAAATGTTAATATGAATGAATGATGTTATATGTCATTGAATAAAATGAAGATGTGTATAAAACTAGCAAAGACATTTACACATACATGCAACATGATTGTAAATGTTTTTATGGCGGTGGTTATGCACACAAGTATTTTCGTTATCATCTTTTTATTGAAATATTTATATTTGAATTTAATGCTCTGTTTGGTTATACAGAAATAAAAACTCCATATTCATTTTGTTTCCCATTGAATCTGTCTTACTTTAACGTTGGAAATTTTCATCTATAGCGTACGGACTTTCAATGTAAATTTGGCAACCTATGATACAATGATGTAACTACTACAAGGTGCTTGTCTTGCTATATATACTTGTACCATGAGACCGTCATAAATGCGGATTTAAACCCATATTTTTCAATTTTTATCAGGAAAAGTGGACAAAATGTAAAAGAAAATAACAACATTTTCATTTCATTATTATGATTTATTATTTAAATAAGCGGATACATGTAGCTATAAATGATTAAATTTATAAAACATTCATCTTGAATAGATAACGTCAAATTGCTTTTCTCTCATAATATATACATGATTGTTGTGCTGTTGTGTTGCGTATTATGTAAATGCCATTTGTAAATGCAGAACACGCGAATAAAATGAAACAAAAATAATATACCATGTTTTTATTCTCATTTGCTCGTTTTTTATTGTGGTAATTTTGGATCTTTTTATTTTAAAAATGTTCTGATAATTCACGTGTCTATAAAGACAATCGAGTATATTGTAATAGGCGTTTTATTTCGATAGCTAATAGACGATATTATAATTAATCATTATTGAAACACTACAACTTAGTTACATCAAAATTTAACAAGACATGCATGTATTACTGCGCTCAACAATTTGAATGAAAAATATTTTTTATAGTTTGATATAACAATTCCGAATCATTTACCCAACTTACGATTCAGGTAGTTATAATTATATCTACAGTTTTTGCTAACATAAACTATATTTTCTGGATTTGTTTACAGGATTTCTGCCGTTAGATGTATTATTCCTAGTGGTAACATTGTGATGCATTTCTATTTTACGCTTTCGCTGCTGGTCTGTTTCATTTACTTCATTGTGCTCAATACGTGCTTCACTCATTAGTCCAAAATTCTTTGGAAAATCTAATGTGATCGAGATACGTGGTTTGAGAATATCTTTCGAAACGTTAATATCAACGTGTTCTGACGATGTAGACGATCTGTCGTTTTCATCAAGATCTTTAACTTTACACACGATTTTTGTTGCAATTGTCGCATTGTTTTTATTTTGTATCGGGTCTATCGTGTTCTGATTATTACACATACAAGGACTGCGTTCTCTGGCGTCCTCATAAATAGGTAGTAGGAAACTTTGATCATTGCCATATATTTCTGTATCGTCGGAGCCAGAATTGACGTCTTCTTTATCAATTACTTCATAGTTCCTCTCTTCAAGTCTGTCTTGAACAGCACTGACATCTGTATCATTGAAATGTGCGTCGCTGTTACTACTACTTGCAAAAATATGATCACACATATATGATTTGGAATGAGGATCATCTGCTTTCTGAAAAGAACTATTATGTTCGTCTTGTGCAAAGCTCACGCTCAGTCCTTTGTTATGTTTTTGATCATTTGCTTTATCAACTTCAGCAGCGAAACCTTTATTTTCGTGTCTATATACCATATGTTTATCTGTTGTTGAATGATGGTTAGTTTGGTTGCTCGGTGTATTGTTGTCGACAGATGCAATACTTTCTGCAAGACTTGATGCTCTTCTCATTGTGCTATTTATACTCCCCTCATC